GAATCACTTATAATTTTTATCACTCTTCATTCTTGACTCAAATCAAAAGAAATTTGTGAAGATTCCATGGGTATCCATGCTATCTTCTTTAGTTGTTAAGTCCCTCTTTCCGCATCAGCATCACATGCTCTTGTACAAAATCTTGCGTATACATTGTTACCCAAATAAAAATAATCTTGTGTAAACATTTTGATTTGTGGGTTACACGCAATGCCACTACTGCTGTATACTATTTTACAAGGCAACTCTCACATCACTCTAAAAGTTTCTTCAATTAAAAACTAAACAGACTCATAAAGTAGAACACAAAAATAACATTTCTTGTACCACAGTTTATTCTAGACCAACGAGTAAACTTTTTCTCTGGCCATCAAAAAGGGGTTGTAATATGAGTTTTTAAATCGTTTTATTCACTTGATCAGTTAAAAAATATTTTGAAGTCAATGTCTGTATCTAATAGGCCCAGTTTTAAAGATAATAATAGTTAGTTTTGAAATCTGAGATTTGAGTTGCCTGCTTAAGTCATGCTTTAAGGGAGCAATTAATCTTCCAATGATGTTGATAGTAAAGTGAGGAATGGAAAAATTATAAATTACTCTGACCCATAAGTTACTTAAGGTATAAGAACATAGAGCTAAGTACATATTGGAATGAATATGAATAGATTCAAAAATTAAGTAAATGTAAACTTTAACTTGCACTTAAGCTTTCGGTGCATTAATCGTGTATGTTTAATTTAGATAAAATTTATGGATATAAAGTAAAATTATATATATATATATAATATATATATGAACATCGTTAAATAATTAATAACAACAAATCATGTTCGATGTCTTCATTGTTAAGAATGAAGATTTCATTTTATTAAATGAAATGAATTAAGAGATAGAACTTTTAAATTAAAAAAAAATATTAAAATAACTATAAAAATGTCATTTGCTAATAGTTTAATGTTGATTAGTTATTATTAATATAAATATTCTCTAACAAAATTAAATTGTTAGTGCACATGTTATGAGTTTATACTACTACTAATAATAATAATAATATGATATGTTATACTAACAAATAATTTTATTAGTAAAATTATTAATATTTACTATCAATGCATCAAATGCTTGTATGGTATATCATTTGTTAGTATAAATTTTTAAAAGCTATACTAATCATTAGGTTATTCAAATATTTGATAAATTTTTAATAAAAATAATAAGGTGCAAGATTGTTAGCCAGTGAAAAAATATTGTAATAAATAATTTTCAGTGATCATCAACCATTGAGAGCATATAACGCTAATTCAAAAGAGATGGTACAATGAAAACGTCTAATAGAGTGATGATATTATTAAATAAACGATTCCAAAACCATTAACCTCAAACTAATGGAAGACTAGAAAAATCCCATGTTAATTAGTAGGTAAGGTAACATTAAGTATAATGCATAAAGCAAAGTTTTTTTTAATATCCAATATCAACTACAAATGGTCATTAATATCTTTTGCTTTCATTTTTAATTAAGGAAGGTTTAGTCACCATAAAAGCGTTTGTTTTGGTATGAAAAGGAAAATCTAATAAGAGCTTTATTGATGTGTGTGTAGGAATGCATGTTAAAAAGCACATAATATATTTTATTAATTCTCTTAACTACATAAATATGAGTTTAATTTTAATGTATTGTTAATTTAAAAAATTTACATTAGCAACTGATTAAAATATATGACTAAAAATATTTATTATAAAAATTAATACTTTAAATATTAACAATGTACCAAATAAATAAAATTCTTATCATTTACAGTGGAAAGGGAAAACTAATAAACCTTACACAAGAAGTAATTTACCTCCGTTGGATAACTAATCATGGATGATCTACACCGCGTAAAGGTTAGTCAGCGATTCCGGCATACTGCTATTTTTTCAAAAAAGAAAAACCCTAGACTTGTTAGTTAAGTTTAATCACATATTTTATATTAAAAATTATTTTATTTTATTTTATTCAAATAAAATTATTATAAATAATAAAAAATATTTAATCATATAGATTATTATGAATAAAACATTTATTTTTAAATATTTAATATAATTATTATAAGATAAGTTAAAATATTTTTTTTCAATTAATTCACGTGTTCAATAATATTTAAACAAGTTATTTTCTTTATTTAATTTGAAGTTTAAAATTTTTTGAATTAATATTAAAATAATGAAATGGTTGTAAATTACTTGTAATTTTTTTTTTCAAATTCGGAATAATAATTTCAAATGTCTATATATTTTTTATTGAATTGTGCAATAAATAAAATATGTGCTAGTTTATTAGATGGACAAAGTTAACGCGTAATGAAATATTTTCACATCTATTTTTTTTAACAATATTTTATTAAAAATAAATTTAAAATACAAAAGTATTTTAATCTATTATAACTCTAAAGGAATTAATAATATATGTTAAGAGATTATTAATCTAATTCACATATATAATGAAGTTTTTTAAAGATCCTGTTCTAAGTTACTTTAAAAACAATACTTAATAAAATTAAATATTTTATTAATATTTAACAAATTATTATTGAAAAAATATTATTTTATCTATTTCTCATTTACACTTATATTCTCACAGAATTTATTTATTTTTAAAGTAAACAGATGATTTAAAAAAAATATAATAGTTTATTTACTATTAAGTTAAAGTTAATTATTTTTATGAACTACGTAAATTTAAATTAAAGATAAATAAGTTTATATTATCTCATTTTACACACTTTAAAAGTGCTGAATCCTTTCCCACATTTGGTTAATATCACAAAGCACTTTAATATACTCTGTTTCTGTTTGTTGCATTCCCATTGCTGATTAGCCAAGTAAAAGTTTGAAAGGGATAGGGGATTCCAAACAGAGAAAAAAAAGGTATATTTAAAAGGTTTTGAACTGAACATTTGAGCCAATCAAATATCATATTCCCATAACAAGAAAGTGATTCATTGTACCAAAAAAAAAATATATTCAAAAAGTGGCTCAAGATAATGGACACGAATTATAAATGGTGATTAATTTGTATCATTATAAATATAAAATGTATAAATATTTATGTATATGCACTATTTTTTAAAATTTTGTATAGTTATGTGTGGAATAATGGTATACAGTAAACGTAAGGTATAATCTTGAGATCATAAAAAGTTAATTTTCTTTTAAAAAATGAGGAATGAGTTTAATTAGTGATTTGTTGAAAGATTTTGATATTTAAATGATAGGAAATGAAACAACAATTTCACTGCAAAGCTAGGTCAATGATGTAATAATTTGCCGTTGACTTGCTAATAAAGATACAGATATATTGACGTTTGGCCCTTTGACGTGTGCCACACTCCAAAGAACCCATAATATTTTCATCATTGATGTTGATTTAATGAAATAAAATTTAGACAAGAAGTTTCAAGTGAATTGCTAAGAAATTTGCAAAGGAAATTCCTCCTCATTTACAATACAAGGAAAAGTAGAAAACTAACGACGCCACATGAACCCTAAGGGGCTCGCTGTTCCTTATAATTTTCAGACACTTTCGCATGATACTATATACTTTTTTTTTCCTGAATAATAGTTATTTAAAGTTACAATAAAAAATTATTTTATTTTAATTTTTATTATATTTATTTATACAATAAAAATAAATTTTAAAATAATAATTATGTTAAAAATAAAATGCCTTCGGTAACTTCTCACGCGGGTTCATGAAGTCATGTGTACACATTGCAAAAGGACAACTGCTCATCCTAGAAGTTATTGGTGGGTAGCATCTTAGGTCAAGTCGTCTCCATTCCTAGGTGTTTTCTTGCATCTTTTGTACTGCATAAGTTGTATAAGAATAAATCACAATTTTTTTAAGTCTTTTTAATAAAATAAAAATCATCATCAATTTAATTTTTTAATCTTTTATTTTTTATTTATATTATATAACTCATCTAATTTAAACATTAGAATTTGTTCTTCATTTTCATTTTTTTAAATATATTTGTCTTAATCCATTAATGTTGAGATGTCTTAAGTTTAGCTTTGAGCTTTGTAAATGTTAAAATATACTCAAATTGTAACTTTAACTATCTCATGTCGATCTCATACTTTATCCTTTATGTGACAGAAACTTTTGGCTCACCTATATTGATAGATGTGATGTTGTGCTACAAAATAATATTTGTTAGTTGCATAATGAAATATGAATGACTAACAGGATATGGGTTGATTTTAAACAAAGCTATTTTTTTAAAAATAACTATACTGCTTTCACTGTAATTAAAATTCCATCTGGTTATCGTTTGAATAATATTTTTAATTAATTATAAAATATACATTTGGTAGTATCCTAAATTTATGAATTAAATTACTTAAACTCTCTTTCAATTATATATATGAAAAAGAATTTTTTTATACCTTTTTTATTTAATTTACATCTAATAAGTTATATTTTATTACTTTATTAGATATTAGATATAAATTAAATAAAAAATTTAAATTAAGTTTAAAAATTTTTAAATTTATATTAATATAAGAAAGTTTTACACTTATATATATATACGGTGAGAAAATGAACACTAACAATGACAACTCAAGAATGTTCTTGTCGGCACTCAATAATTGTCATGAAGTTTGAATTAATTCTTAACTTGTGATTTTTTTTTAATGATAAAACTCTATTATTATGATTATTTTGAGGTAAGAATGTTACGGTTTATTAAGTTTTGTGTACTTACGAAAAAGTTAAAAAAAGAGATTTAAAGAAAAATAGGCACGTAAATCATCAATTCATTTTTTAATTAATATTTATGAATTTCAATAAAAAGATTTATCTGTTAAATGAAATGAAAGAAGGGTAAGATCAAATCAGTATAAATTTTTTGTTGATTCTATTCACAGGGTCTTTTGCCCCAGTTGCAATATTTGGAACTTTGTTCCCGGCAAGAGCATTAACGTACGAATAACAGAGTCTATAAATAGAGCAGCAACACAGAGACATTCATCACACATGTTTAAGATTTTTCAAACTTCTAAACACAAGACATTTATGCTCCGATTCTTGCAAGCTCCAAGAATCATTCACCTGCTTTCTAACTTGAACACTAATCGTGATACCCTGGGGTGAAAATAGATCGCCAAAGTGTTAAAGGAGCAAAATTTTTCTTCTTGAACAAGAAGGGGTTGTGATGGAACAGAAGCACTTGCTGTTGTCAGCATTGAGTGTTGGGGTTGGTTTGGGTGTAGGGTTGGGATTGAGCACAGGACAGAAATGGGTTGGAGGGAATTGTGAGAGTGATGAGATTTCTGGGGAACAGATTGTGCAAGAGCTTTACAAAAAAGTTGTTGAAGGCAAAGATAGCAAAATCACATTTGATGACTTTCCTTATTACTTAAGGTAATTTAAACATTCATTTTCTATGAAAGACACTTTCTTTTTTCTTTTCCTGGTGTAATCTTTGAAAGAGTCTTGAAATTTCTTGTGTTAAGATATCTATGTTTTAGTTACAAATTTTCCCTAAGAAAGAATGGCATATAAAACATTATCAGCATTTGCATTTTTAAATGGCATAATAATAATCTTGGCTTGTCAAAATGTTTTCAACATGTGAAACCATTTTAAGTTGACTTGTGAGTTTGTTGGCAATTTGCTGTGATTCTTTATGGTAAATGTATTTTCGACTTCCAGTATTCTGGGTTCTTCCCATGTCCTTTCTCAGATGATTCGTTACTGAGTTCACCTCACCACTGTTTCTTTGTCAACCCCAATTTCTTTGATCTTCTGTTTGGCTTTTTAATGTGAATTTTGCATTTTGAATATTTCTTGGGTAAGACAGATGAGAAGATGCAAGAAATACGTGATGTCACTATGAGTACGATAGTGCTCTAAATATACACAAAAAGATGAATCTAATTCCAAAAATTCATTTGTTGGGAGTGGAATATGCATTTCTTTTAATCAAAGGACTTTGGTTGAATAGTAGAGCTTATTATATGCTATTGCACTTCTCCTAGTTTACTTATGGGTCAAATTATTTCTATAGTTAAGCATGGTACTTCATTCCAGATACCAGCTATAGAAGATGCAAGATTTGCTAGTTTTGCTTTCCTACTCTTCACTTCATTTCCGATTCTTGGAGCATATAAACTGTGATTAGAATAAACCCGTGCACTTAAAGTCATATAAATCATACTAGATGAGAGAAAATCTTGCAGCTTAGTCCCAGATTATTGCATTTGAAGGTCCGGATTTTGTTCAAAGTTAATCTTAAGGCACAATTCAATTTCTTTGCCCTTAATTAATGTTTCATTGGCTTCTTGATTTTCAGTCTGATAGGTTCCAACAATTGTACTGTATATTGAATCAGTCACCATACTCTGGGTAATAAATGAGTTTTAGTGAGGAATAAATAAGCTTAACACATTGTAGTTTCCTGAATTACAGCCAATCTTCAGCATCTAGTTCTATATTTGGTTCTGAAATCCAGTCACATGTGGATTCGGTCTAGCAGAGGAATTTGATGTGAATAACTATTTTTGCTGATTCATACATATGTCATGAATAACTTCCCCTTGATTACACCATGTCTTATGTTTCCATATGATGATTAAAATGACAGCGAAAGAATCCAATTTTCATTGACAAGTGCTGGATATGTTTATTTAAAAGAAGAAAACTTTTCCAAGCACATGAGGAACCTTTCTCCAGCAAGCAGAGCTATTTTGCTTTCTGGACCTGCAGGTACTGCAAGTTCTGTCTTGTCATGCAAACATTATTTTGGTTTCCTATTCCAAATGGCTGACATTGTTGTTTGTTAAATTTTGAAGAACTTTATCTGCAAATGCTTGCCGAAGCTTTAGCACATTACTTTGAATCAAAGTTACTTTTGCTAGACGTTACTGACTTCTCTTTGAAGGTAGTTATTGACATCTCCTCACTTTATTTTCTTTGATATATATATATATATATATATATAGTCTTACCTGCATGATTCCCTTTGTACAGATGCAGAGCAAATATGGATGTTCTAGAAAAGCACCAGTAAGTTTGTGTGCCCAACATTTTACTTCTGCTCTGCCGTAAGAAGTGAAGATACTTTCACTATTTACCCTGCATTAATCTATTTTTTCACTTTGTTGTTCTCTGAATGTATATTTTAAATTTTTTTATTGAATGTGGGATGACTGTGTTATTTTTCACTTCCATGAACTAAACTTCACCTTTATTAGGTTCCTTGATTGAATATTTTCTTTTGAACAGTGCAAACATTTAATTGTTGGCTCATAGTGAGATTTCTCTGACTCATTTGCTCATGGTTATAGTATTTTAAAAGGTCTATATCTGAGGTGACTTTGGAGCGAGTGTCTGGTTTGTTTGGTTCGTTGTCAGTCCTCCCTTCAACATCCAAAACTAGAGGTACTGGAGGAAGTTGCACTCAAGTTTTCTGAAAATGATATTCTTATTTTATAATTACTTGTTATGGTGATTTTTTAGTAGGTACACTACGTCGACAAAGTAGTGAAATTAAAAATCCCATCAATCCTCCAAAGCTTCGTAGGAATGCCTCTAATGCATGTGATACGACTAGCACTTCCCAACATGGTCCATCAGATCCAGGTTATGCTTCAAAGGAAAACTCTCTCTCTTCAAATTTTAGTTATTATTTTCAGCACTTATTTTCCATAGCTTTCTCTTTATGAGAAGACCTTAGTTACATTTAGTAATTTAAATTACCACATTATGCAAGTTTTTGGGCCTGCTATCCTTCCCATTGATTGGTTTTCTCATTGTTCTTTCAATTCTGCTGTGTGCTCTGTCTGCTTCTTAACAATTTAATGCTTTAATTTGTAAATGATTTTGTTACTCATTACTTTGTAGCTAGATCTATTTGGTAGGATTCTCTTAGCAATTTGATACTTGTAATAAGGACTAATCCCATACATCAATATTTGTGCATCAAATCCATTCAATTTTAGTCAGCAAAATACTTGATGCTTCATTTGTTGCTGCTGATGCATGAGATTACATTGTTCCTCAGCAATATTATGTTGACTGTTTTAGTTTATGTTTTCAGCTCCTTTGAGGTGTGCAAGCCGCTTCTGTTTTGATGAAAAGCTGTTCGTGCAGTCACTTTATAAGGTGACTTCATCAAAGAGAACTTATTTTTAAAGCTCAGATTTTTATTGCATAGAAGAACAATATTAGTTCAGTTGACAAAATTTCAGTGTTAGATATGAAATTATGAACAATGAATTTCACTTCATGCAAATGGCTCTCCTGAATCCTCCTTTTCTCTGCTCTTGGTCAATTAATTACTTGTAAGACTTATAGTGTGTATATTTCTAAGTAAGTATAGTACCTTTTTAAATTTTTGTATGGAAAATAAATATTAATTTACCTTAGTGTCAGGTTTTTTCTGTCACAAATACTGTTCCAATAAGCAAACTTATTGTAATCTTTACAGGTCTTGGTTTCTATCTCTGAAACTGGTTCTATTATTTTATACATCAAGGATGTTGAGAAGCTCTTTCTTCGATCACCAAGGTTACACAATTTGTTCCAAAATCTAATAAAGAAACTTTCGGGGTCAGTGTTAATACTCGGTTCCCAGATCTTTGAAGATGATTGCCCAGATGTTGATGAAAAGCTTACTATGTTATTCCCTTACCACATTAAAATCAAACCACCTCGAGATGAAATCCATCTTGGGAGCTGGAAAACCAAACTAGAAGAGGACAAGAAAATAATTCAGTTTCAAGATAGCAGAAACCACATTGCTGAAGTACTTGCAGCAAGTGACATTGATTGTGATGACTTGGATTCTCTCTGTCATGCCAACACTATGCTACTCAGTGATTCCATTGAAGAGATTGTGATGTCTGCAATTTCTTACCACTTGATGGAGACCAAATGTCCAGAATACCGCAATGGAAAGCTAGTTATATCAGCCAAGAGGTAAATATCTTGACATATGGTGGTTTCAGCAATTCATTAAGAGAAAGTTTTCTAGTTACTAATATTGGATTTTGGTAGTTTGTCCCATGTATTGAATCTGTTCCAGGATGGTGAAAGTAATATGAATACTAAAGATTCAAACAAGGTTCGTGATCTGTTTATTTGCTAGAGCATAGTGGATCATTACAGTAATAATTCAAGCAGGACAAAAAAAATGATTATACAATGCTAACTGTACTGAATTGACAATTTTTTTGTTCATTGAATTGTTTTCTTTACTGTCAGGACAATGTCGGAGAAGATATCACTGTTGCAAAGAATGATACTCCTGCAAAGGTAGCTGTATGACCTATGTGTGCATACATTCATACCTATACACACACATATCAAAAGCCAGTACCCAGTACAATTTTTTTTTTTAATTTTGATTCTACACCAACTTATCAGACACCCTCTGACTCCCTTCTAATATGAAAAATAGAATAAATTAATAATTCTTATACATATTTTCATCAATTAGCAATTGTTTTTGGTTCCAATATGGATGATCAATATGCAGATCATTAACATTCCACTTGTTATTTCCTGCCAGTTTTATTATCATAGACTGAATGTTTTAATTTGTATTTCTGATAGGTCAATCAATATGAGAGTGTATTAATTCAATAGAAACCTTGTGATATGAACTTCCCTTCTATGTTTTCCATATTTTTTTTTCATTTTTTGTTACAGTAAATTTATGCATGCTTGCAGGAATTTCCTCCTGACAATGAGTTTGAGAAGCGCATGAGAGCAGAGGTTGTCCCTGCGAATGAGATAGGGGTTACATTTGCAGACGTTGGTGCATTGGATGATATTAAAGAATTGCTTCAAGATGAGGTCATGCTTCCCTTTAGAAGACCAGATTTGTTCAAAGGTGGGCTTCTGAAGCCTTATAGAGGTATATTGCTTTTTGGGCCACCTGGTACAGGAAAAACAATGCTTGCCAAGGCAATTGCAAATGAAGTTGGAGCTAGTTTCATTAACGTTTCAATGTCCACCATAACTTCAAAATGGTTTGGAGAAGATGAAAAGAATGTTCGAGCACTGTTTTCACTAGCAGCAAAGGTTGCTCCAACTATTATTTTTATTGATGAAGTTGATAGCATGCTTGGACAGCGGAGTAGATATGGAGAGCACGAGGCAATGAGAAAGATTAAAAATGAATTCATGACCCACTGGGATGGGCTATTGTCAAAACCTGGTGAGAAAATTCTGGTTCTTGCTGCAACCAACAGGCCATTTGACCTTGATGAAGCAATTATAAGACGGTTTGAGCGCAGGTAGGACCACACTTTTGTCTTATGTTTGGCATGATCATTTGTTTCCTACTTGCTTCTGTTCAGCTGCAATGTTTTCTTCATTAGAACAATCACAAGCATTATTTTCATCAGCTGTGGTGAATAGCTGTGTGCTCATAAGAAAACAAGAAAGCTTATGCTAAACAGAGATTTTATTAAATTATTATTTGAATAACAGGTCTAAAATTTCACCTTCCACTCTTTAGTTTAATTTTCCTTTTGAAATATGTTCACTTTGAAGATGTGTTTAAAATTGTTCACTGGATTTAGTTGACCTGATATCTTCCTTGGATAAATAAATCATGTGCCATTTCCATCTGTGCAAGAATAACACTCCTTTTGAGCACAGCCTGAAGCATTTCTTAGCCATATCATTACATGGTTTGCTTTCCGGAATACAATGCAAGGTATTGTTTTTAAGAGTTGTGATTGATATCTCTGTTTACTGCTATGTTGAGCAGGATCATGGTTGATCTTCCATCTGCTGAGACCAGGGAAATGATCTTGAAAACACTCCTGGCTAAGGAAAATTTTGAAAATATAGACTTTAAGGAGCTTTCAACCATGACAGAAGGATATAGTGGAAGTGATCTTAAGGTTCATTTTTCTGTTTATTCTAATTTTAATTCCTTAGAGTTCATGGTGACGATCTATTGACAATTTCTGTTAACAGAATTTGTGCACAACTGCTGCTTATGGGCCTGTTAGAGAGCTATTACAGCAGGAGAGGTTGAAGGAGAAGGTAGTTACCAAATCATTTGAGATAATTTGAACCTTAAAATGATATCAAATGCAAAATTATTACTTGCTGTATTGCTATGTAACAGCCTCTTTGTCTTATTCTAGGAAGAGAAGAAAGTGGAGGCAGAAGTTCAAAGCTCAGAAGGTGCTTCCAATGCTAAAGAAGACCAAGTGATTACTTTGAGGCCTTTAAACATGAAAGACATGAGACAGGCAAAGAGTCTGGTATGTTGATTGAAAATTATTCATCTCAATGGTTGTATTGTACTTGATTTGAGTGTCAAAGATAGTTAACTGCCTTAATATTGAGGAATTCTAAAAGGCGCTTTCAAGGAAATTCAAGGACAAATATCTGACATTGGGGTAAATGACATGGAGTTGAGGATATTTTATATTAGAAATTAATAGTTATATCAGATATAAGCAATACAACATTACCTCGAGCAATTTCATAAATTTCAATTAACCCTGCTTTTCATTCATCAATGAACATTGCACCTCCATTTCTTACCTCGTGCCTTTGTGGCAATAAATTCATTTATTACCTAAGGGTTCAAGATGGCCACACATGTCCTGATTACATAGATACTGATACAAAATTAATCGAATAATTCTTGTAAGAGATAGTAAACTGATTCAGTGGTCCATTTTTTTTTTGTTAAAACAAGTAAAAGCCTGGTGTTGTGATAGTTTTCAAGCTTAATTTCTTGACAATGTCACCTACATGGAAGAATGAGAGCTTCCAGTTGAAGATATATTTATAAGCCATAGAAATTGATAAATGTATGTGTAAATGCAGGTGGCAGCGAGTTTTGCTGCAGAAGGATCAATAATGAGTGAGCTGAAGCAGTGGAATGAGTTGTATGGGGAAGGAGGTTCAAGGAAGAAACAACAGCTTACTTATTTCCTTTAGGTTGTGGAATGCTGGTTTTATTTTGGACTTGTCAGTATTTCTTACCAAAGGATATTCTTTTAACCGGGGAAGGAATCATTCAACAGGGATATTGAAATCAAAGTATGAAATAATGTTGAATAAAGCACAAGTGAAGAGATTTTTATCATTCCCTGAAGAGCTATCCGGGTCCTAAGAATGTGTAGATGATCATCATATATGATGTTTGGGAGAAGGTCCTCAGTTTTGGTTTGGATTGTCTGCAAACCAATGGGAATTTATATTGTGCATGGCATGGTTTTGGTAGATGCTATGTGTTTTGGGGAAAGAGTGTTTTTACCCCAAACCTGTTTGCTATGATGGATTGTATGAATAACAGTCTCAGACCATAGAATTTTGTATGTTGTGGTTGTGTAGCTGCACTGCTTATAGAGTTTGGTTCAATTATTTACGTGAATCTTCTTGCAGTTTTATTCACAAGAGCCACTACTGTCATTCATCACAATTTCCAAATTATGGAGGGTTTGTTTGTATTAACATTTGGAACCTCCCTTGGTTGGAAGTGAATCTTTTTTTTCAAGAAAACTCCGTTGCACTTACCTAAAATATTGTGAAACTCATTTTAAGGTTGCTAGCTAGAACACAGAATTTACTATATGTATACATAAAAGAAATTATTTGAATGTTCAAAACGAAGATAAAAAATGCATATGAATGTAAATAATTTAACAATAATCTTAATTGTTTAAAAAGAAGAATTTGAAAAAAAATATTAAAAGACAATTTTCATTCTAAATGAATATATATATAATAAATATATTAAAATCCGCTCTCCGCTCTTTGGTACCAAAATTTGCCTTCGAAACCATCTCGTTTTGAGCAGCAGGTGTTCTATAAACGAATCGATTTGAACAGAATTGAGCGTAGATGATGTCAAATTCGTTATACAGATATCGAAAACTTGGCCTAAGAGAGGGTCTTGAAAACGACTACAGATACCCATATGCGTGCAAAGAGTTAGGGTTTATTCTCAGAGCAACTTTTCATCAATTCCCCAAAACCACGCAATCCGCCATCTTCGATGACATCCTCTCTGCCTTCCGTCTCCTCCCAGGGTAATTATTTCCCCCATCAGCAATTCTATTCATCTTTAATTTGAATACCTGATTTACTATAGCTTTTGCACTATTTTCTTCTAATTGAATGCTTACTGGAAAGTACACCAATGTTTCAATTCACAACCGAGATGTGTGAATGGTTTCAATCATTTTGTAACTTACCTTTTGTTTTTTGCTTCTGAAAAATATTTATTAAGTATCAATTATTTAGCTAGAGTCATGATTCCTCTAAGGTGAAAGCTTTTTAAATGGTCAGGAGCATCGATGCTGATAACTGAACTACGCACACATTGCACTGCAAATCTTCTGTTTCAAACTAATTCTTTGGAAGAGAAGAAATATATGAAAATAGTCACAGGTGAAAGGTGAGTAGGTGACGGGGTTGGTTAGAGAGGATGGTTCTTTTCATAGTGGAAATTAAAATTGGATAAGTGGATGAGGTACTTCTCCAGATATTAAAAAATACAATTGCTATCTGTTACATAAAGTGGGTAGGGGAAGCTGGCTGGTAAAAGTATCAAATTGTTAATTATGACCATATCCTGCTTTTTTTTTTTTTGTCCATGCTTTTCACTTGAATTAGAATTGAAACTAGCATTGGAGAATTTTCATTTACCACTGGAAGAGCTGTGCTTTTTACAATAATATGCTATCGATAAAATCAAGAAGTGTGAATTTTTGTCTTTTCTAACCGGGGGAGCAAGTAGCTGTGATGAGCATCTAAGTGCAGTCTTCATGGACCACGTTACCTTGTTTTTTATAATGCTCTCTAATTTTAGAATGCAGACTCAGAGTGCTGTTTCCGCAGTCCATTTCCTCCTAAACAGTGTAAAAGTAGCACTACCAAAGCAGAAAAAGAATATTGCTCTGACCGAATTTAAGCATGCAATAGTTGCTCATAAGAGGTGTCATAAAGCTCAGCAGGCACAGGAAGGTCAGATTATATATAAGAAATAGCTTTACGTTATATATTTATATTACTGAAGAAGGCAAACAAGTCATGTTGAAGAAGTTTCTTTTTCCTGTATTGCAGGTTCATTGCAACTGCCACAAGATATGCTTGTGCACATTTTCAGTTTTCTTGATATGAAATCTTTGGTCTTAGCAGGGCTAGTCTGTTGGTAATACATTCTTCTTTTATGTTAATTGTATATATATCATCATCTTGTTTCTTGAGGATGTGAAACACTAGTAGCTAATCATATATTTTTTGCTGTGTTGTTGTTGTTTGTTCATTAAATTTGTCATTAATATTGTTATAAATCATTATCAAATAGCAATTCATTGGTGATTCATGGATGTTTGCATATTTAGGTCGTGGAACATAGCTGCAAATGATAACCATCTGTGGGAGATGCAGTATCTTGCACTGTATGGTAAACAGCCACCTATGAGATTGGTTGAAGGCAAAAACAAAAGGCTTTTGCAGGAATCTGTAGATACTAGAACTGGTACTAACTGGAAACAGGCTGTTAAAGGATCATACACAGGTAAGTCAAAAATTGAGGAAATGTCCTTGTTTCTCTTATCACATTCAATGTGTTCCCAGATGACTAATGAGATAAAAGTATGCTATAGTAGAACTGGAAAAATATTATATACATATCTTCTTTTACTTTGATTGACATCATGCTCCTGGCAGAATGTAAGTCAATATATGGAGATAATGATCGCTAATCATTTCATTTAATTGGTTATCCGATTCATATTTGATGCTACAGTGAGTTAGAATTTTTCAGTAGTTTTCATGATCATTTCACAGAGCATGGGGGGAGGGAACTAAATCTGCATTTTAATTCTTTTAGGAACTAAACTACAGCTTAAGAAAGGAATGTTGAATTTCATGTTATAAGCTACTTTGTCTCTTGCAGATAGGGAAAAAACACATATATGCATACTTGTGCATTCAAATTTTCTCCTGTGTCTTAATTAGTTGATTTTGACATAGGAGCATTATCTAAGAAATTATCGATGAATCGGGGATATTGTGGACGCTGCAAATGTATAGTTTGGCTAAATAACTCAAAATGCTCCAATGCACGCTGTAGAGTATCTGAAATTCAAAATATCAAGCCTCTATCTCCATTCAAGGTATGTTCTATACCACTTTGTATATGGTTTATAGAATGTTTGTTTTTCGGCTGGTGCAGTTTCAAACAGACATTCCCCGAAAAGTACCAATGTTTATCTGTTTGCATGCATTGGAAAGCGTGCAGGTGGAAAACCGAACACTTAGCATGTTTGATTTCTTCTTAAAATAATTTTATGTTTGTAAAGATAAAATATATTACAAATTTATATTATATTTTATTTTTCAAAACAGAAAATTATTTTTAAAAGGAAAATTAAACATGCCCTCATTCTTCACTTTTTTTTGTGTGGGGGGGGGAGGGAGGGGGTAACATTGGGAGGAGGGAGAGGGGGCTGATTCTGTTTCCACATTTCATGGTGAATTGTCCATCGCTGGAAACTAGCTCCTTTTACCTCAGACTTGTTCCAGTACACAGTTGCGAACATGGAATCCATTAGTAGAGTTATTTGAAGATTAAAGCCTACTTTTATTCACACTAGATTGCATTGTTGATTGTCTCCAGCTATTGTACGACAGAATTTACTTAACTATATGCCTAATACTAACTTTGTTGCCCTAATTTCAGTTTGTCGATTTTCTTCTGGATGGTTCTATATCGGAACCATCTTCCTCAGACAGTGACAGTGACAGTGACAGTGACTCGGATGAAGGACCAGTTTCTAGGTTATGGGCATATCCCAAGCATATAAGATAACTATAGGGGACAGCTTTTGCATTGAATCAAATATATGAATATGATGATTCTGTTCCTATAAAATATTTCAGGTTGCCTGCAGAATAAAATATTTCTTTTCAATAAGTAGTTGGTGTCCTTTTCTCTAGTATGAGAATGATCGAGCTGCTTGCAATTGCTGATCCAACTAAAAATTTTGTAATAAAAAATATAGCATTCAATATTATTAATGTATTGAATTTTATATCTTATTATTTTTAATAAAAATTATACATAGATTTTATTGTGTGCTAAGGTACAGATTAAAAAAACTTTCATAAATTTTATCGAAGTATTTACTTACAGAAGTATATGCATCCCATTTTGTATTGCTCTCTCATGTAGTGGAGAAAGAGTAGTAGTTTGGAGTTCTTCAATTGAAAGTAAAGGTTTCTGGTTTGGGCGAGTTTGGGTGTTGACGTGTCTCGAACTTGGCACACTATGATGGCGTCGCCACAGGGAAACCATTAGACCAGGCTACAGACGAACGGCACAATGGGAACTTTTGATTATATGTTAAGTTTATTGAAGAGCTAGAAAGGTTTGTTTTCTGTTATTATATGAATATTTTAAATTTTAAAATAAAATTTAAATAATGATAAATTAAAGAAAACAATTTTCAACTTATATCAAGAAACATAATTTTTATTGTTATGATGTTTAAAATTCTAAAATTTAGGATTCACTAATTTTATAATGATATTAAATTGAAATTTTTATTAAAAAAACTTTAATTTGATCTAATTATGTCAATTTTTAAAACTTAAGTCAAGGTAAATTTGCAATTAAATTTAAATAATAGTATTTAAAATATAAATAAAAATTTAAACGCTGAATATAAAAATAGTTACATAACTTATTGAAAAAATAAATTAAGTGCCATAAATTTAAGAATACTTATATAAGCTTCATTCATTTCTAAATAACGTTGACTAATTTTTTAAAAACAATTAGTAGGACCTCTTGCAGTAAAGATCATCCCACCTATAGGTGACTTCTACTTTCTTCCATCGCAGCCCCAAAATAAGTAGCAGGCATTTTAACACTGTCAAATTCATCATATATTTAAATTTTGTATCATCAATTTTCAAGTAAGGAATTCTGTTAATGGCCAATCAAGGAATTTAAAACAAAGAACAGCAAATAGAAAATGGTTAATTTAACCTGGGAAGCACTTCCGTAGATGACATGGGGTACACGTTCATCAATTCAATGTATACAACAAAATGACATTCAATTTAAGACTGGTCATAAAAAATTCAAGATAATCCTTAAAAGTAAAGCCGGGACTTGGTGGACTTTTATTCCTCAAACTATATTTCACTAACTAATAAAAAGAGGAAGAAGGATTGCGGTAAGACTTTGAAACTTGACATCTGAACGAAACAGTCATCCAGCGTTAACAATAACCTGACTGATGAGTGTTCTAATCCTTTTTCAACCCTGCAATAGGTATCTGGCTTAAAACCTTTGCATCTAGCACGGCATACTGCTTTTTAATTTCAATCATTGCCTTTTCAGCAAATGCATCAACCTGGTCTTCATATTTCTCATACACCAGTGGCAATGTGAACAGCGACAAATAGACTGTATCCAATCAAATGGAATCAGTGTTAGGAGAATACCATTAAAAAGGTAAAAGCACAAAACATAGAAACATGCGAAATTGGGAAGAATGGAAGTAATGCATGAAATCTTACATAGGTAAAACAAGGTCAAGAAGTTGAACCAACTCCCAACAACAGAGATAACCCACAATCCAGCAACAACCTGGTGACAAAAAAAAAAAAACCTTAATCCTATTGCTGGTGCTACTGTCTGTAAAGAGTCTGTATGAAGGGAAAAGTAACCACTAGTATAGCATGGTGCAAAACGAAAAGTTGAATATGATATGAATGGATATGAATTTCAGTTGAACCTGAATTACTCACAAAATCCAAAGAAATCCATTCGAATTCAACGGATTTCATCATAAAACAAGTGTTTCACATAGGGATGAAGGGAGGAATCAACTTACGCGAAGGAACTTCCTTAAATCTCGTCCAGTTCCAATTTCTCGCAAAAGAACAAAGGCTCGGTTAATTTCAGTTCTCAATGCAGAAACAGTCTGAAGAAGGCATTCCTCAGGAATTGCAACATGCGGGATTTGGAGTGGAGACCTAGTTGAGAGAATGTCAAGACCAAATGAAAGGACATAAATTAAGATACATGACATCATAGCTCATTATTAAGTGTCAGTTTGGATTGGAATTCAGTAATCCAATGTAAATAGAATATTCCTGAAATTTTCACCTTTATTTTTAAGGGAGACATCAAACTAACTCGACAGAAACAATACAAGAATTTCGAATGGCTTACTTATGGATAAAGACAGACGCATTGGACCACAAGAAAAGGGCAGCCAGAGTCAAAATCAATAAATGGCAGACAAAGGTTATCAAGTGGTAGTCCATTAACTCAAAGAAAAACCAGAAGGCAGTGCCGGCACCAAGTACAATTCCTGTAGTTCTCTTGTTCCTCCATAGCAAAATATCAGCAGCTGCAACGGACACATGCAAGGTAACAGGATAATACAGTGAGTAGAATAATTGGTTTTATCACAAAAAATAAAGTAGATTTTATTTATCATTAAATTGTTCCAAGTTCTACAGGAAGTCGAAAGATAATTGATGAAGTAGGTTGTCATTTAAAATCAACCCCACATAACAGCAATATCAAATGATGTAGCGAAAATGTCACAAGGCTTTACATATAACCTTCTACTATAGAGTGAAATGAAACAGAAGAAATTCACCCGCCTAGCAAAATACTGTCTCATTGTTACATACCAAATCAACCAGACATTATTGCTGCCTTTCATCTCGTTTGACAGTTGAAAATTTTTCCAAAAGTTTTTTACACTAAAAGCCGTTCTAGCTTTGGATCCAAATCCAATGAATAAATAACATACATTATTGAATAGCTTTCTGCAAAATGTGATGTCCAAACATTCAGAGCTATGTAATCTAATCTAACAACAACTCACATTTATGCTACGCCAAAAATGATGAATAATGTGTCTGATTTCGCATTAGAATGCATATAAATCCACATTTATTTCAACGCTACTAATTATATGTTATGCGATAGATCCATAGCTTCATAATGTCTTCTCAAACAGACACCAAATCAATGTCAAATGTGATTAACAGAACACTGGCATAATAAAAAATACGACATCGTTATGCATCGAGATGTGATCAGATAAAAAACATTTTAACACTTGTTTAGCAATTTCATTAACCGAAATCGTTATGTCAGCCTCGGATCATAAACGACGCCAGAAATGAAAGTTTCTTTTTCTATCGTATTATTCGTACACGTAACTTCACCGATCAAAAACAAAAACACGCGCACTGAGCAATAAATGAATAATGCAAGATAACATGAAGAAAGGCAAACAAAATGCAGAATCAATAGCGAGAGGAACATGAGTTACGTTTTCCACCGCCCAAGACCTTGTGAACGGGCTGATCGCGACCGAAGAGGCGATAAACGTTGGAGTTGGAGGTATTTTTGAGCGGTGGCCTGAGATTGTGGTCGTCATCGGAATCGGAATAGGATTCGGAATCAGTGTTGTGATCGTGAAACTTCTCTTCTATCTTATCGACGAAGGAATCCGTGTCCGCTGACGCCATGGATGAGAATGGAAATGAAGAACGAGTCGCACACACAAACAGAGAGAAGCGAGTTTCACTGAAGCGTCTCCATTTATATTTGGCGGGTCGTGAAGTCCGAGCCTCAAGTTCGGAAGGTGGTTGGGAATGAATAACGGAAACCTCACACATCAGGTGCAGCCACAGAGCGAGCCAGGCTCTAACATTTATTTTTCATTTCCCTCTGTCTAAAATTATTTTCATTAAACTGGTCATTCATTAAAGTTTTTGTAGTTAAATTAGCCTTGAATTAAGATCTCATATGTTTAAAATCTCATTTATAGTTGTAGAACGTTAAAATGGTGATGCAAACAATGAATTTAATGGTTATTTTGTATTTTTGAAGAATTAGTTTGTATTTTTTAAACATTATCACAAAAAAATTATTTAATTTAAATATAATTTTTATTTAAATTCAAAACCGTGATTCTCTTCTTTGATAAATAAAATTTGTTATAAACATTTAATATTTATCAAATTAGTAACATTATTAAAGTCAATATTCCCATGTTCAGAAAACCGAAATTCAAATGAGCTGTTGGTTATTCAATATTGATAAAAAAGAAGAAAAATATTGTTATATGTTTTGTTCTTTACAAAAAGCTACATTGTTCTTTCTTTCCCTTAGTGGGATTTGGCTACGTACACTTGTGTCAGATGAAAAGAAAGCCAACTATTACTACCTTATTTAAGTTAAATAGTTAAGAGAAAATAAAGAAAAGGAGGGGTCATTTGTATGATAAAGAAAAACAAGAGTGTTTGGAAGGGTGTGGATAGAAAGAAGATGCTCCTTCCTTCCTGATCCTATAAGCGTGCATGGAAGAGACACTCAAACAAAAGTGGTCAACTTAGACAGAAGAGTATTTACACAGTTTCCTTTTCATTGTTTTCATCTTTGCTTTTTGACTGCCATCTTCAATGTTGCAGGAGATATATACATCTATTGCAATTTATATTCATGTAGTTTTCTTTTTTTATTTTTGGAATGATTCAAACAAGATAAAGTGTTGTCCCTCTAGTTATTAAAGAAGCAACCCCATGAGGTGTTACTACTGTTACCTAATACAACAAATGAAACACACATACTAGCATTTTGGGATCCACCCACTCCCCCAGCATGCTTTTAGAATCCAAATCACAAAATAAAAGTATGTTTGATTGCTGTTTCTTATGTTAAGTCTGTGTTTGGATGAACTTTTTTTTTTTTGAGAAAAACTTTTATTTTCTAAAAATTATAAAAAAAAGTGATTATTTTCTTAAAATAAGTTAAATAAAATATAAACTATTTTTTTTATTTTTACTTTAAATTAACTTTTGTATTGATATGAGAATTTGATTAAAACACAAGTATTCAAATATAAAACGTTTTATTTTTTAAATTAAATTATTTTTTAGTCTCTTTAATTTATATTATAACTATTTTTATTATGTTAATTAATTATGTTATTTTATTTTTAAAATAAAGTAAGTTTGGTCTTGTTGCTAATATATTTATCATTCAAATTCTTAAACTATTATTTTCTGTGTATATTTGAGAGTCTGTGGTTGAATTGTGGAATGAAACATATTTAAGCTTAAAAGTAAAAAATATAATAAATTTTGAAGGATTTTATAAAAAGATAAGAGTATGTATGAGTGAAAGAAGGTTTAAATAAAAAATAAATTAAAATATATTAGTTATAAAACATTTTTATACTTTTATCTAATCATGAATTGTAATATTAACTAGAATTATTTATGTTTGTAATAATTATTTTAAAAATTATATTTATTATGTATTATAATTAGTTGATATTGGACAATTGTTACATTAATAATACATTAAAACTAAACTAGATTTAGTATGCAAGTTAATCTTTTCTAATTTGACCCACGAATTCAACAGTACTTGTCTTACTTGATATGCGTTACCCACATTGTATCATATCCAGTAACCTAACCTATTGCCTCCGCCATGTTCTACTGAACCTTCTTCTCATTCATAATCATACTGTTTCATTTCACCTTGCAATTTCTTAATAAAATTTCCAAGTAAAAAACGCACCTGTATTCAGTTCACACACAGTACCCAGTCAAAGTAGGTTACCAAATGGAACATGCACAGAATATTAACTCATCCCCACCAAAATTCTCCTTTCTATATATGAACATGCACAAACATGAATTTCTCTACAATACTCGGTGAGCTTCTATTATCTTGTTTTAGTTTGGTGCTGAAAACCACACAAAACTTTATGGTTCCAAATCCTGTCTTGCCCCCTCTAGTATGAAGCATGAAGACCCCACTTAGAAATTTCCGTAAGGAAGAATCATTTGACCCATTGATTTAATTGTTATTGTCCTAATAGCGACAGGAAATGCCACCCTCAACCACTGGAATAGAACCCACACAAAGTGTCGCACTGGCGACCATCCAGTGAACAAGAAGTTAAGAATTTAGAATAATTAATTAAACAAATTTAAAACATGAATTCTAGACAAGCCACTAAATGTACTTATTCAAATCTAATTGATTTAATTTATCTTTTGCGATCATCCGTCTAGAAAACGTCAATTGCAATATAGTAGTGTGTCTTTCCTAGATTAGTGCAAATTGTAAAGTTGTTAAATTCATAGGTACACAAGACCTGGAATAGCAATGGGTTACGAGAGAATCATTTTGTGACTATGATATCACAATGGCTTTTTGAAAGCAGTCATCGCATTATTGAGTCCTAACAAGAGAGTATCAGTATACCAGATTTTCATTGAATGAAGCTAATCTTGCAACCAACAGTAGTAATATAAGCATTATCTACTTTATTTTAAAACCCTTGATTTCGAGTTATATATTAAAATATGTGGAGTAAGTTTTAAAAAAATGAGATAAATCAAGGATTAAAATGGGACAAAACGTCCTTGTGATCATTTAAGTATCATATCATGTCATATTTTATGCTAAAAAAATACACAGTCTTCGTAGACTCAGCAACAAATTCTGCCGAAGTAAGAGGAATCAATTTCATATCGTGCAAGCCATAAACCAGGCAAGTTTCCTTTTGTAATTGGTAAGAGGCGAGGGAAAAAAACTTATATATAAAATGAGGATACGTCTATTACTATTTCAACTTATTTATTATAATTTTTGTTTAAACTACTTTTTTTTTCTTATGACCATATTAATAATAAAAACATTTTAGACAAATTATTTAATTAAGACTGACAATAAACACACGTGAGACCAAAAGACACTCCAATAAAATCACACACCCGTCCCCTGTGATTCCGAGTACAATTCCTTGTTCTTACCCAATTCCAATGTGGTCAATCTTGTATTATACTTACGGTTTAAACTTTTACCAATCAAATGAAAATCTTGGATCTTTTGAATGATTGCATTTTTTTTTCTGGGTTGAGCACAAACATTTGTAACTAAAACTTATTTTTAGGATATTTTAGTTTCAAGGTGTCACTATACATCAATTCTGGCTCAGAACCCTTTTAAACTTGAAAGGTATCTTTCAGAAGTAATTTGAGCCTGGTTATGATTTGGCTTGTTTGTTGTGTGTGTTGTAAAAATGTGTAAGAGATTGATTAGCATTTAAGTTTGTGATCTTCCATTGTCATTGATCTGAGAGAAACTTGAGAGGGGGGGGGGGGGGGGGGGGGAGTAATTCTAGATGAGGACCACAAAATATTCCATTCTACACAAGATCAGCATTTTCCCCAAGTATACACACAGATAATGCAGCTTTTAGGGTTATTATCTGTAGGACACTAGGTGATGCAGTTCAAGTCCATACAATGCATTAAAATTTGTCTTTCTTTTATACTTTTGTTATTCCAAAAACATTATTTCTTGGTTATATATGATTCTATCTTTTTCACCTTTCACTTTCTGGGAATAATTTTTCCCTTTTCTCAATTAATGATTGATGATGAGGACTATCTTGTATAATTATAATAATAGATTTTCTAGATACTTTCCAATTTTTATATTTATTAAAATTTGTATTTGATTTAATTAAACAGTGAGTCAACAGCTAATAACCCCTACTAGATACGGGACCAACCCTACTAAATCCCTTAGAATTCCCCAAGAGTACTAGACAAAGAATTATTAACAATTTCAAGTTGTGATAATTTCAGCCAGGGATGGAAGAAATAAAAATAGCCTTGATGCTTGATATATTATTTTCATCAGCTGCGGTGTGCAAATTGTTTTGGAAATGTGCTCAAAATAGTCATACATAGCTTATGGACATTGAGAAGTTGGTTGAGTATTCTAACTTAAGGCCTACTAATTATGGTGCACCCAATTAAAAAAGGAATGATGTTCTACCTAGTTAGAGACAATTCTTTTGAATTGACATTTCCATGTGCATAATTCATGGACAAGAAATTCATTGAAGTCCAAGATGTATTTCTCTCTGCCATAATCCAAATTATGAGTGATTAATTTATTCATTTATGTTTGGATCTTGCATTTTGTAACCCAATAAAAAAAAGAAGAGTGGAAGACTAGCCAAACCATGTTAACAAGTCAAACCTTTTGAAGCAAAAGACTTGGACCCTTCTGCTCATTCAATGGCACAAAGACTTGGACCTCTTCAACCTTAGGTATAGTCACATAGGATGGGGTCCTAAAAGCAGCAGTACATGCGTGCTCTAGCTTTGCACCTAATGACTTTGCCTTGTAAAAGAACCCAATTTTCTGACTTACACCAGCTCTTTTTAATTGCTCTCTCTGTAAAGAAAAAAGGTAAAGCAGTTGATAGCCCTTACGTTTCCTTTGCCCTGCATTTCTCTCTTTTTTATGAGCCTTTCTTTTTTAATCCTTTTCTCTTTCGTTTTCTTTCCTTCTTTTTATCTCCCCCTTTTCCTTTTCTTACCCTCTACCTTTTTGGAAGTTTCCTATCACCATCCCTTCCCCCAAACACTAGTATCCCCTACTTCCATTCCATTGTCTAATTCCTTGTTCAATTAAAAAGAGCAAAAATAATTATAATAATAAGCTCCATGTTGTTTTTAATGATTCATTTATAATTAGATGTTACCTATCATACTCCTATACTTTCTTGGATAAGAATTACCAATAGACTAAAGTACCTGAATAAAGTATACATATGGTTTAACCACTAAAAAATGAAAAAAATGTTCTTTATAATAATTCAAAATCTCATTAGATAACCACATTTTAACCTAAGTGTTATTGTAGTTTGATAAATGTGTCCCATAGTCCCATACCTCATATAAAATAACCCTATATTAAAAACAATTAATCCAAAAATGACATTATATCTCTGTGAATCAGAGAGAAAGTATTTGATGATTCAATGGAGTGGGATCAGAAGTGGGCCAAACAAATCTCAGTTTTCAAATTTACCTGTTGAACTCTGATGAAAGACTGAAACGCTTCGTTCATGACTCTGGATGTATCAAAGGACTGAGCTCAGAGACACTGTACACTCGGTGCCTTTTTTATCAACCCTCTCTTTCTCTCTCTCCCCCACATGGTCACTCTCCTGTTTCAGGTCCAAACAACCAATTTTAGAAACCTAAAAATAAAAATAAAAATAAAATAGTGGAAAATGAAAACAAAAAGCGCACCGTTTCACTCCAAAAAGCAAAAGCTAAACACCTCTGATTCCCAAAGAAAGCACCGTATTCAATGCTTACACAAGCCATTAAACGAAGTGAAAAGCTAAGCAAACTGAACCCTCTCTCACTCGTTCATTCATCACTAAACTGTCCCTATAAAACCCAAACCCAACCCGAAATTAAACACCAACATACTATCCTCTCTCTCTCCCTCTCTAGATTCTTCAATCTTCCATGGACGCTCTGAACTTCTTCAAGTTCTGGAGACACGCCACCATGACAAGTACCACTACCCAAGTTCCTCATCTTGTGGTGGAAACAGACAGTGAATCCGACGAAGACGACTCGTTCTTCGACTTGGAGCTCACGGTTCATGATTTCGACAACAAAGAAAACAACAGCAACACCAACAAAAACGAAGACGACCCACCACAAAAGACAACGAACGAGTTTAAAGGTCATTGTTCCAAAGACGTATTCACCAAAACACCCAAGAGTGAAGTTCATGAAACCCCGCTAAACACGATACTTCCTCTGTCTCCTAACGTAGAACCAATATCCAAACGAAAAGTCCTCCCAATCGAGCCTATTTCTAAGCCTCAATCTCCCATTGCACTTCTCAGATCAGCACCCAGTTTCAGAATCTTCATGTTCAGAAAGCGAAACCGAATGCCACAACAAAAAACAGAGCACCCTGTCAAAACAGGGTGTGACACGGGAAAGAGCCAGAAGAAGGAAACAAAGGTCTTTGCAGTGAAACTGAACGTCGAGAATTTCCATTCTTCTCCCACCCTTAGCAGAGACAACAGCACCAGAAGCTTTGGAAGCAAGGTTCGAAGTAATAGCTATGAAGAACCGAAACCAGAGCGGTTTTCAAAGGAGGTTTTGCAGAAGTATCTGAAGCTGATTAAACCTCTGTATGTTAAAGTTTCGAAGAGGTACAGTGATAAGGTGAGATTCCCCGGCGAGGGTTTCACGGCTTCGCCGTCATCGTCGCCGTCGGTGGCATCTGTTTCTTCGAGGAAGGAGAAGCAGGGGAATTTTCCGGCGGGGATGAGGGGCGTTTCTAAGCATTTGGGTAAGAGCAGGTCGGCGTCGACGGTCACCGGTATTGGTTCTCCGGCGAATAGGAGCGATGATACGCTGCTGCAGCAACATGATGGGATCCAAAGTGCCATTCTTCACTGCAAGAGGTCCTTCAACTCAAGAGGTAATTTTCCCTTCCTTATCTATGGGAATTTCTTCTGCGTAATTTATTTTATTTTTTTTAGTTTTAAATAAACATTTAAATTTTATTACCGTCATTCATTTATAAATTAATTTTTTATATTATAAAGAAATTATATCTTAACCTTTATACAAGGGTTTTATCTTATTACGTTTTAATTTTAACGTAGCGAATAAAATGTAAATTATTTTGTAGTATAATTAATTTGTAAATGAACATTAATTTAAATTTTGAATTGGGTTGATTATGAATTTTAACATGATTTGAAATTGGTCTTTTTGCAGAGGGATCAATGTATTCGCTGAGAAACTCCTTTGAGGGTGAACATGTGGCAAAAGTTTAATTTTGAAAAAGAGGGAACATAAAAGGGTTGTTGTAGTTTATCTGAGGTGGTGAAAGCATAGAAAGAATTGAATAGAGAAAAATGAGAATGTTATTAGTGAATTTGTGTTATTGTAAAGAAAAGGGAATGGTAGTTTAGGCATGATGATTAGTTGGTGTGCTAGACTCCCCTGCTGGTCAGTGTACATTATGAAAAGAATCAATTTTACCTCTGATTTGGGATCTTCCACTGTGTGTGGGTTTTGCACTTTGCACTCTGCTTTAGGTTACTTTCTCATTTTTTGATTAGATGCCCATCAAGTGATTCAAACCCAACAACGTTTCTTTCTCATTGTTGACATGACTTCCAACTTCATTCTAAGACTTGTTTCCTTTCTTTTTCTAAAGGCCAATGGACAAAAAGTGAGGAGAAAGGGAAAGAAAAAAGTTTTTGTTTGCAAAGAGTTGTGAAATTTTAGATATTATTTCATGCTCATTATTATTTTCTGAATTTACCCTGTTTTATAAACCAATTTTGTTGACCTAGACATAATATTTTTTTAAAATATAACTATTATATTATTGACAAAAAAATATTATTTTAAATACTTCAACTTGAGTACTTGACCTTTAGGATTGAGATTAATAAAATTATTTTTAGAATAGTATTTATTTAAATTTTTAATGAATAAAAATTATAAAAATTGAAGGTTTTTTTAAAATTATAATAAAAACAATTAACAATATTCCGAATAATTTTGAAATTTTTATTCTTTAGTCAGTCTTTTAGAGATCTTATTTAATATCTGTCTTTTTAAATATGGTATGAAATATTAGTAATATATGGATAATGTTGAAGGCTTCTTAAAAAAAGAAAAGTAAAATATTTTAAATAAAAAAATGTTTAGCGCTATTAATATATATTACCCCTTTTTAAATATTTTTATCCATTAATTTAATGTATACAAGACCCTGAAAAGTAACTTGCATCAGAGCATGAATACACGTTGAAACCAGGAGCCATCAATGCCTTAAAAGCTAGTGCCATGAGGAGCCATCGGTACAAAGGTTGTGTGCTTCAATAATAAGATATGATTATATATATATATATATATATATATATATATAATTTAATTAATATGCATATTATATTAAGAATATAGTTTATAGTAAGTTATTTAATGAATTGCCTCAATATAATTACTTTTCTATATTTTATTATTAATTATAACTTCGCTACAAAAGTTGATAATTTTGTGTAGTTAATTGTCTTAATAGAATTATAGATGTACTATTTTAAAATATTATTAATAATAAATCATTGACAATAAACTAATAATTAATCATTTTGGACGTATTTTTTTATATTTCAAATTATATTGTTTTTATATTATAGAAAATTGTGAAACAAAGGAATATAATATCCTGTGATAAAGTATACTAAATTTATATTAGTCTTTTATTATTAAAAATGGAGATGTTTGATGATACGTAAGCAGAGGACTCTAAATTCGCATGAGTTGCCTTTGGTATAAGAAATTAGACGATCACTTTTAACCTTCTCGAGGTGATTACAAGTTTTTACCTCTTGTTAATTACAAACATGACAAGACAAGTTATTTAAATTAACGTTATATCATCTTAATAATCCAAAAATATTTGAATTTTAATATCTTTTTATTGGAAAAGTTTATATATATAGTTTTGAAATTGAAGTAATTATCATGTAATCGTGGTCATTATCATCACGGGTGCAAAGTTTGAATTGAAGTAATGGACTGGGTTTAGGTCGTAATGGTGCGTGGAAAGATGATTGGAGATGTTCAAGTATGAAATGTGGTGTTGGTGAGAAAGAGAGTGTTTTGTAATTTGTAGAGAGGAGTAGGGGTTATGCGGTGTACAAGTATTTCCACTTAATCCTAATAACATACATTTTTTTAACATTTTTTAATTTGATTAAAATTAATTAAAAACTAAAAAATTATGTGTCTTATTTTTTAATTCTAAATTAATATTTTTTTGTAATTTTTAATAAATTTTAATTAAAAAATATAAGAATATATATATTAAAGAGTGTATGGGTAAGTTTAGTCTTGCTACATTTCTAAGGCATGATTAATAAGGGTGAGAACTAAGCAAAAAATCACCAAACGTGGCCCCACACACTTAATGGTGTGCCACAATAGCAGATTTGGCTTTCACTGCCATTTCAGTTTAGCGGAAGCCACAAGGCAAAGTGGTCCTTTTCTGCATGATGTAGGCCATTCTTTTGTTTTTCATATGCCTTGGTAGAGCAGTAATTCTCTCACCATCTGTTATTATATTTGTCATGCAATTTTAATTTAATTCTATAGATATATTTTTATTTATGTGTGCAAAAAAAATTAAAATGATTCTCAACCTTAGGATTTGATACAGCACTATCTTTTCCTTGTTGTAGTAAGAGTTAAGAGTTATACTTTTTTTTGTTAAAAATATATTATGTATTTTTAATGTAATTCCTAAACGATAATGCTTTTTAGAATAGTCCTTGATATTTTTTAGTAAAATTCGGAACAAATTGGAATTATTATACATGTAAAAATGAAATTTAAATTATATAATATATATAGTTAGCAGTCGACCATAGTTAGCTGCCTCAGAAAGAAAGAAACCATGTTTACTTACTTTTAAGCGTTACTTTTTTGAATCGAATAATATCAACATAACGATAAAAAGAATACATAAAATAAAAATGCATTAAAATTTTCAACTCGATACTCTGAAATCTTGGCCATTCTATGTTTGAAAGCTGAATATTAAAAAGAAAATGCTAAAAAGAAAAGTATATGTGGGCATGACTGACGAATCCACGGCTATGGTTTAACAAGAAAAGAAAATCCCCAGTTGTTACGTGTGGGATCATGCGATGTTTCATTGTCTGCTTCAAACTGGGATAGAGAAAGAGACAAAAACCTAAGCTAGGTTCCATGCACCATTTTAAGAAGCCTAAAGTTAGTTAAGAAAGTTACAATATAAGGCGTAGGTTCTCTTAAAACTTGAGGAGTGAATATGCATTGCACCCAGAAACACTACATAAACAGCGACCCAACACCTTTTTGTCCTCCAAGAATGGTAGATATGCTATGTTTCCTCAGCAGATTATTGTGTCTCTATCTAGTAAGGTTATATATATATATATATATACATATACTGTCATTTACATAAAGGCAACATGGATGAGAGAATCGTTGAATCCATTTTCCGGTAATATGTTTCCTGTTTTGGGATAATCACATTCTTAGGAGACATTATGATTGGGAATTGAATTCCATGCTTTTAGTTCATTGCATCTTCTTGTTCATTAGATTAATTTTTTTACACCCTTCAATAGTAAACAAGGAAAACTATTCCACATGTCACAACATACATGCGTCTCACTAAATTCGAGGCTAAGAAACATAATGGATTTAGTACATTGTCGTTCTTCTATCGGTAGGTGATCTATCTCAACATCTCGAGATAAAACAATCCATGTGCACTTATTTAACTATCAACACAAAAATATATATGTATTTTAAGATAACTAAAATGTCAAAGTCTCCACCAATATTTAATCTTCTTCATCAGGACTTCAAGTGATATTTTAAACAGTAATTGGATATATTATAATTCTCATTTTCAATATCTCATTCTAAATTAATTTAGTTAAAAGTAAATAACAAATTATCGAAAACCCATATAAAATTTTAGGCTGCAATATTCGAAATGTTTTCTATATAATGTTCTAAATTCGGATATCTTAGAATTAATGATTTCTTTTTCTCTCTAACTAGAATTAAAGAACATATTGACTGAAAAATCATTGGAGAAAAAGGCTTTATTCCACGTTGGAGTGGAATGGAGGCTTTATTCTTTTTATGCTTTATTTATTTATTTATTTATCGATCGATAACCTTGTTAGCAATTTTTTGTGTGTGAGTGTGTTGATAAATACCTAGTATGAAAATATTAAATAGACATTATTAATTTTTTAAAAATTATTAAAGAAAGTACTTGATGACTTCTGTATATTTTAGAAATAAATATCTTTTTTTCACAAAAGTTTCTAATTTTATCTTTTTACCATGTATCCACCACGAGTATACATTCGAGATACGTGCATTTTGTAATTTTAAGTTAAATTGCTTTGTAGGTTACTATATATATGATTTAATGGAGTTTTTAATGACTTTTTATAGGTTAGAAGTTTTTAATGGGGGGGTTTTATGTTTTAAAAAATGTATAAGTGTATGTTTAATTAAGTTTATTTTGAAGAAATTTTCATTTATTTTTTACAGCTTTATGTGAGATATTTTAACAACAAACAATTGTTTTTTATAAAAAGGTTCATTCAAACATGAACAAAGTCCATAATGAGTAATTGACTGATACTGGATAAAATTTTACTAATTTTCAAGAACTTATTAGAAAGAATAATCAATAAAGCTATAAAGATTTATGATTTGATTTAGTCTAATTTTTAAAAAACTAATAAATTTCTATGGCCCTACTAAGCAAACACGTTGACTTTGAGGAATTTTTTGGTTCAACGTTGACTTTAAGACTTTATTTAAAAAATTAAAGAAAAAGATGTTTAACAAGTAAAGAAAAGAAAAGGGAAAGTTAAAATTTTCTCTTATTTTAATATTAAAAACCCGTCAAAATGAATAAATTTTTTTAAAAAATATCAAACCAATTTTTTTTTATTTTCAAAATTCAAAGATCTTTTAAAAATTTTCTTCTTTTTCACTAATTCTAACCTGTAAACAAAGTTTTTTTTGGGTCTAGAACAGGAGGGGAGGGGGGGGAGTGGGAATAGAAGTATGGCAATTATTTATCACAAAATTCAAATTCTGTTCTCTTTAAGATCTTATTCCTCTTTTTCTACTTATTCCGTCTAAAGATCTTATCCCCTTAACATATCACTAAGCTATAAGGAGAGACAGACTTTAAGTACTGTTGGATGAGTTGGGTAGTAAGTATCCATTACAGACGCATGAAAGCCCAACAAAGAAAATGGATCAGATGGATTTTGGGGAAGGAGTTCAAGAAGTGGGCATTTAACAGTGTACATACATACACCCTTAAAGTACAAACAAATGTTAATATAGATTTTGTTAACTTTATTTTTAGGATTAAAGATATAGCTAATAATAGTAAAATCTTATTAAAAAAATTATTTATTTTATTTTTATAAGTTTAATATAATAAATATATATTTTTAATAAAAAAATTTATTTATGGATGCTTAAACTCAGCAGGGTTGAGATTAACAAAACTCTAATTTTATTGATGAAAGATTTAATTTAAGTATTGAGATTAAAATTGTATGAGTTAAAATAAAAATTATGTGAGCTTTATCCCTAATTTAATAAGTCTCATTCATAATTTTATGATATAATTTTAATAAATTTTAGACAATAGTTAAAATATATTAAAAAGTGTAAAAAGAAAAGTGTTTATAAAGAAATATGCATCAGAAGATGAAACATTGCCTTTGTCCTTCAATCTTCAGAGATACCCCAGATAGTGTGGAGATATCAAAACTAAGCATTTTATCTCCCTTGAAAATGAAAGTGTGCCAATTATATTTGGAAATATAAGGTTTTCTCTACGAATGCAGAAAAACTATTCTTTCATTTGATGATCTATTATCATAATAATAACAATAATAAAAAGCTGTTTTCCACTTGCGCCCATGCAACGTGTGCATTGTCACGGGCGAGGCTGCTGATTGTGAAGTGGGGAAAAATAGCTTTCTTCACAAAATAATAATAATGCTAATTTCTTCAGGTGTTGTGAAAAAAACACTACATTTGAAAGCTGATAAACGGACAAAAATTTATGGAGATTCATTGGTTGTGACATGTGATTGGGATAGAACAGTATGCTCGTGAATAAGTGTAGATATATTAGATACATAAAACAAGTAGTCTAATATGCATTAGTTCGTGTGTTTCAAAGACTTGACAGTTGTGTAAACATTAGTGTAGAGATCTCTAGTTTGTACAAATGGTAATGAATTAGTGGGTCATCTATGGTTCTATGAAGAAGGGAATAATATGTATAATGGAGAGAGCTTATTTTTCCACGGTGCAATGGAGTTTTGTATGATCAGGTTATATTAGAGTAAAATAGGGAGAATCCATGAACTGGAAACTCACAAAATGAATGATGATGAGATCCATGTCTCCAATCTTAGCCAAAAATAAATTAATAAATAAAAAGAGATCATGTCTCTTACAGTACGCACAACAACTCTTCACAAGGTTACAGTATCTTTAGATTTTATTATTTTGCAGAAAGTTTTTTTTTTTTTTCCAGTTTTGACCACAAACTTTTAAATTTAAGCACATAATATAATTATTGTCCTAGATTTATAATACCTTAGAAGATTAAACTATGATTGGATATTTGTGCGGCTGAAGATGCCTTCTTATCTACTAGGTTGTCTATTTGGATTTTTCTAACCACATATATAAGTTTATATTGGGGTACTTAAGTAGACTTAATGCTTTGTAAATATGAAATAAAACAAGAAAAAAGCTACAATTTCCTCAATGGCCTGAAATAATAGGAGAACAAAATGTTAGTCCTAAAATTCGTCCAACAAATTTTTGCTTGCTTTTGTGTTCATAAGAATAACTCACGTGCAATTTTTAATTTTGTTAAAGTATTTTATCGCAAAATAGAAAAGCTGAGAACTCTAAATAAAAGAAAATTCATTGAATATTTGTCTCAATATGAAAAATGGTAGGAAATTCGTTGGCATAAAATGGTAAGGGAGATATCAAATCACTTTTGTGTAAATTATACTCATTCTTTATGATAAAAGTTTTTAATATATAAAAGTAATAAGATGTGATAACGATTAAAAAAAATATTGTATAAGCTAATAAAAATAAAAGTTCATTACTATCACATTTTTTACTGTTATCTAACTATTCCTTTTGTACCATTGTTTTATTTTAATTTTAACCTTTTTATAATGTCATAGTTATGTTAAGATATATATTCACACGTATAAAATAGAACATCTTTTATCGTCTTTTGATTATAAAAATATATTTAAAGTATACAGATTTAAAAAAATATAAACAATATTAAGTTTTAAATATTCAACTAATAAAACTATTGTACTAACTCTTGATATAACAAGTGTTCACGGACAGCAGAGGTCGTCCATGTACAAATGAAATTTTCTTGATGAAGAAGAAAATATAATCCAACCAAGCAAAAGTCCTTTTTAATTATTGTTTTTTTGTCCCTCTCTTTATCATCCCCACCATCGTTATACTGCAAACAACACATGGAACCGATCGTAGTTGCATTGCATCCCACCAACACTTACACTTCACACTTCAAACTTCACACTCTACACTCCTTACTCCTATTCCTCTCCCATGGCAGAACAATCACCATCCACACCTCCACCACCCCTTAAAACCTACAAACTAACAGCAACTTCAATCTCTTACACCAAATCCACCAACACACTCTTCAAACACTGCACCACAACCCCACCAACCTACATCCTCAAAGACGTTTCTCTCACCGCTTACCCTTCTCAAATCCTCGCCATTGTTGGCCCAAGTGGCGCTGGAAAATCCACTCTTCTGGACATTCTCTCTGCTCGAACACTTCCTTCTAACGGCACTCTCTCTCTCAACTCTTCCCCTCTCAATCCCTCCACATTCCGCAAACTCTCTTCCTACGTCCCTCAACACGATGCATGCCTTCCTTTGCTCACTGTCTCCGAAACTTTCTTCTTCGCCGCGTGTCTTCTTATGCCTAAAACACCCAACATTGCTAACATTGTTTCTTCTCTTCTTACTCAACTGAGACTCACGCATTTGGCTAACACTAGGCTCGCTCATGGCTTATCTGGTGGAGAACGTAGAAGGGTCTCTATTGGCCTTAGTCTTCTTCATGATCCTGCTGTTTTGCTCCTTGATGAACCCACTTCTGGCCTTGATAGCACTTCTGCTTTCAAAGTCATGCAGATTCTTAAATCCACTTGCGTTTCTCGTAATAGGACTATTGTGTTGTCTATTCACCAACCCAGCTTCAAGATCCTCTCTTGCATTGATAGTATCTTGTTGCTTTCTAAAGGGAGTGTGGTTCATCATGGAAGTCTTGCTTCTCTTCAAGCGTTTTTGCACTCCAGTGGTTTCACTGTCCCTCATCAACTCAATGCATTGGAATATGCTATGGAAATATTGAACCGGTTGAGTGAGGTTAAACCCGTTACTCCCCCGAGTCTTCCTGAATCACCTGAAAGTTCAACGAGTTTTGTTTCTGATCATGGAAGTAAGAGCAGGGAGATCAGGTACAAAAGCTCTAGGATCCATGAAATTTGTACTCTCTATAGCAGGTTTTGGAAGATAATTTACAGAACTAGGCAATTGCTTTTGACTAACACGGTGGAAGCACTTCTTGTGGGTCTTGTGTTAGGCACTATTTATATCAACATCGGATTTGATAAGGAAGGCATTGAGAAAAGGTTTGGTCTCTTTGCCTTCACTCTCACATTCCTCTTATCCTCTACAACTGAGACCCTTCCCATCTTCATCAACGAGAGACCAATCTTGTTGAGAGAAACTTCGAGTGGCGTTTATAGGCTATCATCTTATCTCATTGCAAATACACTTGTTTTCTTGCCATATTTGTTGGTAGTTGCTGTTATATACTCAATCCCAGTCTATTTCTTAGTGGGTCTTTGTGCGTCTTGGGTTTCTTTTGCTTATTTTGTTTTGGTCATTTGGGTCATAGTTCTAATGGCAAACTCGTTTGTGCTCTTCTTGAGCTCTCTTGCCCCAAACTACATATCTGGGACTTCACTCTTGACGGTGCTTCTTGCAGCGTTTTTTCTCTTCTCTGGCTATTTTATCTCCAAGGATTCATTGCCCAAGTACTGGCTCTTCATGCACTTCTTGTCTATGTACAAATACGCTCTTGATGCTCTTCTTATCAACGAGTACTCTTGCTTGGTAACGAGGTGTTTTATATGGTACCAAGAGAATGAAGACTGCATGGTCACCGGAGGTGACGTGCTACGCAATAGAGGCCTCCAAGAGAGTGAAAGATGGACCAACGTGTACATCTTGATCGGATTCTTTGTGTTGTATCGTGTGCTTTGCTTCTTGGTTTTGCTTAGGAGGGTTTCAAGATCCAAAACTTGAACACCCAGAAATGATGATCAAACGCTGAAAACGTTTAGCAGTTCACTATTTTTCTTATCATCCTATTGTATGAACTGTTTTTTGTTTCATTTGATTTCTATAAAGTAAAAATATATAATATGAAATACAGCCACAGAGAAAGTCTGTTTAATAGATATGAAGTTGACTCTTCGTTCTCCCCTTTAGCAGTTTCGCTTCTTGAGTAGATTTAGTTGTTCCCTTTCCTTGAAATCCCATAATTTGGATGATTTGGCTTTGGTATGTGATATTTCATTTTCTTAAGTGGACGTACTATAACTTAAGAATGCGACGTTTGTTTCATATTTTAGCCACTATGATAGGCATTCATTAATGGAAATTAAAATTTTCTGGTTACTTCATTTGTTTTTCCTTCTTATATGCACGCATATTGAAATTATATATGGTACCTTAACTTCACAAATTATTCTTCAAACCCATGGGAATAAATTAAAGAAAATTGCTAAAAGAGATCATGTATAAACAATATATTAGCTTATTATACTGTATCTGATCTAATAAATAAAATTAATATATTTGTAACACTAGCAACCACTCATTATCGTGGTTTGATTTTCTCACATGCAAAGGAGTTCAATTATTCTGTATATTAGTTAGTGGCTGAATTATAAGGTGGGGTCGATTTGAATTTCTTAGAGAGCTGAGTTGGAGGGTTTTCATGGGTGAAAAAATAAATATATATACAACAGCAAAACTACATAGATATCTCTTGGCCTATTCAATTGTTTGATTTGTTTAATTTTGTTGGGGTCACGGGCCTCTCTTAGCTTTGGTTGCAAAGAGAGTGAAGAATCCAAAGCTGTCCTAATCATCATGAAAGAGTTTTTGTCTCGTGGCTAAGTTGCTTGCTTGCTGCCATTATTCTTTTGTCTGCTGTGAGGCTAATAGTGTTATGTTCACGGGTTCTTCATTCGTGAGATGATGGGATCCCGTGAACTTGCTCAGTTACATTGGGTTGGGTGTTGCATACAATATCATATAACTCTTTGGGCCTTCATTACATTAGGCAATGTGAGACAGTGATAGAAGTGAACCCGCATAATCGGTGTGTATATATACACAATCCGGTACACGATATGTATTGCATATATTGAGATGAAAGAAACTGTTTAATAAATAATTAGTTTCAATGTGCATGTATTGTTAACTATTGGACCAAAAACAAAAAAGTATTGTTAACTAGGCTACTCCAAAGGATTGCGTTATCAAATTGGCAGTGTCTAATCACGAATTAAATGGTCAAATGAAAAATAAATTACAAATAAAAAATAGATGTTTTTAAAAAAGTTAAAATTAGTTTTAAAAATATTTAAAAATCATATAATTTTATATCATTTTTGTCGAGAGATCAAAATCATATTTTTTTAAAAAGTATAAAGATTAAAATAAATTTTTATGTAAATTTATGATCTTTTCAAAGAGTTAATGATAAAAGTTTAGCACTTGATTCAAAAAATCATATTAATACAATAATAATATAAATTAACAAACTCAAAACATAATTTATTAGGGTAAATATTTTTTAACTTGCTTTAAGAAATTTTATAATCAAATTTATAAAATAAGTTCTTATAAAAAAAATATATTAAATAGACAATTATTTAAGTAGTGTCTAAACTTGTGAGTTTCCTAACGATGGACTACCATAAAATTTGGTTATGGGGGGATCTCATAATAATATCGCACAAGATTTATTGCCAGAAATGTTTTTCACAAATGGCTCAATATAACAATTGCTTCCTCACTGAGGATTTTACTGCCGCATCGTTAAAACGAGTTTGTCAAAGTTATTTTATAAAATAAATAATTTCATTTTAAATAAATTAATAAAGTAAATGCTACATTCATAATTATATTAATTTTTATAGAAAATTATTAATTTGTTTAAGATGAGATTATTTATTCCTTAAAATAACTTAAGACCGGTAAAAATAAATGAAACTGCAAATACTGGAGGCGGCTTCAAATTTGAGAATATTTTGATACTGTTCAGTACCAGTAAGGACCTACCACACAAGTAAAGTTGTTCCTCCATTATGTATTACCTTCTTCAGTGTGAAAATTACTTTGAAATTTGAATGATTCCTTAGTAAATTAATGGCTTTAAACAAGCTTGTTTTTTCAGTTCTGGTTTTTAAAAATTTGATTAGCTTATGAATTTAGTTTATTCAACTATGAATAAATCAAATCATGGATAATTTACGAGTCGACTTATTCAATATCGACCTCTCAATTTATACTCTTCTAAATCTATCTTTCAATATAATTATTTATTTACATATCAAAGATATCTTTTATCTAATAATTAGAGATTTATTCTTTTTAAAGTAATTGGAGATCACCAAAGTGAATATGCATTTCGTTTATAAAAGTAAGCTATAAGATTGGATTAAAATACTAAATTAGATTAGAACAAAAATCACTCTAAATGATAGTGGTGATACCTGAGGAATCCATCTAGCTAATAATTTACATTTGCAGAACCTACATGGAGCCCTAAAGAAATTGATAAATAAAAGAATGGAATGAAGTGATGAGGCAGTTATAGGCAAAAAACATAAATCAATATAAAGAATTGTAGGTATAGCAGGTTGCAAAGATGGAAGCTATGCAAATGAAGAGCGAAGGAAGCAGCGTGATATTAAGGAGCCTACTCACACCCATGTAACCAGCCAATGTAATTGTTGCATCGGCAATCACTCGTGCAAGTGTCCCTGCCTCTGTAGACAAGAGCCCTCCGTTATATGTTCCACGAGAAAGCCTTGATGACATAACTCGTGACAGGAGTGACAAGTTCACACCTGCATGCATTGCATTAACCATTGTAAAATTGAGCCTTCACACAACCCAATATGATATTATGATATGTTCCTTAATGAAATGCCCTCTTGTTATTTAATTTTTAAAACAGCAAATGGTGTAGGATAAGTCCAAAAGAAAATATAAACAATGTTTAATGTACAAAATATTTAATGAAAAAAAAATATAACATCTAAATATCACATTAGAAATATAACCCCATGCTCTTTTGGGACTATGCTGTTTGTTTCATATGGTATAAGTTTGAGTCACCAAGTGTCTCTAGACCTCCACCACCATAAATAGGAAAGAAAATTACTAATAAGATCTCACCTTCAAGTACTTCAGCAGAAACAAACATAAGAAGACCTGAACAAATGTACTGTGGTTCAGAGTATGGAAAGATTATGTGGAAGCTGAAAAGTATGCCTATGAAAACCATTATTTCTGATGCCAACAGAATTTGCCTACAAAAAAAAAATCAATAGAAAGTTCATAATCTTAGAGAAGACAGGGAAAGTGAAAATGTTAATCCCTTTGATCTTTATTATTGCTTTATCTTTTTACTAAGGATGAAAATTAAAATGTATGATCATGCATCTTTCTGCAAAATCCTGAGCATGAATTAGCTTTATGAATGAAAATCAAATGAACAATGAGTTTTTGCTCCCGTTACCTGTCCTCAAACATATTGCTTATATAACTTCCAACAATAATGTTAACGGGAAGAACTGTCAAGCCAAGGCAAGCAAGAAAAATGGAAACTGTGCTTGTTGACCACTTGAAGTAGTATGTTGTGATGACACTAGATTCTGATAGTAAAATCTCCATTGCATATTTTAGCATGAAATATATCAATAACTGGACCTGAAGAATTTTACATAATTTTGGTAAGTTAAACAGCCTTAAATAGATTGATGTTATTCTGACACCAATGAAAATTTTCCCCCGTGTGAAGCTAAGGAGCATAGGGTCAAAAGCAAATTGCAGTTCAATTCCTTTAATTTCTCACTGTAACTTACTATAATTAACTTGATACATACACCTCTAATAAACTCTTGGTTAATGGAGATCCAGCATTTCATAGGTTGATAATGTAACATTTAGAGTTGCTCACAAACCTTTACAGAAGGTGTAAGGAGTCTATAAGCTGATCCAATTGAAGTGGCTGGAAGACGAGAATCCTCTGGAGCTTCTTCACTATCATCATTATCCTGATCGGCATCTTCATCTACCGTATCTACTGAACTAATCAGCAATGGTTGTTTTAGGCCTTTTTCAAGTGCACTGTTATCTGCTAGTACAAGCAAAAAGTGTATCAGTTGTGTTGAAGCTTGACAGAATGAACAAACTCCTTAAATGAAAATAACCCATGTACTATGAATATCAGAAATATTAGGACTCAACAATCTTACAAGGACACAACAGAAAAAGTAAAAGTCACCAACAATGAGGTGATGCAATATGAATTAAGTACCAGCATGAGATGGATGTGGTGTTTGATTGTCTTCAATGTCACGAGAAGGTTCCTTAAAAGTTAACCACAACCATATAAGATATATCAGCCAAGCAATAGTCATAACCCACCCTGGTAAGGTGTCTTGATTAAACGTAATCCTGAAAATCTTAAAATTGATCTGCAGTAAGCCAGCTAATGCAGGACCACAGGCCATCCCAAGAGCACTGGCACTAACAAAACCTGCTGATGCTTGCATGCGGATTTTTAAAGGCACACAATCACTAATATAACGCCGGTTAACAGCTCTGGCAGAACCAAATCTGCAATTATAATAAAATATTGGTCAATATAATAAGGTCTTAATGTGACTAGTACCCTAACATACCCCTAGCTTCAATATTTAGAAAATTAAAATGGCCCTAGTAATTAATGATGGTATGAAGTGCTTATATAAGTAAACTAATGAACAATTTTTGCATGCAACAAGAAAATCACGGTGTACAAAGTTACATATTTAACAACAAAGAATCAAAATTAATCTTTCTCCTGAGGCTAATTTTATGAGATGAGATACTTATTCTGGATTATGGAAAATGGTTATAACACTAGAGACGAAACTGAAAATGTAATAAACTTACCTAAAGCGAAATGGTAGTACAATGTCAAAACTTATGGTGATCAAGTAATGAAAGCAAGTAAAAGATGAAAGACCACTTACCCACATAAAAGACGACCAATTAAGAGAATCCATATAGAATTAAAATCGTATGCCAAAGCATACATGGCATTGCCGAGAAAAAGAACAATGCTACTGAATACAAGAGGTCTGAAGTATGATTTATTTGACCATGCACTAAAATACACTGAAGAAAACACCTGCGCCACAGCCATTGCCCCAATCACAATACCACAAACCGTTGGTGCAGCCCCAAGACTCATGGAGTAATCATCTGCTGTAGGGACAATAATATATGTATTGACCATATACAAAAAAGTGTTTGCCAAATTCAAGGATAGAGACATAAAATGGTATCTTTGATCATCAATAGGCTCATCAGCAGGTGCAGGCAACTCCTCTTGCATAATGAGTGCATGCATCCCCAAAAAGTTAAGGAAGTTGGTTGAGTTGGTTAATCTATCAACAGCAGCTCTTATTGAATCAATGACAGGATCCTGCACATAAGATTAAGTGATTAATTGAAAACTCACCAAAGTTATGCTACTTTTTAGCTAGCTAATAATGTTTGTTTAAAAATATTAAGAGAAAACATGACAATCAACCAAATCAGTCTATGAAACAGTGTGAATGTAAAACAAACCTGAAGGGGAAGAGTAGGTTGATCATAAATTGATAAGTAGCTTCCTTGACGGTCCTGAAGGTCATGAAGGTTGCGAGATAAAGATCCCACAACAGCTCCAAATCCCTGCAAATTCCATATATGTTGCCAATGTACATTCAAAGGAAAAAAATAAAATTGGGGTAGCTCATTTATGACGTATTTTATTCTGCAAAGGTTCAAATGAAGATTAGTATTTGAACTAAACATATTAGTATATTACCACATGCTTGAACACTTGTTGCAGCTGGGAGTAAGGATGATTTGCGCGAGTTTTAACATAGTAATCAGTAAATCTGTAGCCAAAGCGTTTGTCAAACTTTTTCAATATCTTGCGCAAACCAACAGCATTCATCTCTACAAAATTGAGAAGCTTTAGTAGCTCTAGTCCCACTGCTCTATAAGCTTCTCGTAGTTCTGATATTTTGCTTATGTGAGGCTCCTGCTGAATAGCACCATGCTGTTCTCCAAGCTTTGCTATTCTGCTTGCTAAAATCCCTTGTTGTTCCAAGAGGAAAAGGACAATCTTCTCAATCTGAATTGTAGCAAGGAAGTGCTTGAAACAAATGTTAACACTACTAAAGAATGCCAAGCATTAAAAATATAACATGAGTCTAAATTATGCAGCTAGAACTAATAGCAATGAAAAGATCCAAATTTCATATAGTAAGTAAGTGACTAGACTCATAATTATACAATCCACAACGAGAACATACCTGAATATCCAGCATTCTTGAGAAATCCTTGAGCACGTGCCGGCGATCTTGTGTTCCAAGTTGAATTTGTTGAGCATAGTACTTTACTCGTTTCTTCATTAATTTGTAGTTAATGTAATATCTAAATCAAAAGCCAAAAATTATGAGCATGCATAAAAATGAAACCATTGGCAGAGAACACACACAGGGTAAGAAACATACCCTTGCCATTCTTGAATTTGTCTTTCTTTCAACTTTTTCCCAAAGGCAACCATCTCTCGCTGCAATAGTCAAGGTAAGATTCATCCAATGTGAATCAGAATAACATAAAAACTTAGTTCACAGTGAAATATTTAATCATATACGCCATGGCAATAATCCAACTTCCAACATATAATTCTGCATACATAATCATCAATATACCGTTATTCAACGAAGGTATAGCACGATTGCTTTTTTCCTAGCTTAGCATGCCCGATGCCAATACAAATATGCCAAAGCCCCCATAATAATACAAGCAAAGTTATGAAGCCTTCTTATTAATGAATAAGAACCCACGAACATACCAAGTATCAAACATCTGCATCAAAGTCTGAACGACAAAGGGTTCAATTGATACAGTATGAAGATATCCTGATACAGTCAATGATATGATTTTATCATAAGTATAATAAATAGACAAATGCTAAGTAAGTATTCTAACCACATTTCTTAAATCACATGTAAAAATTTTCGTTTAAAATTATTACTATATCATAAATATAAAACCCATTTAGTTAAGTAATTAAAAGTATTTAAAAATGTATATTTAATATTCTTGAAAGAGTTAACAAGACTTTGTAAATGAATATGACAGGCACAATTTTATTTTTATGTCACGTGTTATGTTTGCTACTTTGAGTAGAATAATTACACTGAGCTGCATATTCTGACTGTGTCTATGCCCACTTATATATTACAATCAGGCAACTATTTTTGTTGCATTTAAACATCACCTCATCGACCGATGATACCAAAGGAGCGGTTATTACACTGAACACTTCTTATAACTTACAAAAATTAGGTCTTAATCATCGATTATGTCAATATCAACTTTTAGAACTGATTTTAAATATTTAAATCTAGTAAAATTTCATTAAAAATATTTATTATATAAAAAATACAGAAATCTAAAAAATACTTTCTCTCTTGATAAAATTTTATTATTTTTAATTGCTTAAAATTAATTTATATTAACATTTTTCTTAAATTATTTCTATACTTAAAAATAATAAAGAACCAGTTCCACTCTTTAACGTTTCCCTATTCTAAACAGCAGGACAAAAATGTTAAAGGAGTGGAGCCAAGATTGCGTCCCATTAATAAGAACAATCCAAACACATAAAAAGCAAGTGGAGGACAAGATTATTAGTATTATTATTATGGTTGAAGCCTAATAACCGAGCCCACACCGCATCCCAAGATCATGGATGAACACATTTTGGTACAAATTCAGGTATCTATTGTAAGAGCAAATTCTATTAGAGTGGAATAGTAACCTAGATAGTAACACCGTGTACACTTTATCTTCTTCCATGATAAATTTTAAAAAACAAAACATAGATTAATAAATGTCATGTAGTTTCAATCCCGACAAGAAAAGATTAGCATAACAGGTGCAACCAAGGAAAGAAAGAAAGCAGAAGAAGTGCATGGCAATAATAACAAAAATGGATTGCTTACCAAAAGGTAATGATATGGAAGGTGGACAGTAAGGAAGGAAAGTGATGAGTGTAGAAGGGAAGCGATTGGAGGAAGAGAAAGGGGGTGATGATTTGAGAAGAAAGGAACAAGTAAAAGGGAAGTGAGAGTGTAAAATGCTAACAAACACACCAGAAGCGGGACCAACTTCTAACGTTTCCATCTATATCGTTATTCTATTAATCTCTCTGTTGCTGTTTACTATATATAGACATTCACACTTCCACTCTATGCACCTTAACAAACTATTTCACCCAAATTAGAAATAACTTCCCTAATCTTTCATTTATTTTCGACTTTACATCAAAATTATTTTGTAAACGTAATATCCTAAACAGGAATTAAGACTAGAAAATTATTGTGATACCTTGGATTAAAAATGAAAGACGAAAGAGAAAAGGAATATAAAAAAAAGAACTTTTAAAAAATACTTTAAATGTCTTTGATGAATAAATAATATAATCTGTAATATGTTAAATATTAATAATGTTTTTAAAATTTAATAAAAATTTAAATGCATTTGTTATTATCTTCTCTAAAATCAGAGTTATTTCAGAGCAGGGAACCCCTTCCAATATTAATAAAAATTTCATGTTCTTATTCAAAGAAAAAGAATGAAAGTAGGGTCTCCATTTCCGAGCCTCAACGTCTCTGCGCTACGTAACAATTTCCTGTTTTCTAAGAAGATCAGAGAATCATGTTATAAATTCTCTCACCACAAACTTTCTTGTGCAGATCATTTTTGTTGTTAATTACACTTTCTAACACATTTATTATTATTAGTAAAATTTATTAAAATTTAAAAATAAAACACATAATTTTTATAATTTTTAATAAATTTTAAAAATATATTACTAACATTATTTTTATTCTCAATAGACATCTTTATGACCAAACGCATTTTAATTAAAAAAAATAAAGGAAGTAAATTTTGTTAATTAATAAAATTTACATAAAAGTCATCAAATAAAAAAAAACATGTAAAAAAATCGTTAATATAACGCTCTCTCAATCTTACAGATGTGGATTGATTGGACTGTTTCCGCCGCTATAACCGACTGGTCACATGAATGGATATTCATTTGCCTCAAATTAAAATTTATCCTTTTCTGGATACCTCCTACAATTGATTTCTTTGAAATTGGTAAAAAACCACAACCATTCAACGTGCTTTGCAATTTGTGTATGCTTATTTTTTATCATTAGTTTATCGTTTGGAACTCTATTTCATTAAATCAATGCCAAAATAAATGGGTATTCAATTTTCAAGTCAAGAAATATGTGTATAGTTTTGGCTAGCAAAATTTAAGTTTCATTCTTGAATCTTAAAAATAATTAATTTAAGAGCCCACATTTCAGATCCTTGACTTCTGAGTGAAAATTTTACACCCCAAAAAAATAATAATAAAACAAAAACTAGAGCAGCATTACAATCACAGAATACTAAAAAACTCTAGCACCAACCATCAAATGATTCAATTTCAAATCTTAGCTTAGATATACCCCAGCAAAATCAACTTATAATGTTCCAAATACCCACACAAAATTCTCAATATTCCCATTTCTTTAACTCCATGCCATCAGGTGGACTTCCCTCTACCTTCTTTGATCCCACTTCTCTCCAGTTTGTAGAAAGGACTGTTCCATTAGACTCCACCTGAATAAAATTGAGCACTCATCACACAGCAATATGCAGTATTTAAAATATTAGTAGTGATTTTCATGCCCAAATAGGAGGAACCACAATATGGCATTTTATATTAACTATGATTAAAGATTAGAAAATATACAAAAAATAAAACTTACAAATGATTTGCTCATTGCTCTTCTTGCGTCCTCATCTGCATCTAGATATATCCCACGGAAAAATTTGTTTAAAGCTGCATCACCATCAAGTTTTTCTTCTTTCTCCTGAAACGAAGTGTTAGGGGAAAGAAGTGCTATAACATACTAAGAAAACATTTTATATAGGTGGCAGACAAACCTCTTGTTTAACTTGAGCTTCCAATTTATCCCAATCTGTTCTTTTTGGTTTTGAGGATGGGTAAGTGGGTCTTTCACCAGCAACTGCAAAATTCATGGATGAAACAAGTACTATATCAAAACTGTCATATAAAGTAGCAAATGATGATAGTTTTAAGTATCAAAATGCTGCCAACTCAAATAACTAGCGATGTCTAGTGAATGTTTTCACCACTCCTTGCCATATAAAGTTTCACCAGTACTATAGCAACAGAACTAGAATATCTTAAGCATCCAGCAAGTTGTAAAGTAGTTTATATACCCAAATTAACCAAGATTATCACACCATTGAACAAATAAAGACTAAAGAAATCCGATGGCCCAAGGCAAGTTGGAAAAGCACACAACAACGAATAATTAACAGCAATCAATATTGGAAAATTTTAAAGTTACCTGTCGAAATATTAACTCTCTGTGGAACTGTGCTACCCTTGGTGAATTGTAGAGATGTCCATTGGATAGTTTCTGCTTTTGCAAGGCGAATTTCAATTTTGGTGGACAAAACTTCGTACCGGCATCTGGCGGGTATGATCTGGTGGAAGAAAACCATTGGTCTTTAGTTTCTACACCATAACCAGAACTAAAATTATACTAATATATAGAATGAAGCTCCCATTCATACCTTTCCAAATAAGCGAGGTTGGAATACATATGCCTCTTCACCAGGGATATTAATGTTAACACTTAGCTACAACACCAAAATTTTTTTTTAAAAAAAGTAGAAATGTTAAAAATATTGTTCATCAAGATGTAAGGGACTGTAATAGTAGGGGGGCATTAGATGCATTGACTATGATGGTTAATTTGAGCCATACTATTTGTTCACCAAAGTCAACAGTAATGCTGTCCCGTTGAATGCCCTTTGCAAATATGGTAACAACCACCTCATCAGGTTTCTGGAAGAATTCATGCCTGCATTAGATATTATTTCAAAAATTAACTATGAATAAGTGAAGTCTTTCCCTTCAATTGTAAATTTTTAATTTACCAAATGCATGTGTTGCATAAAAACCATCACAAGAAAGGGCTAAGTGGCTGGATAACCAATTATAGCAGTATAACATGTAACCAACAGAAATATGAGTGCACTTTCAACATGTAAGGCAATAACCGTAGCAAATGGCACAAAAAACAGAAGAATTTATTAACCTGTATTTAGGTTTAGCCACTGTTGCTGTTGGTGGCCCTGGAAAATGATTATCTGGCTGAACAGCTTTTGTAGCAGCATTCTGTGTTGTGGTCTTTTCTTGTATGGGTATGGAACCAGGTTCTTCTGTTCAACATAATATTTCAATCAAACCCATCAGTTCATAGCCAAATATGATATATCCACATTTTCCCTCTCAATGGTCAAGACTCAAGATATTACCATGAGGTCTCGTATTGAGATAACTAAATTGAAATATAAAACACCAACAACAATAAGCCTTTTCTCCCCACCAGGTGTGGTCAGTTAACACCAAACCAAAAAAGTAAAATTTTCATCAAATATAAATAAAATAAATGTTTACCTGCAATGAGCTTATCACACTCTTCGATCAAATCAGTAAATCTAGAGTCTCCTGGTGCCAATGGCTTACCCAACTCTAAAGCCGCCTTAGCAGTCTGATATTCCTCAAGCTTGATGCATGCAGTTCTGCAACAAATTAAATACCAAATAAGTAGATACATCATAAAGCTTTAGTAAATAGTAACCACAATTCAATTGACCAAGGATAAGAATGTAAAATCGAACGCAAAATTTCATGAGGAATCATGAGATGAAATGAAGTTGCACTTAAGTTAAATATCCATATTAGTATTCAGCCTTCACGTAAAATATATGTTAACATTAATCTAAATCAGTTGGTTATGGAAAAAATATATTTGCCACCTCACTAACTATTAGACAGTACAAGAAACAATATTTTAACCGTATGTTGTAATTCTACTATGGATGATAAGAATGGAGTTGGGAACACTATTTGCATCAAGGAAAAACATTGCAGCAAATTATACTCTGAAAAAACACAAAATCAGTAGCAATAAGAAGAAAAAAGGAGGCATCATACTCACCCTTTGCGCAAATATGCTTTTGAGTGAGAAGGATTCAACTCAATTGACTTGTTTGCATCGGCAACAGCCTCTGGACAAAGTACCAAAAACTCATTTTTTTAGTCGCCAAACCATGGATACACAAAACCGCCCCCCCAATAAAAGAAAAACTCCATCTATTCCCAGAAGACACGACCCAATTGACCGTGGTTTCAGTTTCTAACTGAAAGTTGATGTATGCAAAATAAGCAAAAGGGTATCAGAAAAAGCAAACTTTCCTTCAAAGGAAAAGTGCATACCGGGAAGATTGTTGACTTTGATGTTGACCTGGGCACGGTCTGCATATAGGTCGGCGTTGTTGGGGCTGAGATCAATAGCCTGAGTTAAGAGGTCGTAGGCTAGCTCATAGTTATCATCTTCGAAAGCCTCTTTGGCATTCAGCTCGAGATCGGAAGCCATTGAAGAGCAAGGAATAAAGAAGAAAAAGAAAGTGAAGTCTACGATTACTGAGAAACTGTGAGAGGTCAACAGTTGAGTGAGCGTGGGAAGAAGGTAAGGGATCAAGGTAACTCTTCTGTTACTTATTATATCTAATCAGGAAACTGCCTAGAACATGTATTATGAAAGAACAAAGAATTAAGCTGAAAAAGGAAACAACAAGGGAAAGTACTACAAAGAAAAGTGCTACTTGCCCAACGAACACACAACTCTGCACCTCTGATTAGGTTGAACTTTCTTGTTTTCACACTGTCCCCTGTTGACCAATGTTAATTTGAACATATATAAAAGTTTGTTTCCTTTGCAGTATAACCTGCTGTCTTTCATAAACGGTATGAGTATGGTGAATTTTTTTGCCATGCGCAGTTGTTATGGTAGTTACTTTGCTATTTATCATAGTACGTGAATCTTGCAGATAAAATCTCTCCTCACCAGATATGACATGGCAAAGTTTTATTTTTTATTTTTTTTGGTTAAATTCTTGATACCTTTGAGTTAGGATGAGTCCTAGTACTCATTTTATGTAAAGCAACAAGATGATGACATGCATTCTCATTTTAAATTTATTTTTTTTATAATTTTAAAAAAATATGTTCATAATTAATAATAAATATTATATTATATTAAATTAAATAGAAATAAATTTTAAAAATAATATCTTAAATTTTAAATTAAACTATAAATAAATTAAATTTAAAAATAAATTTTAATTATATTTTTAAGATGTGTTTGAATAGACAACATAGGTACTATTGCTTTTATTGAAATATCAAGCTATTTGATTTTAAAAAATTATTTGTTATCTTATTTTTTAATTTAAATTATAAAATTATTTTTTTATTTTTTATAGTTTTAAAATGTTTAAATTACTTTATAAATTCCTGAATTTTTTGAAACTTGTAAAACTTGTATGTTTTAAAAGTTGTAATTAAGTCTATCAACTTTTAAATAATTTTTAATTGGATCTCTAACAACATTTTTGTTAGAGTTCTGGTGTGGAATCTCATTACATATTTTTAGATAGTTTATGCATCAAGTCACAAGTTTAATTATTTAGTGAGTCCTTAAACTATTTAAAAATTTACAATTAGATGCTGAATTAAAAACATTTAAAAATTCAAAAACTTAATTACAAACTGTTAAAAGAGTTCAAGAACATAGTAATTTAACCTCTTAGAATTTTATGTAAAAATAATAAAAACTATTTTTACTATTTCTTATATAATTTTGAAAAAATAAAACGATGATTTTATAATTAAAATAACAAGATTGAAACAAAGCCGTCCCAAAAATTTGTTGTTTCTTGGAGGAGAGTGGTAATACAGATTCTTCTTTCCCACTCTCCTTCGCTTCCCAGTTCCCGTTATGGCGAACCTCTTCCTCACCCGTTAACATGTTTGATTGACCAATTTGAAACTGTGATCCTGAAAGGTGCTTCCTTTGATTTGTTTGATCCACGTGGTTTGTAACCGCTATTTGCTATAAAGCTCGCTAACAATGCCCATGTCATCACATTTCAACCCATATAATTTCCAACACCGTTTAAGGTTGCATGGATAACGACGTCTTGTTGCTAACAACATAACACCAACATAGACATGTTATGTAAAACAGCTTCTCACAGTTTCTCTCCATGCCACTTCCAAGAAACTTGCTTGCGGGTTCTTTCATTCTGCAACTCACACTCCCTCAAGGAGGGAGTATGTGTTCATGGCCCAATAATCAAAGTGGGTCTTCAAGATGACTTGTATTTGAACAACAATTTGTTGTCTTTATATGCCAAATGCTTTGGAGTTGGCCAAGCACGCCATTTCTTTGATGAAATGCCTCATAAGGATGTTGTGTCTTGGACCACAGTTCTGTCTGCTCACACCAAGAATAAACATCATTTTGAGGCCCTTCAATTGTTTGACTTCATGCTAGGTTCCGGTCAATACCCCAATGAGTTCACTTTGTCCAGTGCCTTAAGATCATGCTCTGCTTTGGGGGAGTTTAAGTGTGGGGCTCGAATTCATGCCTGCGTAGTAAAGCTTGGGTTTGAGCTGAATCCTGTTCTGGGTACTACTTTAATTGATTTGTACACCAAGTGTGATTGTACGGTGGAAGCACCCAAATTGCTTGCATTTCTGAAGGATGGTGATGTTGTGTCATGGACAACAATGATCTCTTCATTAGTGGAAACTAGTAAATGGAGAGAAGCTCTAAAAATATATGTCAAAATGATTGAAGCGGGTGTTTACCCAAATGAATTCACATTTGTTAAACTATTAGAGGTGTCTTCTTTTCATGGTTTGGGAATGGGTTATGGGAAACTACTACATGCCCAGTTAATTAGATTTGGGGTTGAATTGAATTTAGTGTTGAAGACAGCCGTTGTTGATATGTATGCAAAATGCAGACAGATGGAAGATGCTATTAAGGTTTCAAATCAGACCCCTGAATACGATGTGTGCTTATGGACCACCATAATCTCTGGATTTACTCAAAATTTGCAGGTTAGAAAGGCTGTCAATGCATTTCTTAATATGGAATTGTCCGGAATCATACCAAATAATTTTACTTATACTAGTTTACTGAATGGTAGCACCTCAATTTTATCACTGGACCTAGGCGAACAGTTTCATTTACGGGTTATCATAGTTGGACTGGAGGACGATATTTATGTAGGAAATGCACTGGTTGATATGTACATGAAATGCTCCCACACCACAACAAATGCTGTGAAAGCTTTTAGAGGGATAGCCTCACCAAATGTGATCTCTTGGACTTCTTTGATTTCTGGTTTTGCAGAGCATGGTTTTGAAGAAGAATCTTTTCAGTTTTTTGCTGAGATGCAAGCAGCAGGAGTCCAACCAAATTCCTTTGCACTATCTGCTATCCTTGGAGCTTGCAGCAAAATGAAATCTCTTATTCAAACGATGAAACTCCATGGACACATCATAAAGACAAAAGCTGACACAGACATATCTGTTGGGAATGCTCTTGTTGATGCTTATGCCGGAGGGGGGATGGCAGATGAAGCATGGTTTGTTATTGGCACGATGAAACAGAGAGATCCTGTCACATACACAAGTTTATCTGCAAGATATAACCAATGGGGAGATCATGAAATGGCCCTAAAAGTCATCACTCACATGTGCAATGATGAGGTTAAAATGGATGAATTCAGCTTGGCAAGTTTTTTATCAGCTGCAGCTGGCTTAGGCACTATGGAAACCGGAAAGCAGCTACATTGTTATTCTGTCAAATCAGGCTTTGAGAGATGTAACTCTGTTTCAAATAGCCTAGTTCACTTGTACAGCAAGTGTGGTAGCATGCGCGATGCATACAGAGCTTTCAAAGATATAAATGAGCCAGATACAGTGTCATGGAATGGTTTGATATCTGGATTGGCATCAAATGGACATATATCTCGTGCTCTGTCTGCCTTTGATGACATGAGGTTAACAGGAATTAAACCTGATCCTATTACCTTCTTATCACTGATTTTCGCTTGTAGCCAAGGTGGTTTATTGGATCTGGGTCTTGATTATTTCTATTCCATGGAAAAAGCATACGATATAACACCAAATTTGGATCACTATGTGTGTTTGATTGATCTCCTCGGTAGAGGTGGTCGCCTAGAGGAAGCTATGAGAGTTATTGAAACAATGCCTTTCAAGCCAGACTCATTAATTTTTAAAACTTTATTAAATGCATGCAAGTTACATGGAAATGTAACACTGGGAGAAGATATGGCAAGGAGATGTCTTGAGCTTGATCCATCTGATCCCGCCATATATTTGCTACTTGCAAACTTGTATGACAATGCTGGACTCCCAGATTTTGGTGACAAGACTCGGCGGCTGATGAGAGAAAGAGGCTTAAGAAGAAGTCCTGGGCAGTGTTGGATGGAGGTTAGAAGCAAGATTTATCTCTTCTCTGCTAGAGAGAAGATAGATGAGGGTGAGATCAGTGAAAAGCTAGAGTTTCTTATGAATGAAATAAAGAATAGAGGGTATCCATACAAAGAGAATGATGATAAGTTATACCACTCAGAGCAAATAGCCCTTGCATTTGGTGATCTTAGTGTACCAACCATGGCTCCAATACGCATAAACAAGAATTCACTGATCTGCACTCACTGTCATTCTTTTATGATGCTTGTGACACAAGTTATTGATAGGGAAATTATTGTGAAGGATAGGAAACGATTCCATTTCTTTAAGGACGGTCATTGTTCATGCATAGGTAACTCATAATGTGTGGAAACATTAATTTCCTTATTTTTTGCTAAAAAGTTGCGTGGCCGGTCGTCACATAATGAAAATACTTCATATTTTGCTGAAATATATCTCTTGTTTTCTATGTTGATGTAATTCGTTGGGTTTTCACTAGTTCTTCTAATGCCATCGTTACTCACATGGCCGAAAGAGGTAAAATACTTCATATTTTGCTAAAATATCTCTTCTAATGCCAACGAATTTACCATAAAAAAAGGTTAGACTATCAATGTATATGTTAAATTTTAAAACACATCATGATTTTACTAAAATGGTAAATGTATAGTTTAAAAGAAGGGTGTTAGCTAAGTTGAATTTTTCAAAACTTTGACATTTCATCTTTTTTTGACATCATGTATTTTATTTTGAGTTTTGTCAACTTTAGTTTTTATTGCTTTTTATCATTTCAACTTTCATATTTTTTTTGTTAAAAAATATATTTATAACATTAAAATTATAATAATGTGATCAATATTTATTTTTAATGATATTTTATCATTATTAATTTCTCAAACTTAATTTTAAAAGTTGATGTTGATATTTTTCTTTCATTTTTTCTTTCACCCTACATTGAGTTCCTTAAAATTTCTACCATATATATTATTTTTTTTTAAATAAACGCCATGTTATTTTGATGTCTTAAAAAATTATAACTCTATGCCGAGTTCTTTAAAATTTTCACTTTTTTATATTATTACATATATTTTATAAAAAAATGGTAGTTACATTAAATTCTTCTAAACATTTAAAGTATGTTAAATTTAAAGATTGAGTTTAAAGATATAAAATAATAATTTTTTATTTAAAAAATATTTATTATATTTTTAATATAATAAAATTTTAATCACAATATTATACACGATAAGGATATATATATATATATATATATATATATATATATTATCAAAAATTATAACATTTGATAATATTAATATATTAAATTATTAAATTTTTTAATAAAATTTTTTGCATATAATTTTTTATTATATATAATATTACATATACTGAAAAAATGTTTATATAGCAAATATTTTTTTAACAAACATTTTTAACAGAATAGATAAAAAAGAACCATATGAAATATATTTTATATTTTTAAGGTAATAAATATTTTTATTTTTATTTAATACCTATTTTATAAACTAGGAAGAGAATTATATTAAAAAATAGTCTTACCAACCAGTGCTTTTAAGAATTTTTTTAAAAATTAATAAATAATATTGTTTTCTTAAAAAATATATTAAAAATTATAGAAGCAAATACCCTTTAATGTTATTTAATAATTTTTTGTTTTAAATAAACCAATGTCCTACAATTTTTTTAATTAAAAAAATATAATAAATAAGAAAATGTCTAAAATGTTTTTATTAATTAAAGCTTTCAGTAAGTATTTAATAATTTTGTCCAAATTCGTTGACTTTCTGGAAATCTCGAAGTCCTTATTTGTAGTAGTATTTATTTCCCTAAATTAGGCGTCAGATATAGAACTTCTCAAAGTTTTGGCATTAATTTAAATCAACCAAAATTTCTATTGATAAATTATATTATTTTTATTTATCTTATTTTACAGAAATAAATTATGCAAATAAAAATAAATAAATAGTATTACTATAATTGATGGTTAAAATTTTTTTCTCTTTAATCAAATAAATAGAGACTGGTAATATATTTCAAGAAAATAATTAATTAATTTAGTAAAATTAATACTAATGATATTAAATGACAAAACTAGTGATATATATATATATATATATATATATATATAATATGACTGAATATTCATTTTCTTGTTAAGAATTCATTTTTATATTTAAAAATTTATATTTTAATTTTTATATAAATACTAACATTGATTTTTTTTTCTTGGCATAAAAGATAAAAATTAAAATTAAGTAAAAAATTTAATTAATTAAAAATAATGTTATAAAGATAAAATCAAATTATATAATATATATATATTCTTAAATAAGTTTAGTGTTTTATATTTTTAAAAATTATAATTAATTAAAATATATATTTAGTTTGAAATATTTATAAATTAGTTTTTATATTTAAAAATACACTTACATGTTAATCTTTATATGTATACATGCTATGTTTTGATAATGTGGTTATGATGACGGAATTAAAATATAATAAAACATCTGTACATATATTAAAAATATTATTTTTAAAATATAATTACTAAGTGCATAATTTAATCTATATATAAGATAACTTCTACTAAATCTCCTAATTTATAAAAATTTATTAAAAATAGTTAAAGTATTATTTTTTTAAAAATTAGTTATAATATTATAAATTTACCTCTAGTTAAATTTAAATTATAGAATATTATATTAATTTTTATGTTAAAAATGTTCAACAATAAAGTAAAAACATTTAAGAATAAAAAAATACTCGTAGAATTTTATAAAATATCTTATATTAAGAACAAACAAAAATCATTCAAAAAAATTTTACAAACAAGATACAAGAGAGTACGTGAGTAAAGGAAGGAGTGCGTTGTTAATATATATTTTATAATAAATAAAAATGCATTTTTATAATTAAATAATAATATTTTTTTTAGAGAGAGAGAGAGCCTCGTAATCTCCGTCGTCCCAACAAGTATAAAAGGGTGTGAACATGTATTGAAAATTACTCGGACAAATACACTTTTTATATTGAAAAGGGGGTTAAGAGTTGAAAACGCTAGGGTTCATCTTCGTTGTAGAAGGTATATGCTTATTTAATTCATTTTTTACTCTTTCTTATCTAATTTTTTATAGTTAAAATTTCTGGGAGAAGATGGATTTGATTACCATGCATCCTTCCCTTTTAATGGTTTTCTTGGGAGATACATCCCCAATCACCATTAAAATCTACTCCAACAAGCTCCATCTTTTAAGTGATTTTGTTTGAGAGAAGGAATATTCATATTCTTTTTGCTTAAACATTTTTCGTTTTCTGAATCATGTATTGAATTGTTTACTCTTTTGGCAGATGTTTGGTGGCATATTCTTAAGAAATTGCTCTCGAGAATCGAAATCCAATAACGTCTCAGGGCAATTAAAAGGGAACCTCAGAGGTGCAACCACAAAACTCAATAATTGAACAAAATAAGGGATAAAACCCCAGTTTCTAATTTTTTTTAAATTACTTCTGCGTTCATCCTTTTCTTTTTCAACACACCATCACATTTCATCTTTTTCTTTTACATTTGTTTTTATTGTTAATGTACAAATAGTTTTTTTTATATTATATATTTTATAAATTAAACTATATATTAAAACTACTTAATAAGAAAAATAAAATTATAAAATTAAGAAGTCACAACAGGGGGGAGGTTTCCATGGATATGCTTTGATGTGAAAAGGAGAAGCGGGTTGAAACCTGTTGTGTTGTTGAAGAAGAAGAAGAAGTTGAAGAAGGTTATTGGCAGTAACGTGACAGTATTGGAGTTGTAAATGAAATTCATTATTAATGGAGAAGTTTACACTTTTTTCTTGATATAGTTATTCCCTGGTTTTGGACTATACATGCGATATTCTTGAAAAAGAAAACGAATTAAATAAAGTTTTATAAAAAGATAAATCATTTTGTATTGAGTGCTTTAAGGAATTGGCCACATAAATATTGAGTGCAACAACATCTTTCACTCAGCCAAAGAACACCAAATTCATTATTTGAGAACCAAACTCCAAACCTCCTTTAAATAGAATAATGAGAAGTATTAATAACATATTTTTTATTTAGTAATTAAATTTTAATTTATTAAGAATTATAAAAAATGCATATAAATTTCACCTTTAATTTTATATTTTTCATTTTTTATTTATCTGTTCTCATTTATATTTTAGTCAATTACATTCATTCACAGCTATGCCAAGTTGCTGTTCTTGCCAACTACTCCCCCTAATCAATTTCTCTTTCCCCCTTTCCATGCGTTTCACTCGTTCTTCCACGTTTTCTCACTGTTGGAACTTATTATTTTTTATTTTTTTTGTTTTTTATTAGTTTCTATTCAGATACGAGAGTAAAATAGAGAGAAATAATATAAAAATAAATAAAATAAAAAGTTACTATTTAAATATGCTAAAATAAATAATAATAATTTTTATTTAAATGATTAAAAAATTAAATTAAATTTTAAATAACTATAAAAAATAAAATTGATTTTAAAAATATTAAATAATAAATGTTTTATATTATGTAAATATTTTAAATAAAATAATAATGAAATTTTTTAAAAATAACTTATCACTCTTTCTCCCTTTCCCTTTTCTCACCCAACTCTCATTTAAAATTAATAATTTTTTAGATTTTCAAAATAAATTATAATTATGTTAAAAGTGCAGATAATTTAAAATGAATAAAGTAATTGAGAATCTTCAATGTTTATATTTATTTTTTTAAACATAAATACTCCCATTAAATTCTTCAAAACATTCGCATTTAATTTCTTAAATTTAAACTTTTTTCATGTACATTAAATTCTAAAAAAAAATTCTTTATATTTTTAAATATATATAATTAAGATGCATTGATTTTTAATATCAAAATTAAATATTTATATCATTTAATATTTTTTTATAAAATAAAAATTGATCAAACCCAACTGTTAAATAATTTTATATTATCTTTTTATCATGTAAATTAAATTTCATAAAATTTAAATATTTATATGTATACTATTCAAAATCTAATATTTATTTATATTTTAAAAGTATATTATCTATTCAAATAAAATAATTTGATGAAATACTTAATAATTCTTTTTTATAAAATTGATAAATTTAATAAAAATCTTTGAACTAATAATTAAATTAATTAATATTATATTCTATAAAAAATATTTAATAATATAAATATGAAAATTTAACATTTAATATTAACACGTCTTAACTTTTATATATATATATAATCTCTCGTATCATCCGCCTTACCACACTATAAAAGGTAGTAAGTTTATTTTGCAAATCACTCACAACACAAATACCAAATATTTTCAATTTGGAAAGAATTAGGAAAATATCAACCACGAGAGTTATAGTCATTGGCGTGTTTAACCTCGTTAAACAAGGTATATGTTTATTTAATCTCACATTTTGTTTCTATTTAATCAATGATTTATTGTTTCTCATCTAAATTTATGATCATGATTTTACTATAATTTTTTTTTCTATTTTAAAGTATGATTTAGTGGGATAAAACAAATTAAATTTTGTAAATGTTTTTTTGTCTTTCTCTTTTATCATTCATCTTATAATAGGTTATTTCTTGACCATACTTTTATTTTTCAAAATAAAAGTACAAAATTGTTTATCCTCGTGGCAGATTCTTGAGGAACTTGTAAGATTCGATTGTAAGATCCGACTTCACTTTAGGGAGTGAAAATCAAACAACGAAGGAACGATGATAATCGCAAAGGACTGTGAGCATGATGAAGAGAATATGAAAGGTGCAACCACAAAACTCAAAAATTGTCCGCGAGAGTTAAACCGGAATTGAAGCAGATATGATTGGAAACTTGTTCAAAAGAAGTAAGATTTAGATTCGTTCGGTTTTCAAGGATAACCTTGCTGGAAGGATCTGCTGCAACTTTACCACTACCTTGCATAGTTGCATGTCCTCTTCAGCTTCCATTTCCTTGTTCGCTTCTATTTCTTCTTATTCAGCTACGTCAGCATCATCAATATCGGAGAGTGTGCTGAAGAGGAAGAAAGGAGACTGTGAGGAAGGTGAAGTAGGAAAGCCAGATCCAGTTCCAATGGGAGGCTTCGACGTGTGTTGTCTCTTTGCCCTAGATTCTTAGGGAGAGGAGATAGTGTCTCATTCTAAAGCAGAGAAAGCTGTGAGGCTCCAGCAATACTTATAGAGAATTTACATTTATTTCGTGAATTCGGTGTTACTTCCTTCAACAGTTTACCTTGGTTTCAAACTGCAAAACACTGATCTTTTTGTCAAATGATTGTTTTGAGACCTGAGAACCTAGGACAAACACCCTCTTATATATAGCCAAGTGTATATATATATATATATATATATATATATATATATATATATATATATTGAACATGGAGAAACCTTGATGAGCTTTTTACCATGTCTACAAATCTGCTGAGTTGTCATCTGCGGTTAAATTTTGTACACAGTTTTCTTTTATTGTTGGCTTTTTCTGTAGAAGTGAAAGGGAAATTGCAAATGTAAATGTATCATTTTTATGTCATACCAGTGTTCAACGTATGTGAATAAGAGTTGTGGCTACTTAAATGTTTATATTTGATGTTTTATTTCTTCTAGTTTGTGTTTTACTCTAAAATATTTTTCTATTAAAGGATAATTTGTGAGATAAGATAAATTGATCATCGATCTACTCTTCCTCAAATGTTTTATATATCCTTCCCTTTTAACTGTTTGCACAGAAGATAAATCCCAAATAATAAAATCCACATTATTAAATTGCCTTGGTTCAAGTAATATAAATACATGATAAACAAACATGATGTTTTAAGTGATCCTCTGTTTTAACTTGTGTCTACTGCAACCACGGACTTACGAGAACAATCACTCATGTTCCTTTTGATCAAGCGAGAAAATATATTTGCGGTGGTGATAATATGAATTAAACAGGTTGTAAAACTACATAAGAGTCACGTCATCCCTTTTTTAAACGTCCATTAATTAAGTACAATTTAATCACATCACAACTCACATATTTAGACTTAATGTCTTGCATTACCCATCTTAAATCATATAGTTTTTCATTTGAGATTTAAGGTTAGTAAAATAATAAAACAAATACTTTTTTCTATTAAAAATAGTATTGTTTCGTATATATTATTTATTGCTCTTATTTATTATTATAACATTTGATATACTATAAAATATATTTATAGGCTGTGGACCGAATGCATCCTACATTTTGTTTTTTGTTTTTTTTTTCTAAAGCTTTGGTCCTATTTAGGTATGACTTAGTTTGAACACTTTTTCCCCTCATGTTCTGATCTCAACCATGTTTTACAAATTTCGGGTATTAAACATTTATCTTTATTTCATTTGCACAACATAATTAACCAAAATGATTAAAAAGATTATACTTGAAGTGAAGCTTAAATTCCGTATCAATTTTAGATCAAATATACGCACTTCTTACAATATTCTTTACAATCTATCTCTTTTATTTTTCTCTTAAATTATAACAAAATTATTAGATAATCAATATAATGCTTGCCATGTTTACGATGATATTAGAACTTCAAAGTTCGAGTCAAACAACAACCTAATTGGAAAAAAAAAAATCATTTTCTATCTCCCTCGAACCTCGCTGTGTTACTTTACACGTTACCATAAAGTAGTATTAAAATATTATATCTAATTTATTTTTAAAAGTTAGCAGATAGGATATTGATTTGTCCAATTTCTGAGAAATATTCTAACTTTCTGAGAAGTTATGTGAGACATCTTAAACGAGAGTGTGTTATGTGGAAGGAAAAGAATTGAGAAGAAGTGTGAAGTGAAGTAGGAGAGGTGGGTCTTGGATGCGTTCGTCTATCTCTAGTGTAACAATAAACACATCGGTTTCAATGTTACTCCCTTTTTTAACTTGGTTTTGAACAGTGCAACCTTTGAAGCTGCTAATACCTGGCTGTATTTAATATAAGCATCTTCTTGAGAAACTAACGAAAAATGGATGGTAAAGTCAAAAATATGTTAAGCCCCTTGAAAGTATTTTAAAGTCTTCACTATAGTTTCAGCATAACTGCTATAATATATATACTATTTCTTTTATGTATGCCAAAATTATCAAGTAACTTAAGCTTTGTCATGTATATTCAGTCCTTTGAAGTTTCTGCTTGTGTTAAGCAGTAGTTACATTGAACCTCTCAAAATTTTTTGTCATATATTATGTAGAATTAATGTTAGTTTTATTTAATATTTTAAAATTTTTGTCTTATATTGAGTTTCACGAAATTTTTGCTCTATTTATTATATTTTATGTAAATAAATATAAATTACATTAGATTCCTCAAAAAATTTACTTTATAATGAGTATCTTGAAATTTTTACAATATATATTATATAAATTTTAAATAAATCTATTCAATTTATATTTAGTTCCTTGTAATCTTCATTCTAACAAATTTAAAAGTTTGAAGTTGTTTTACAAATCATTCGCACACATACATGCATAAATTCAAAAGGGGAGCTAGTATAAAATCTTCAACTGTATGAGTTCTACATACTAGAGTGTTCATTTTCTTCATTAGGGAAGGTATTATATAATTCAATCTCTCATTTTTTTATTCAATATTTTATTGTTTCTTATCTAAGTTTATATATGATCTTGTTTTATTGCAGAATTTGTGAGAAAACATGAATTGAATCTTCTTGTCGATGATATTTTCTCCGATAAACTTGCAATCAATTATATCTCAACCATTAACTTATCTGTGTATGAGCATTTTTGGTTTAGGAGAAAAAGGTTTTGAGGAATCATTACTCAGCATCTTAGTTCATTTTATATCATTCCCTTTCAATGGGTTTACATGGAAGATGCATGCGTGATTACCATTGAGTTATGAAGGAGGGTAAAACCTTAAGTCGTTCGAGTCAAGGCGATTTTTCAACATAATCGTTTAATTTGTTTTAACTGGTATCCACTACAGTCTTGTGTTTGAGAGAGAAGGAACACTCGCGTTTCAATGCACATTGACAAGTGACAAAGAGCAATAGTAGAAAAAAGTTGATATGTATAAGAAAAGATAATAATACGATGAATAATATGATAATAAATAAATATAAGTATAATATAAAAATAGATCTAAAAATATAATTATTCAGTAAATCATTTATTTGCTGTAATATCCTTTATACAAGTAGCTTCCTAGGCCAATAGATCATATCCCAACTCACAAATTTAGATTTAAAATGCATCTTGCATCATATAATAACAATTTAAGGCACATAATTTACTAATAATAAGCCATATCCGGATTGCCCTATAAATAAAGATGAACGCATCGATTTATTTCTTCGTTTGTGTGGGCCTTGCCCTTCTTTTTCACCTATTCCAAACTTAACTGGGTTGTATGAAATGCTGGTTGTCGAACATTTATCTTTATTTTATTTACACAATGGAATCAGAATGATTAAAAAAATATACAAGAAATTGAAGTTAAATTTCGTATAAGTTTTCTATGGATGTGCTTCGGCGTTATGCTTGACATGTTGACAATGAAGAGGAAACTGCAAAAATTGACTTAGTCACCAATCTTAAACAGAAGAAAATTCCATTTTTCGTTTTCTTAATCTTGTCCTATTCTTATTTTTTAAAAAAATATTAAAATAGTTTACCCACGTGGCATTGTTTGGTGGCAGATTCTTGAGAAACTGTCCTACGCCATCTCATGATCCACCGTCCACGGACAAGCATAATCGGACGGTCATCGTCGCAGGGTTACGCGACCGTCGTTTTTATGAGACTGTGATGGGTTACCGAACGTCACGGTCAACTTCGTCGTCCTCTTCGGTTTCTATTTCCGGCTCGGGTTCCACTTCCGCTTCAGCCACGCCTGTTTCCGGTGGGTCTTCCGAAGTCGTGGTCGGAGAGTGTGATGGTGAAGAAGAAGAAGAAAACGGGTTGACTTGAAAGGAGAAGGACGTGGGTGACGGTGGTGGATTCGTCGTCGGAGTCTTACTCCGGGTACTTCCGGCGAGCGAGTTTCGGTGGGTGGGTCTGGGATGCGTGTGGTCTCCGGTGTACGTCACGATGAACATGTCGGTTTCAGTGTTACTCCGTTCAACTTGCTTTCGCGCCGCACAACCTTTGGAGCTGCTGCACCTATAGTAGTTCCTATGATTATATATGTATGTAACTAGGTGTTAGCATTTTAATCACGTTAAACATTTTCTCCAAGCCTATAAATATATATAGTATATGTTTATGCATACCTTGGATATGGAGAACCCTTTATTGGTTTTTGTCCGTATTTTCGCCAGGCCCACAAATCTGCTGAGAGGTTATCTGCGGTTACATGACACACCATTTTCTTCTGTTGGCTTTTTCTGTACGGAGGAAAAAGGAATTGAATTTGTAAATGTAAATGTACTATTTTTATGCCAGTGAGTTTTTATGTATGCGAGAGGTTAGTTATTTGAGTTGTAAAAGAGTTTCGTAATTAGAGGATAAGTTTATACCTTTTTCTTGATCTGGGTGTTTGAGGTTGTGTGCTTGGTGAAACAATAGGAGAATTGCTCTGGGGTACTTGAAATTTCTGTGTCTGAACTACTTGCAGTTGTTTCTGTGGTTGTTGTTGGTCATGGAATTTGTTGAAACTTGAAGTGGAGAGTTCTGGCACAAAATGAGGCCAAATTGAGGTGTGAGTAGGAGGAGCAAGCACAGGAAAAGGGTCACGCTGCTTCCTTTCATGTTCTGCAAAATCAGGGGAATTGGGATTGATACCAGGAGCACTAGTGGAAGTGGTGGGGTTAACGGGTGTGAACAATTGGTGAAGCTCTTGAAACTCATTGGTTATAGGTTGCACTATATTGGGAAAAGAAAATACGTCATATTCTTCGTTGACAGTGGAAGTGACCAAGGAAGAGGAAGTGTCTGTAAGTGATATGGTATTGGTGGTGGTTTGTGGAATTTCTACGGTGGCAGTATTGGTGGCTGATAGGCAACTTCGCACGATGGCAAAGAGATCCCAATCCTCAGCCATCATATATATATATATATATATATATATATATATGGAGAGAGTAATAGAAAGAGACTTCTGGGTATGGCTAGAATCAGAGAAAAATCAGTGTGGCTTTTTTCCCATCTAAAGCAACAAAGTTAGGAGCAAAGAGAGAGAAAATGGAGGCAGAAAAGATGGCGCTGACTTTTTGGGTGAATGCCAAAATATAGAGAAAGAAAGAGACGAGGAAGAAGCAATAGTGGTTGGTGGAGCACTGACTTAGTTGGGTAACTAATTATTTATACTTGAAAACTTTGACAAGAGAGAAAAAAAAAAAAAAAAACTAGAGAGAAATTCTAGAAAGTGGAATTTTGTAGGGGTTGGAGACTGTCGTGGATTGGAGAGGAGTTAGAAAGATACTCTCTTTCTCTCCCTCTCTCTCTCTCTCTCTCTCTCTCTCTCTCTCTCTCTCTCTCTCTCTAAAATTGCCAAATTTCTTGGCTTTTTCATTGACATCGTGGAAATGTCAAAGGGGGGGCCTAAACGAAGGTGGCAAGTTAACTAAGGGTGATGATTCTGATGCCTTGAGTGGGAAAGTTCCTTGTACTCTCATAATTGTAAACTAACACAGTAATAGGATCTGATTGGCTAGTGCATGAAATGGAGGATACGTACGTACAAAGGTGCAAGGTATTGACGCGCCATTGCTTCAAGTGACATAGAAACTGAGCAGATGTCGAACCAATGAGTAAGCAAACAAATGAGCCAAGAGCATTTGATTAACTATGTCTCATTAGGGAAAAATTACAGACGTTTTGACATATAAAATATGTTTATTATGTTCTTACTTTCTCGTAATTTTCATCTAATTTCAATCAATGTAAAACAAACACCCACTCCTTACGACGTGCTTCTGCATGGCATGCCTTACAACTGACCCACAATTTATGGCCTCACGTACGGATCGATTCTTAAAAGTTTGGATTTTTGTTTTTGGGTAAGAAGTAAGAAGCAAACACTTTGTACTTATTTACTTTAAAGTTAAATAAAATTAATTTTAAGTTGTTAAATATGATAAATTAAAATATGTATTACACTAATTTCAATCATAAATTTACATTAGAATGTGTTTTGTTTTATTTTAAAAAGAATACAAGATTATTGTTTTTTAGTGAAATAGAATTCAAATCTTGAAAATAATTAACAATAATAATAATAATAATATCACAACATGTGATAGGAGTTGAACAAATCAAGAGGTAGAATTGTAGGCGTGGAGTTTTAAGTTTGAATGATCTAATCAGTGAAGTTTAACAACAAATTGAAATATTTTAAATGACGTGATGTTCGAAGTCGAACTCAAATAACATTATTTCAGAGCTTTAGAACCCTTATTTAATTTATTTTATCAGGAATTTTCAGACTTTGTTATTTGTAAGAAAATTCTTATTCGAGCTAAAAAAAAGTTCCTGGAGTTTTTTTTTTTAAATGGTTCTAAGAGACTTTTTTTTTTGTGATTTTACTATTAGAAGAAAATTGATGGAGATATTAAAGTAGCATGTACAAGAAAATTTTGTTAAGAAGCAATAATGGCAGTTTAATATTGATCCTAATTTTTGCGGTCAAATTACTTAACTTAGGGAGATAATAAATTTTTACTAAAAATTATATATTTTATCAACAATTTTTAACATTATATTTTCTAAAATCATTATACACTCTTAAATATACATTCAAAATAATCTTAAGAATAAAAAAGGTCCAATTGCAATATATATAAAATTAAGATCCAATTGCACGCACTAAATTCGCAGCTGCCAACCACATGCAGATGGGGTTTGGAGTAACATCTACAGTCCCTAAATTTGTTAGGACGTGATTCTGTAATTTTTCTTTTCTAAAGGAAGTTATTCCCTTTTTTTAAAGTCTTCTCCAAATTAGAATCTTTCCAACTTTAATGGTCGTGACATAACACTTCTTACTATCACATCCAAAATATAATTTTAGTACCCATAAAAAAATAGACATATTTTAGGTTTCATATATGAAGTTATTATGTGTGTGTTTTAATTTCAATAAACATTTACGTGTCAATTAACTATGAACATGCACATTTTTGTGTCAAGTCTGCGATTTTGAATTGCTTTCCAAACAATAGTCAAATAGACACTGGGAGTGGGACTAAATTATATTATGCAGAAATTTTTACATTGATATAATTTTGCTACACATGTACATATTATAGAATATAACTTAATGTTAATATATAATATATTTTTATCATTTAGACATACATTATATCTAAACTCATAGATTTGACTTGACATCACGTTGTCAAGCTCAGTATTTAATCGGCTAATAGTGATTAAAAGCATATTTGAGAACAATTATTTTTAGAAAATAATTACATTTTAAAATTCTTCACAAAATAAAAAATATGTTATAAGTTAAATTTAATACGTATTAGGTCATATAATGTTATATCCACGTAAATATATAAGTTTGAAAATAATAATAATAATAAATTTAATAGTTATTAAAGATATGTTTGACAAAATTAGTAGATAAGTTAGTTAGGAAATAAAAAATTAACTAAAACTTAATTAGAAGCTGTAAATCCATAAGATAGCTAGCTGCATTAACCAATCAACTAGTTGATAAATCAAAAGCTTATGTATGTGTACATATAGAATAATTAAAAATAATAAAATATATTCCACAAAAATTAAAATGGCTAAGCAAACATAATTTATTGAAAACCAGAACCAAAAAAATATAATTTATTGAAAATAAAAGTAATAATTAAGGAAAGGTTAAAAGTTGTCTTTTTTAAAAAATTAATATGACACAATAAAAAAAATTATTGTGCAAACTTATAAGTCCTATTCTACTTCTATTAATCGTTTTTTTTTTTGGCTCCAACTTCTATTAATCTATCAAATTAGAGCTTTTAAGCTACTAGTTTTTTCAAGAAAACTCTCTAATTAAACACTTTTAATAATTTTTTAGTCAAATAAGATAGTTGATTAACTTAAACTAATTTTTGAAACTCTTAAGACTAAAAATTTCAAATACATTTACATTTCAACATTTTATTTTTACTTATTATCTGTAATTTTTATTTTTTTTAAAACTAATGTCTGTTTACATGTACATATACAGCGTATGAGATACTTGTAATATTTTGGAAACAAAAAAAGAATAAAAATTAATAATCCTAATTCTTTTTATTTATCTATTTAAAAAGATAAATTACATACTAAAAAACAATATTCTTATTTATATTAAATTATTTTCAATTGATTAATGCGACTTTTGTTATTATTATTTTTTATTTGTTATAATTGTATAAAATATTTAAGAATTAACTAGAGAAAAAGATATACTAAAAACTGTAATAATTAAGATAAATAAAAAATGTTTTTAAAATTAGATAATTAAAAAAATGGAAAAAGTATAAATATTTTGACTAAGAGGAAAGTAAACGGCTTGAATGTGAAAAGTTTGGTTTTAACACGTGTTAGGACACAAGTGAGAATCCAAGTTAATACTAGAAAGCACTAAGAGAATATGGGTTGACAATTATTTCTATGGCATCTTTGGTGACAGTGAGTGGACCTTATCAAACTATATCTATATATAAATGTGATTTTATGGACGTTTTGGAAAAAAATTCATTGATCAGTGATAACAGTAATTATTAAAATTCTAAAAAGATATGACAAGGATATGAAGCAGAGAGGTTACCTTGAGGAACCTTGAATGTAAAAAGATTTGCATGGGACCACCACTATGATAATTTATGCGAACCCATCAATTCTCGCCCTTGGTTGTGGGAGGGGTCCAAAATTTTCAAGGTAGAAGAATGAAATCTTTCAAGGATTGCTCTTCATTGTTCATTTTATTGGCAAGTTTGGTCAATGGAATAGTCTACAAAACTTCTCTTACTTTATATCAATATGACACTGAGGAATTGCTAAGTGGTTGTGGACCCAGTGGCCTCTAGACTCTAATCTAATTGACTCCAATAAAATAAAGAAAATCTTGAGAAGTGGAGTGTGAAAACGTGTACATATTTCCCTGATATTGCTTAAGCTAACCAAGTTGTGTTAATATTTTCAGATATGAGGCCATGGTTTAAGAATGACTATGTACTGTGTGCAATCACACATCCTTGAACTTCTATATGTGCATGTAGAGAAGCGCGCTGTGGATTAAACAATAATATCATAATACTGACCAGTGAGTTTTTAAATCATTACAAGTATAGATTGGAGAAAATTTTATCTGGACGTATATGTACATGTAACATTAGCATGCCCATCACGGTCAAAGACAAATAAAGAACATGTGGTAGTTAAATTATTAAATAGAAGCACGTCATGTAATGGCAGCTAATTCAAATGTTTCATTTTCTTTGACGGTTTAAGACATATCTTTGGTTTAGCTTAATTTTAAAAAGTGATACTCTTGATCAATCTCAGGCTTCATCAATTCAGGTTGAAGTCCGACTTAATGCTTATCAAATTGAGTGAATAATTAAGGTTTACACCTTGTTTTTATTTATTTATTTCTCTGCATCACTTTTACAAGAATCTCCATGCATACAAAAAAAAGATTTACTCAGCAATTAAACGTTAACAAAATAAAAAATGAAATGCTAATAATATATAAAATTGAGAGTGATGAGTCTGAAAGAAAGAAGCACTGTTTTAAGTGAACTAAATACGATTATAAATGAGGGTGCATGGTGATTTGATGGTTATATAAAATAACATCTTGGTTGATGACTGGTGTGGATAACATGGATACGAATTCGAAGTTGAAGAAACAGAGATGATGATTGCGATTCGGTCTGCAATTTGTTCCTTTTGTTCTCATTGTTGTGTTTTCATTGTACTTTTGAGGATTGCGTTAACGTTGGGTAAGTATCAACGTTGGAAGTTCTTTATATGGAGTTTGGTGGCATCTTTTTAAGATTGAAAGGTAAAACAAACAAAGTGTGCGCAGCCTTCTGGTTTGTTGGTGCCAATTAACTTATTCTTGATTTATAATTTGAAGCTGCAGGGTCTTGTATACAAGACCTGCCTTTATTCCATAGCACAAAACACTCATCTGCCAATCAGTCCAGTGATCCTGATGTCAAGTAAAAGAGAAGATCTTGGCGTGCAAAACCATCCTATTCTGTGGTGATGCAATTGGTAGTGCTGCTAGGAGCAGGCCCTTGGCTAGTGTGATTGGATCTGTGCTTAATAAGAAGGAAAGAAAACAAGAAAGATTGAAGAAAGAAAGAAAAAAAGAAGGAACAAATGAATTAAAAAAAGAAAACAAGAAAGCATGTAAGAGGGAGAGAAAAAAAATGAATGAATGAAAGAGGAAATGAGGGTAAGAAAGAAAACAAGAAAGCATGCAAAAGAGAAAGAAAAAGAAGGAATGAGAGAGAGAAAAAGAAAGAAGAATGAAAGAACAAAAGAGAGAAAAAAAAGGGTAAAAAGAGGGAAAAAAAGAAGGAAGAAATGAGAGAAAGAATGAATGAAAGGAAGAAAGAGAGAAAAGAAACAAGAAAGCGGGAAAGAAAGAGAAAAAGAGAAAAAAAAAGAAGAGAAAACAAGAAAGCATGTAAGACAGAAAGAAAGAAGGAAGAAAAAACAAAGAAAACAAGAAAGAGAGAAAGAAAAAAGAAGAAAGGAAGGAAAAAATGAGAGAAAGAATGAATGAAAGAAAAAAGGTTAGCAAGTAAGAAAGAAATAAGAAACAAAAGAAAGCAAAGAAGAAATGGTAAGATGCAAGGAAGGAAAGAAGAAAGATGCAAGGACGGAAAGAAAGAATGCTGCACCGGTGGAGAAACTGGCAAAGAAAAAATGAATAAACTAATGAAAAAAAAGAGAGAAAGAAAGAAATAATGCAGCAACAGGGGAGAATACTGAGAAACAAAGAAAAAAAAAAGAGAAAGAAAGAATGCAGCACTGGGGGGGAATACTGATAACAGTGATATTCTCTTTAATGAGACTACATTTTACAAATTTGAGTTTCATAGGATCAGGTGTTTTCAGCACATGGAAATCCGGTTTGTTAAATGCTATGAACTTGGACAGACAATGCTTCCTAGCTATTTCCTCCCATCATCACATCCATCAATCAGTTCACTCCCTCAAATACGTCACAGTTGACAATAATAAATAAATAATTGACATAACCAAAATCTACCTTCCGTGAGTTAACCCGAAATTTGCCTTTTTTTCCCAGTAAAAGCTTCTGTACTGAAGATGAATTTTGATGAACGGGTAAGGTTGTTACCATGTGAACTAGTGATCACCGATTCAAATTTTAGAAACATCTTTCTGCTTGTGGGGAATAAGACTGCATCAATTTAAAAGATTAAGCCCGGTAATACTTTTATCATAAGAGATGATAATTTCATGCTTCATTTACCAGTCTCGTATATAAGACCTGCCTTTATTCCCTAGTACAAAACACTCATCTCCCAATCAGTCCAGTGATTCTGATGCCATTGAAAGTAAAGGAGAAGATCTTGGCGTGATTAATGGAGGAACACTTAGAAATAAGGCAGCACAAGACCATCCTATTCCTTGGTGATGAAATTGGTAGTGCTGCTAGGGGCAGGTCCTTGGTTAGTGAGATTAAATCTCTGCTAAAGAAAGAAGGAAGGAAAGAGAGATAGGAAGAATGAAAAGAAATCAAGAAAGTACGCAAGAGAGAAAGAAAAAAAAATGAAAAAAATGAAAGAAATGAAAAAAGAGGGGAAGAAAGAAGAATGAAAGAACAAAAGCAAAAAAGTGGAAAAGAAAGAAAAAAAAGCATGCAAGAGAACAAGAAAAAAAAAAGAAAGAAGAAATGAAAGAGAGAAAAAAAGAGAGCATGCAAGAAAGAAACAAAGATGAAGGAATGAAAGAAAAAGGAAAAGAAGAAAGAAAGAAAATAAGAAAGCATGCAAGAGAGAAAGAAAGAAAGAAGAAAACAAGAAAGCATACTAGAGAGAAAAAAAGAAAACAAGAAAGCAAACAAGAGAGAAAGAAAAAAAAGAAAGTAGGAAAGAATGAATAAAAAAAGAAATCATGCAAGAAGGAAGGAGCAAAAGAATATGAAAGAGGGAAAGAAAGAAAACAAGAAAGCATGCAAGAGAGAAAGAAAATAAGAAAGTAGGAAATAAAAAAGCAAGAAAGAAACACGAAAAGAAAAAAAACATGCACGAGAGAAAGAAAAAAAGAAAGCAGAAAAGAATGAACGAAAGGAAGAAGAAATGAAAGAAAAAAAGGAAACAAAGAAAGCAAGCAAAAAAAGGCAAGAAGGAAAGAAGGTGAGAAAGAAAGAGGCAGCACTGGTGGGGGAAATTCTGAGAACAGTGATATTCTCTTTAACGACACTATATTTTAGAAATAGGAGATTAACAAGATTCAGGCATTTTCAGCACATGGAAATCCGGTATGTTTAATGCTATGAACTTGGACAAACAATGCTTCCTAGCTAGTTCCTCCCATCATCACAGCCATCATTTCATTCCATCAAATTCGTCACAGTTGACAATAATAAATAATAATTGACGCATAACCAAAATATAACTTTTGAGAGTTAACCCGAAATTTGGGTTTTTTTTTCCTCAGTAAAAGCTTATGTACTGAAGATGAGTTTTGATGAAAGGGTAAGGTTTTTACCATGTGAACTAGTGATCACCGATTCAAATTTTAGAAACAGCCTTTCTTCTTCGGGGGAATAAGACTGCGGATTTACCCTCTTCAAAACCCATTAGGTGAGAACCTTGTGCAGTGCATCAATTTAAAAGCTTCAGCCAGGTAAATACTTTATCATAAGAGATGATAATTTCATGCTTCAACTATAATAGGTGGAGCACCTACAAAGGAATCTAGACTCCCTGTATGATATATCTATCACAGAATTTGTTCCCTCATGTTCGATGGTGTAAACTAAATTATGTAACTGATATGACCCAACCCCACTGCCAAAGTCACTTCCAATACACTTATCTTATTTGGAGCCTATTTATATATTCATTGGCTAAATTATGTAACTGATTACTGATATGACCTTTTTTTTTCAGTTTTTTTGCTTCAAAATGATGCATTTCTACATTTGACCACTGATACCAGCATAAGAGTTTTTTATGGGTTAAGTACTATATCAAGCTTTTATTTGTATTCAATTTGAAACATATAACTTACTTTCACCTAAAGATATCAGAGATCTTATTTGCTGGTCTAGGGTAAGAATTGACATATTAGCCGGGCTTAGAGGTTAGGAATCTGGCAACATTATATCACGTATTTGTTATTGTTTAGTTGAAAAAACAAACAGCTTATCCTGACTTTGGCAAGCTCTCCTCGAAATAGAAGACTGCATCTGCATGAAAGCTGAAGCCCTCAATCTCTCTGCTGGAGATGTAAGGATATTCAAGTGAAGAGTGTGAAGGTTACCACACAAACTGTTGGAAATTGGAATAGTTTCTCTATAAAAAATTTTTTTTTCCATAAACTACTTAGAAACACTGCACCACGAGATTTTTTTATAATCATAATAAGACTTGAGACTTCATCACAAGCTAGAACATAATCAAATTTAAAAGCTATAATCAGTCATCTAGACTAGATGTTGCATAAGCATTGAATTCCTTGTATAAGTAACTCGGTAATCTTATCAATATTACTTTCATAAATCTTATTTTACTATTTAGCATAAACTACATACACTCAATATAGTACCTAGCTCCCTGTGTAAGTCTCATAAACCAATTGTGCTGTAAGCATATCTACAACAGCAGAACCAACAGACTTGAACACAGTAATTTCCTCTGAACTGCTTCTCCCAACCTTGTCACCTCTAACAAGTTCTACCAAATTCCCTCCAATTTCATCTTTCTTGATAACCCCTCTCTCAAAAGCACCCACCAGCTCCCCAGCTTCAACAAGCGCAGCCTCATTGTCCACAAACACTGTTCCCCTTCTTAAGGCCTCATCATCACACTCCTTCATTGAATCCTTGAAGGAACCCACTAAATCCAAATGAGCACCAGCCTTCAACATCTCCCCCTTCACAAGGGGTGTCTCAGAATTGGTGGCACAACTCACAATATCCCCAAGCCCAACCACCTCATCCAAACACCCACAACCCTCAAAGCTCAACCCTGAAAATTCACCACTCTCTCTCAGTTTTTGTGCCAAAGTTGTAGCCTTTTCCACTGTCCTGTTCCAGATGAAGACTTTTCTCAAACTGGGTGTGGCTGAAACATGGGCTCTGATCAAATGGGGTGCTAAGGCACCAGCACCAACCATAACAAGGACCTCACAGTCACGTCTGGCTAAATATTTGGAAGCCAAGGCAGAGACAGAGGAGGTTCGGTAAAGGGTGAGTTCAGTTGAGTCCATGGAAGTAAGAGTTTTGCCATTGGTGGAACTGAAGAGCACATAGCTTCCTTGCACACCTGGTAAGTTAACAGCGGAGTTTAGTGGAAAGTGGGTAACAAGCTTGACGCCAATGTAAGGGAAAGAAGGGGAAGAGGACCAAGAGGGCATGAGGAGGAGAGAGGAAGAAGGAGAGAGAGAATAGTGTTGACGAATTGGGGTTTGGAAAAAGGTTGAGACTTTGGGGAGAGTGGATTCGAAGTGATTGATGAGAGTTTGGTGGGTGAGAATAGTGCATAAGGTCTCCGTGGATATGAAGACCGGAGAAGAAGACACGTTGTTGGTGCTGATTTCGTCTTTGTCTATGGTGGCCATGGATGATGACGCAGTGGTTGGAGTGATTGAGTTTGGGGCCTTTTCTTCTTGGGTTGGGACGAGGATCGATTACATTTGCAAGACTTTTTGTGGAATCTTGCAAAATCAACTTAGAAAATGGAATTTGAGAAAAATAAATAATAGGTTAGGAAATGTTGACATAATAATTTTTATTGTTCTGGATTTTCACAATTTGTAAATGGCCAAATACAAGTAAAGTCTTTTAATTTTTTTATTACTTTAAACATTTAAAGAAATTTATAATTTATTAGTAATGTAAAAATATTTACATTAATAATATATTAAAATTAAATTTTTTTATACTTTACATTAAATTCCCTTTTTTTCTCTTCTCAACGTTAAGTCTTTTTGGTAAATATATATTATTAACGTAAAAAAGATTATTAAAGCAATAAAAAAAAGATAAATTTATTTAAATAATACTATTTAAAAACATATTCTTAAAATAGAAATTTTTTTAAAATAAATTCTTTATTTGGTGTGAATTTTGGATAAGTCATTATCTGTATCGCATCTGCATTTATGATAGGCTATTTTTAAAAAAATTTTAATACACTACCAGTACTTTCTAACTGATACTCACTTAGAGTTGAACACGTGGAGGTAAAGAATTTTGAGTAATTAAAAAAATAAAAAAATTTACTTGTATCAGATAAATAAGGGCGATAACTGCCACATGTCTTGTTGTCATTTGTATCGTCTCAATAGCAACAATAACTTTTTTTAAAATCAGCGGTTAGGGAGAATTAAGATACATGTAAAAATCTTATGTTGTATCAAGTTTACCTCGTCAATTAGCCTATCGGTGCATAAGTGACGATAGTACTTTTGATTATGACACATGGCATGGTTGATTCTGGTGTTGCAAAAGTCTACTTCTTTCTCTCTTTGCGCTTCATCTTCCATTAACGTTGGCCAAAAGCATTTTCTCTATTGGTGTAAAATTTCATAGAACAATTTGTTGATTTTATGGTATTTTTTTGAACAAAATTCAAAGGTAAAAATAAAATTTTTCAATAAATATGTTTGTTTTATTTGTAAAAAAAGATAATATTTTGTTATATTTTGAATATTTGCAGGTGCTGGTACCAAAGAATATAGAAATGAAACTTCATTTCAATCGGCAAAAGAAGTTAGTGAATGATAAAAATTTCATGTATAGTCTTTTTGTAATTTATTTTAATGTTTATATATTTTTTGCGTAATTGAATGTAAAATTAATTGAAAATGTAATATTTGAATTAAATTTTTTCTTAAAAAATAGATTTAGAAGTTGATTAATTATTATATTTAATTCTGAAGTTTACCATTAAATTGAAAAAATTTATAATATGTTTATGTTTAAGTACAATTATGAAAAAATTGTAAATTTTGTGTAAAATATTTAATAAAGTCAATAAAAATATATTAATTTTTTCTAATTATGAATAAAATAAATTTTTGGTTGAGTGTTTTTATAAAATAGTAAATTAAAATTAAAGTAATCTATAATTACAGCATAATAATATATTAAGTTGGCTGAGAAAAAAAATAGATAATGAATTAAATTAAGAAATAAAAATTGCATAATAAAATATGATAAATTAATTAAAATTTGTAAAAAAATCATTACTGTTAAGATTAATTAGAAGGGTAAAGTAAAGGTATAGAAAGTATAATTTATTTTATGAAACATATTTAAAATGTAGAATAATTTTGAGTAAAGTAAATCAAAATTTTACAGAAACAAATTTAAAAAATAATAAACAGTAATCTAAAATTTGTTACCAATAAATTAGAAATAATAGAATTTTAAAAAATTAAAATTATAAATAAATTCATTCTTAATAACAATATGAGGAGGAAATTTAAAATATATGTATATTTAAAATAATAATTACGACAACTAATTTTTTTGAGAATAAAAAATCTATGTAACTTATTTGAATTAAATTTTTATAAAGTTAAAAAAATTAAATTTTTTAGTTATTATATTGGTAACATTTATTTAAAAATTGTAATTACGTAATTTTATAATTATATATAATTTTGACCTCTATTATAATAGAAATATTAAACAAAATTATTTACATAACTTATTAAATATATTGTCATACATAAATATTAAACTAGTATGAGTTTAATATAAATTATATTTAAATAAATAAATATTTTAATATGCATATTCTGGTAGGAATTATTTATATTATTACAAAGTTAAATAAAAACAAATTCTGCATGTAGTAAAATATCAAATCAGCCATTAATGTAAGTAAATATATAATAAAATTTAAATATCAAATATATAAAATTTAAAGTATATTATTAGAAGTGTAACAAATATTAGACATAATTATTATATTTACTATTTATTAATACAAAAATTACTATGTTTATTTAAACAAAAATGCTAATTTGCAGTAGCTAGTTTTGTAATGTTAATAAATTTATAGTTTGTACAAAAATTAAATTAAAATAATATTGAGTATGAATATGTAATTATAATATTATTTTATATTATTTATATGATTTTATTTTAACTATTAAATAAAAAAATTATTTCTATAAAAATAACAAATATAAAATTTTGTTTAAACCAAAAATAATCAAAATTTATAAAAAATAAATAACATAATTACCGAAAAAACTAACTAACCTGAACTCTCTAAAAAAATTTCTTTCTTTAGTAATGTAAGGCAAATGTGAAAAGTGTAATATATATATATATATATATACATGATTTTTTTAATGCATCATTTATATAACCAATAATTATTGAGAAGTGTCAAGTCCTCACTTGTATTGCACCAATAGTGCTAACGCAGTTTGACCAACAAATTGGTAATCGTTTAAGATTGACCGATACACTTATTTATTTGACATGTATCATTCATCCATGTGTATCGCTGCTTGACAATCTATAGAGTTAACTCTTTGACTAACGACTTACTTATCACTTAAAAATAGATGATACACCTCTGATTTTAACATATTTCTACCTCTGAGTAAATGTCGGTTAGATATCACTGATAATATATTAAAAAAATTTTAAAAATAGCTTATCGTATATATAGGTGCACAGGTTGCTACCTAGCCAAAATTCGCACGTTAAAAAAAAACCTAATTTAAGAATTTATTTTTTAAATAGCATTATTTAAATAAATTTGTCAAAAAAACGTTTTACTAAAGTGCTTTACCAGTTTTTGGCCCTTTATAAATTAACTAGGCCTACCTTAACCTATTTTCTAAAATGGGCTGAACATTCTTCGTAGGCTTGGTTATAAATGGGCCGGTGGACTAGCCTCAAAGATTTAAAAAGCAAAAAGAAAAGGGCAAACCGATATGCTAACTTATCTACAAATAAAAGAAATAACATTTATAAATAATAGTTAAATAATAAATAAGTATACTTTAATTATTTTAAATTTTAAAAAATGTCATAATAGGATAATTAATCTTAACCTTCTATTAGTGGGTTAAATACGGATTAGCAAAATAATACATAAAAATCAAATATTTCATCTAAGTAACTCTTAAATGCGTTTATATGTATGTGTATACATAGTATTATGTATTCATTTAGAGTTGTTTTGGAGTTGTCATTGTGTAGGCATGTTCAGGGTGAAAAAAAGAACTTGAACACATAAAATGTAAGATACCAAAATTAGTCAAGACATTTAAATTAGTATTTGGATATGAAAAATAGGGTCAAGTAAAGAAAAAACATAGTCCGTGCTAACTCTACCGTGAGCACCCCTTAATTCCAAGTAATACTGCATTATTTTGACCCTTTGTTAAGTATCTGATGCATGAAAGGCTCTGTAGAAAAAGAAAAAGTGTTCGACCAGGAAAAAAAAAAGTGGAGAATGGAATTAAAGCACTTTATTTTCCAATTCTTTAGTGTCCTTTTGTACTGTGCTTAAACTCATTTTGTACCTTTTTAACGCATATTATGATTACTAACATTCATCTATATTGAATTTATCAGGGCGCAATGAATTGGGTTTCTATGTGAATGATGTGATGTTTGTAGATTACCATAATAATTACAATGTATTTTGATCAGTGTCCAAAGTATTGATATAATAATACCATTCTTTATTTGTAAATTATTACGTAAACGATGTAACAGCTTTCGGCGAAAGAAAAGAGATCAAAACATCAGCGCATGCAGCTCTCAATATTTTAGTCAAAAGCAGCCATAGCTTACCATTGCATTAGACTCCCAGTCAAAACACCCGGTGTTTATGTTTCTCATGAATTAAAGATAGATAAAATAACTTATGTTAATGCGGCAAAATGATTTGGTACTCTTCTTAAACTGAGGAAAAAACTAAAGAAAGATATTAGCAAGTTCCTTGAATGCACCACTACAACCTGTAAACAACAAATGCTCAGAAAATTTTGCAATTTGACATCATGACAAAGAGTGAATCTACATTGAATTTTATATAAGAAGCAAAATATAGAGCATGCATGCATTAAAATAGCAATGGAGCAAAGTAATCAAAGGAGAAGAGACAGAAAAAAAAAAAGACAGTAATGTGGCAACAAATTATTTGTTTCTCTGTACTAATTAAATGCCTACTAAGGCATCAATCTTTGAGGAAATACTCCAACTGGTGCTGGAAAGGCTCCACTGATCAGAAACCATACCTGCAGCTGAAGATGGAATACCACCACCAATTCCACATTTTGCAACCATCCTTACACTCTCTATCAACTCCTTGGTGCGAGCCTCTTGCGCCAGAATGTCCAACAACTGTTCTGGGGTGATCACCAATTTCACTTTCCAAAACCTACTGCTACCACCACCAGTGGTGCAGCTATTATTAGCACTGCTTCTGCTAGAGACAGCTTCATTGGAGGACCTCTTGAGCAGTCCCATTCCCAGGTGGTGCTGGTAGTCCAAGGACATTCTATATAAGGAAGCACAAGATGTTGTAGGAACACTATGAGATCTAACATGGCCTTGTCTAACAACATGTTCACCACCACCACCACATGGGGTCTCTATATTGTTGTTGTTAAGTGGTAACAAATAGTAAGATTGACCTGCTTCTAACTCATCGAATTGGCTAAGTGGCTTCCAAAAGAGGTCGTGGCTTCTGAATATGGCATGCCCTGGAAACTCATTGGTGATGAAACTCACTGTTACTGGAGCGCTGAATTCCATGATGCCACCGTTTGATGTTATTACTTTGATTACCGCATCAGGATCTGACATGGCCCCAAAGAAGCAGTTTCCCATGTTGGACTTCAAACCAGTTATGATAAGTAAAGTAGTATTGGTGATCTTGTTTGTTTTTATATATATGGTAGCTACTAGCTAGTGCCTAGTATGCTTGGAGGGAATTGTAGAGAGGGAAACTTGTGGAGGAGAAAAGTAGAGCTAGTTCTGTGGTCGGTTAGATTCTTCTCGTGAGCTTTGACAAAAGCTAGGCAAGAACCAAATTAAAGAAAAAAGGGTAATCTTTGTTCCCATCATTATGCAATTTGGATAGGGTTGTGTATACAACCTAATTATCATATAGTTAGGAAAGTTTTTTTATGTGTACATATAGTTAGGAAAATATTGTGTGTACAGCCTAACTATAGTTGTAATCCTAAACTTCTTTTGTTGCAATACATATGATGCATGAGTATAGTTTGATAGATTATTTAAGAAACTCCATGATGAGAATCAACTGTTAAAATAAATAAAATTAATTAAGTAGTCTTATTTATTCAGCATGTGCCTACCTAAACTTTTTCCTTTGGCGAATAGTTGTTTTTGCCATTTAGTGTGTTGGGTATTAGACTTAGACACGGTGATTGCTGGTGCTTGCACTGTTGTAAAGTTGTATGGCAGTGCCAATATACCGGCGGCTATGTAAACGCGGGAAGAGGAATATTGAGCTTTACCATCTCTACATTGTTAACTTAGTCCAAGTAAAAGTATATATATATGGGCCATCATACGTTACTTTCGCAAAGTCCTTTATTAATTACAACACAAAAGGGGAAAATGTTGTTCCAAATCAACTTTGGTCCCACTAGACTGGGCCCAAGAAAAAGAAATTGAAGAGCTAGTTCGGTAGTTCCTGCACTTGGTCCACTTCATTGACCTTTTTCTTTTTGGACCCTTGTCCTTTGATATTGAAGGTGTCAAGAAAAACACAACTATAATTTTATTGCATTGTCTAGATTACGGAATAAAATTCCTAACTCCAACAAAATGTTAAGAATTTCCAAGTACTATCCCCCCCCCCCCCTTTATTTTGGTCAAGTAATGCTTTAGATTTTGCATGACATCCTTTGTACTACAATTTGAAAGTTGCAATGGGGCTCGGCCAAATCTTTGCTTTTCATGTCATATTCTTATTTTATTTGGTAAAAATTAGATGGAATTGACTTGAAAGTTGAAAATCAGAATCATTCCATGTGGGAATGAAATCCCTTTAGATATTCGTAGGTGATTGAGAAATATATGAATGAAATTTCCGTTGTTGACCTTCTAAACGTGACTTATAAACAAGAATGGCTTATAATCTCTTGTTCAGCCACAACCAACTTGAAAGAATCGATTTAATTAACAGTAATTAATCATTGCTGTACTAAGGCTACATTAGGCACACACAGAGTCACACTCTAGCAAACATCTCCAATTCTCCAAAAGAAGCTAAGCCTGATGTTAGAGATAAAGTCCCCATATAAGATTATGACTGCCTTGGAGAAAGGGTAGCATGATAGGCAGAGAGATCTAGTGTTAAGAAAACAGCCACCAAAAAATTAAATTAAAAAGATTTCTTTTTTAAAATGGAATTTGCAAGAATAAATAATATAACCATGCCTCTCTTAATCATGAAACAAACAGATTCTCCTGGCTTGCAATCCAAGATATAGGACAACATTAACTAACATAGGATTGCCTCACAAATCAATAATCTCCTACAATTTTACAGCTAGGCAGTGAGGTTTATTTTTCTGGTAAAGGTAACACGAGAAATTTGTTTCAGAAATGAATGTCAAGTTACATGACAAGCAGAACAAGGCAGTGTGAAACATTTTAATACTCAAAACTCTAAAAAAAGTGATATTCATCAATTGATTTTTCTTTTTGACTCTTAGTCCTAGCTTTAATGTTCTGAGTCAAGGATTTTGTAGCTGTGGCACTGGCCAACATGTTGACAATGCAATCGTGTTTAAGCATTTCAGATTCATCTGACATCAATATCTTGTTATCACTTCATATTCTTTTGTCTTTTGTCAAGTATCTCCGCCACAATACAACTTAGAACGGATACCTTTGGTTTTAATCATTCACTCTCTCTCTATAGCACTTGGATTGAAATAAAAAATGTATTCTCTCAATCAAATAAAATTTTATTGGATCATTCCACAATTTCTTAAACATGTTATTTAATATACTAGATCTTTTTCCATCTCAAAACTGAAATGCTATTGCTTTCTTAGAATCTACATATTCAGCATCATTTTGGTGTTGGACAATCAAGCCGAATGTTCTTTGTATCCATCTTTTATCTTCTTTCTCATTATCTTTATACAGGAATGAGTGAGGATCATTCTCTTGAAAAGCCAATCACTTGAATTTCTCATGTAATGTAATCCCTTCAGCATCAATTCTCTCCATATTGAGCTGTTCATCCAACCATGATTTCATTGAAAGAATATGATATGCCATCTAAATTTGATTTCTGGGTGTATCTGATTTCATGTGTGGTGCTTGTAACACTGGTTGGTATCACATCAGGCCTGGCTCTAGGACTATTGTCATTCATCCATGTTGATCTTGAGGTCCTCATTAAGGCAGGCCGTCCCAAAGACAAAACCAATGCAGGTTTTCAATCATGCGCTCTTCATTCTATTTTCCCTCCTGTACTTTTTTAAAGCTCTACTGCATATTACACAATCTCGCTTTATTTGGAGAAAGGATTTTAGGAAAATCACTGGCTATGGAGGTAAGGGGTGTGTGTGTGTGTTGTTGTTGTAGCACATAGATGGTAGTTAATTCGGTTGAAGAATAAAAAAACCTAGAAGTTTAATCTTCTCCATTGTATCTATAACATGTCCCTAATACAAAACCCCTTTAAATAACTTTGTATTGATAAACCACAAGCTCACGTTAATCTATCTTGATATAAGAATAAAGGGAAGCCAAAATAAAACTTCTCACTAATTATACTGTGAGGCCTTATATTTGGACAAACCAGTCAACTAAAAAGTTTATACCATTAATTGAACATTCACGAATGGTTTTCATTTACATCATGGTCAATTTAATAAACATTACGCAAGGCACTGCCAAATTTAATGGATGCAATCATGTGGCGTTGGCTTACTTTTCCTATATCAACTCCTACGGTGAGGTAATATTTTTTTTTTATGCAGATTCAACGATGAAAGATGAAATATTTCTCTTTTATTAACTTGACATGTATGGTCATAGATTGTTCCTCAAGCTGTATGTTCACGATACGGACTAATTTTAGGAGCAAAAATGGCACCCTTTGTTCAACTGCTTCTACTGATATTCTTCCCTATATCCTACCCAGCTAGTAAGGTAAATATTATGTCGTGTGTGTTTGTTTGTAAGTAAATGTAATTTATTTATGTCACTGTCAGGAACTGAAGTGCTAATCCACTGCATCAAGACCGGATTTAAGAAAACAATTCTATTTGAGTTTATGATGCACTTGAACAATTAGAGATTGAACTCAGTCTGAATGAAAATTACATAAGCACACACATAAGTAAGGTGAATTTAGCAAGACATCTTTTGAGAAGATTTAACATATCTCCTCTAATGTTTTCTTATTTTAGCAGATTTTAGATTGGACTCTTGGAAAAGAGCATTCAGTTCTTTTGAGAAGATCAGAGAAAGACATTTGTGGACTTGCTTTAAATGAGGTTTTCCTCTATATTCTGTCAGGAATGAATTTAGCACAAGTACAAAGCTGGTAGCTAATTATTGTTGTGCAGGCAGGGAGAGGTGGAGAGTTATCTCATCATGAAACTTCTATCATCACAGGTGCTATAGATTTGAGAAAAACTATGGGCTAGTCCTAGCATACAATATTCCAAAGTTGAGAAATCAACAAAGGAATTGAGGTAAAATTGTGTAGACCAAAAATGATATTAAATTGGTCAGACGAAACTATGGGCTATAGCATTTAATCTTCATTAAAGGACCAGTTTTATATTTCTAATTTAGTCATTCCACTTATTTTTTTAATAGGAATTAAAATCAAAATTGATGATTTTCTAAAGTACTACTTATTTCGGTCATATTATTATTATTACTCAAACTACAGTCACTACACCACCACTGGTTGCCCCAATCATCTCTGACACAAAATGCTTACCATTACAAATGAAATATCTAAAAAATATCAAATAAGTGTTAAAAGCAAAATGCATATAGAAAGGAGGGGGTTGGGAGAATACAAGACACAACAAATATCTTTGGCTATGAAGCAATGACCATCCATTTATAAGTTGGATAGATTTATATACGTGTGGTCTTGAGTAATTAGCAATAGTTTTAAATAAACTCCACACGATATCCGTCCAAACTTAATAAATGAGAAACGCATTAGATGCAGTTGTGTTTTTTACTGTACTGTATGCAGTTTAAAATTCAAACACATTTATTTCAAATATTTTATTATGAAACAAACAAATATCAAAGATGAGAATCAGATTTCCATGATCCCAATCAAAGACTAAACTAAGCCAAGAAAACTCCGAATCTCAGATTTGTGGCCATCAAAACCCAACTTCCTATCTCTAAAATTTTACTGAAATTTCTGACTTTTCACGCGAGCAGTGCAATTTTAACACTCAAAATGGGTTTCTACACTGGATAAAATATTTTTTTAAATTTATTTTATGCATAAAAAATTTAAATAATACTAATATGGTAAACATAGTATTAAATAATTATAAAAAAAAAATTTAACATCCAAAAATATTGAGTTTCTAGCATAAACACTTATTTTGGGTGTTAAAATAATATTTATGCTTTTCACACAAGCACCGTAGAAGAATTCAAGTAAGCTAAAGCATTAAGACACAACTAGAGTAAGTATGTATTTGTAAGAGAAAATAATAATAATATTTTTTTTTATAAATTAAAATCAATTTATAAATTTTATATTTAAAAAAATTAATTAAAATAATTTTAAAAACTAATTGAGTATAAGGTAATTTTAATTTATAAAAAATATTTATTTATTTTCTTTTATAAGTAAATATTTTTTTAAAACCAGTGCAAGTTCACCTGTTTTTATTGTTATTATTTCAAGGACACTAATTAAAAACATATTACTAAGCAAAGTGCACATTCATCTCACAGTATGTTCATCATAGAAATTTATTTTCAGACGCAAAGCATAACAATTTAACATTTGTACTCATCAAATTACGTAGTGTGCATAGTTTTCGCATAATTGATAGGTTTCCTTGTATTTTCTGTGTCTTTATTACATTACTTTTTTCACACATATACTAAAAAACACTAACTGTTAATCTTGTTTTCATTAATATAGTCTTTTCCCAACAAAAATTAAACTATTATTATAGAGATTGCAGGATTATGTTAATATAATGTATAAATCTTATACATATTTACACCAGTAAATGAAATTTTTGTATTCTTGTTACCATATTACACACACACATCTGTACGGAAAAGGCATGTGATGAAGAGTTCATTAAATTAGGCAAGTCAAAACCATATACATGGCTTTCAAGATCTCATTACCAGTTAAACATATTGATTAGTGGGAATCTTTTCAATTGGTGAATTTAAATATAGAATTAGCCCAGACAGATCCCAACTAATCAGACCCTTGTCACCTATTAATGAAGGAGAGTCAACAATAATATCAAAAGTTCAAATGCAGATTAGTATGATAGTGAATGAACAATAATCTAAAACTATGTTAAAATAATGTAATGCTTAAGCATCAAAATATACCCTCTCTTTGTCTATTTCAGATTGCTTTCACATGGACTAAGCACTTCCTTCATGCATGCGTTGTTCTTTTGATTTGTATATGTACTCATGAACTTGCCGGTATTGACCAACTATATCATACAACTTGCACCTATTATTTTATATTAATTTTTTTATAAGTATTTTGTTAAAAGTTTATTGGCCCAAATGTAAAGTTGAATTTTAAACTGAGTTTGAGATTTTAAATGCCATAAAAGGAGTTTGGATTCCACTTAGAAAACAGTGTAGTTTTTTTATTTTATTTTAAAGAAACTTGAAAATGACTAGAAAAAGATTGAACCAGTGGAATTAAAATATTCAAAGAAAGGAGACCAATGGGTGGACCTCTTGTTCTTTCACTATCACATCTTCATGAAGCTTATGATACATCTTCTACAAACAGGAATCAAATTATAAATTAGAAAATGTTTACTGGGATGATTTGAAGATAAATGAAAGTATTATTTACAAAATGCAACATAACTAATTAAAATGCATTAACTCCAAATTAATTATGTCTTTTTTAGTGAACCAAATAGTGCACGTTCATCTATTATACAGTGATATTATACAAAAAAGTATAAAATATGTTGAATTATATATTTAGTATTTAAAAGAAAAATATATTATTATAAAAATAAAAATATATTTGTAATGATTAAACAATCTATTTATAAATAAATACAAACTGTTAAGGTACAATATAATAGTCTTATTAATTATAATTACTAAAAAGTATTTTTTTTATTACCTTGGAATGAATAATCTGTACCAAGTTTTAACATGAAAATTTAAAATATAACTTTTAAACCCTTGTTATAAAACTTTTTAAGTAATTTTTATTTTTTTCATGAACAAAATTTATTAACAAATTTATATCTTATACATAAAATGTATATATAAAGAGAATAATTAAACATAAAATGTATATATAAATAGAATAATTAAACACTTTTGTGTATGTTATCTTCAAATGACCCAAAACAAGACATACCTTTTATATTTTTAAGGAAGACAGAAAACTGCCAAGATTTTGAATGAATGCATTATACATTAAGACATAATCTAAAAAATTGTCGCACCACAAAAATACTGTAACGTAATTATGTTAATGATATATATTAAAAAAAGGGTTATCTTATAACTAAGACTACCATAGTCTATTTCTCTTTCCAATCCCTTTTTATATTGTTATTTTATTAATCACATTTTCAAGTTTCAACGACTAACATTACTCACCTAGACGTAAATCATAGTGACATTTCTCTCGTTAGCCACTCTTCAAAACTAAATCACAAGGAAACCTTTATTTAAATTATATAAAAAAATAATTAATTATATTTTAATACCTTTAATTTTAACTTTATATAATTCTAATCTTCAAATTTTCAAACTAGTTAAAGTTTTTTTAATTATACAAAATTTATTCTATTATTTTTTATACCCATAATTCTTAAATTATCATATTTTACTTAAAATAATTAATTATAATACCTTTAATTTTAACTTTATATAATTCTAATCTTCAAATTTTCAAACTAGTTAAAGTTTTTTTAATTATACAAAATTTATTCTATTATTTTTTTATACCCATAATTCTTAAATTATCATATTTTACTTAAAATTTTGACAAATTGAATTAATAATTTTTTATTCTACATTCTTTTACACAAAAATATACTTGACCGAAAAAAGAACAACAATTATTCACAAAAATAAAAACCAACAATTAACAGAAAAATTAGATGGAAAAGGAAAAGATGAGATTCAAATGCACCAAAATCCTCCATCGAGCACACATTTTATTTTGAATTCTGTGATGTTTGTTCTAAAACTTAGCAGATGACACAGCCATTAGGATTCTCTTCCACACATGTGCAATAATAATAAGGTGGTTGTCTCATCTGATTACGATAATAGGCTTCACAGAGCTTCACAATGTCACCAGAGTTCTCATTTTGATCGTTTTTCTTGATCTGTTCTTTCTCAGGTTCCTTCTTCTCCTCTTTGGCTGGTCCAACAGAGAGTATTTCAGTGTAACACAGCTTCCTCATCTTCCCCACTGCATTCACAGGGTCGATGTTTCCAATTAAGGTCAATTTCTGCTCCTCCATATCCACAGAGACTGATTCAACCCCTGCGATAATCACCCCTCAAATCTTTCAATCTTGGATTCTACATAAAACTAAGTTTCTAGCCATATAATGTAACATTATTTTTTTCTCTTTGATTTTTCCTCTCTTTTAAAGAAATTAACTCTAAGGAGTTGGTCAAACGGAACCATTAAAGATCTCGCATCTCAAAATTTTACGTGCCAAAAATAATTTTAAAAAAATACAAAAGACAATAAAATTCATACCTCGAAGACATGAGATTGCCTTCATGGCCTTTTTCTTAATTTTCTCATCATATAATTCCACCTTTAGCACTACTTTCTATCATAAAGTAAATCAGAGAACTGTTAGGACCCTGACCCTATAATCAAATTTGAGAATGAAAATAACAAAACCAATCTTTACAGCATATAATATCAAAAGGGGACACGAGAACTCAAATGTCACATGAGTACATGTACTTAAAAAACAATCATGAACAAGAGATAATAGTTGATAATGAGTGATGCATGGAATTGGAATCAGCAAAACTAAGAAGTGAATTAAGTTTTGATAAATGGGTTGGATTCATTTATTGGGTGATGACAAAGATAGAAGAGTTGGAGGGGTTACAAATTCTTACATTCATTGACATGGCGTGGACAGAGGAGGGGCAACTGTGAGGCAGCTAAAAGGATGGCTCTGTTTTGAAGTAGTGCATTGAAGCTCTGCTCTACTTCAAGGTATTTAAATAAATATGTACAGAGAGAGAGAGAGTCAACTCCACGCACCCTCTGGTTGGATGCATTAAAGATTGAGAAAATTTAGGTGTTATTTTGTGTGTATGCTAGTGTTATTTATTAATTAAAATTAAAATTTTATTTTAATAAAATATTTATGTTTAATATTATTAGAGATTACTGATGTAAAACTTTAAATTTAACGGATAAATAATAGTATCTAAATCTTTTCTATTAAATAATTCATAATCCTATTTGTATTTAACAAAAAAAATGTATTTAGAATCGTGTATGTATAGGTAACATATTATATACCAATCCATCCTTAATATGAGTTTTACATAATTTTAAACAGTTTAATTTTAGTATATTGTTAGTATAAAAATTTTTATTATTAATAATTAATTTAAAATTATTTTAAATATGAATTTTGAAGTAATTATTATAAAATTTATTTTTTTTAATTATATTGTAGTGTATGATTGGATGGCAATGTATTTAATATAATCTAAGTTTTATAAGGATGGATTGGTATATAATATGTTATTTAAAATATAAATAAATATTATTGTTAGGATATATTTTTAAATGTTTAAATTATTCAAAATTTATATGTAGTAATATCATAAAAATTAACAGTTAGATTGATAAAATTATCTTTTGATGAAAATAATAAATAAATTATTTTATTAACACATAATATATCCTAATTTAAAAGTCACTTTACTATCATAATGATACAAACAACTAGATGTATATGCTTGTCATCAGTGTATATCCTGATTTGATATTCTTATGGTAATGGTAAAATGTAAAATTCATCAAAATTTCTATCAATTTATTCATATAACACACATATCATCTTTGGAAGAGTGTTTTTTCCCCCCATTTCTATAACATCCACCGCAAGATTAACTCCTTTAGTATTATTGTGCCTAAGCTCTCCCAAATATCACAATCAGCATTTTAACAGCTTAGTCTTGAGAGCAAGAGAACAATTAAATACTTTTGTGTATATTGTCTTCAAATGACTCAAAAACAAACAACACATTCTATTGAAGGAAACACATTTCCCCATTAATTACAACTGCACTCAAACTATCTCAATCACAAAATTTTTCTTAGTTACATTCATATGACATTAATTTTGGATGCTGCATGCTACTCTTTCTTACTTGCTTGGCCACACTAACCCCCGATCTAAATCATAAGAAGGAACGGAGAAAAGACAAATACTATATATATTTTGGATTAATTTTTAATCTAACAAAGTAATAAAAAAAAAGTTAGAAGATGACACAGCTATTAGGATCCTCTTCCACACTTATGGCACTGTAATATGGACTGTATTGGGGTTTCATCTGATAATAATAGGAATAGTTTTGATAGAACTTGAGTGGATCGATCAGAGTTTCTTTTGTTGAATCCTTCTTGTTATCTTCCTTCTTTTTATCGTCTTGCTTAGGTGGTTCCTTCTTTTCCTCTTTTGCTGGTCCAACAGAAACTATTTCTGTGTGACAAAATTTCCTTAGCTTGGCTACTACATTTACTGGATCAATGTCTCCGGTTAAGGTCAATTTCTTGTCTTTCATGTCGACAGAAACTGACTCAACCCCTGCAACAATGTTACAAATACAACTTTAGTACATCACTAGAAAATCAATGGGTCGTTGATGCTATATGAATTATGATTTGCGTTTTGTTTCTTGAAGCACAAGCATAGTGTCAATCATAGTGTCAATCAAGCTAATTGTTGAGTCCCACATTAATAAAATAAGAACCTCAATGTGACATGTAAGTTTTTTTTTTTTTTTTCGTTTTGATTTTGATTTCTTCCTTTTTTTGGTCCCTCAGTTTCTTAGAGCATCTGAAAGCAGAGAAGCTCAAGATAGGAGAAAGATTAGAAGTTGAAATTCAATACCTTTAAGGCCAGAGACAGCCTTCATAGCTTTTTGCTTGATTTTGTCTTCATGTATTTCCAGCTTCAACACAACTTTCTGTTACAGAAAAATGAAAATGTTATTTGGAGTCCAATTGGTCCAAAATATGCAAGGAAACAAAAACATAAAGAAGAAGACAAGGGTCTGATACCATGGTACTAACCTTCATTGTTAGTGAGAGCAAAGTGAGATAGGAGAAGTGTTAGTGAAAATTGGAAAGGAGCTAAGGGGAATTGAGGAGGTAACTTGCAGAGGAAGAGAAGGTTTTTGAATTTAAAATGCGTTGTGAAATGAAGAGGAGAAAGAGAACATTTATAATAGATGGTGGTGATAGAGGCAGAGCCAAGTCAAGACAAATAGTGTGGCTGACATAAATGACTTTCTAATCCATACATTGTTCCTTCATGGAACGCACATAAACCAAGTCACAACAATAATTGATGGCTGGGTTGGGACCATATATGGAAGATTTATTATTTTTGTTTCTTTTGACTTTTAATGAAAAATTGACATTCTTATGTCGTGGTGTACTGCTTATGAGCTGCAAAAATCTATTTTTTTTGTTTATTTTATGAAGCATGAAAACATATATTTTATTTTCTTTAAATTCCATAACAGTGAGAATGGTGTGCATTGAACTGTTATAATCTTTTTCTTTAAAAGCCATTTAAAAAAATTATTAATAATTGTGAATATAAATTGACTATTGAGGAGAAAAGTGTTGAACAAAAAGGTATGCAACTTTCGTGGAAAGCATGGCGTTATTTCGTGTTTGGATCCTTTGAAATAATGACTTCAACGGCTCATAACTTCTGGAGAATACGTTTGGGGGAATGATGAGATGAGAGTGGATTTTCGTTCGTACAATTGTTTCCGCGTCTGCCCCGTGCTTTTTCAATCACGCGCATGCATGCAATGTTTAGGATTTTTTTTAATAAAAGATTAAGATAGATGTCAAAATGTGAAATTTTGATTTTACTAAACATAAAATTTATTTTTTTAAGGAATTTTGTATGTTAAAAATTGAATTTTTTTTAAAATTAATTTTATAAGTTGAATAGATGAAATTATTTAAAATTTTAAAACATGTCATGTATTCTTAAAAGATTTTAAAAAATATATTTTCTATAATATAAACAAAATTTAACATTATTTTAATATGTATTTTTATCTTTTAATTTTGTTTTTTTTAATTAAAATAATAAACTTTTGTCTCTTGAATAGACGAAATTTACAATAAAGTTAAAAAAAACTATAAACAAAAAAGTTATTTTAAAAAATTATTTTTTAAAAAATATCAAAAAATGAAAAAGCCCAATGTTTACACGTTAAGTCCTCCTTATAATTGTTAGAATAATGTAAAAAAGACTCTTCAACTTTCACGTTATTTACTGTAAGATAAATTATATATTGAAATGTGTTTAAGTGGTTAACTTTGGAAACATGTTATTAAACATTATCATCAATCAATTATATTTTTCTATGAAAATCCTAGCTGCAGCTCTTCGTATACTCATAACAAAATTTCACTAAATTCTCATAAATTAATATTGTTAAAATACAGCTAAATGTTACATTGTTAATTTGATCTTACTTTTACTGGACCACAAAATTTTCTTTTAATTCTGCATAAGAATAACTTCTGTCATACAATGGAACATGTTTATAACTTCAACTTGTAAAAAGAAGTATGAAATAAATCGAGCCAAATATTAATAAAATATAATGAAGAATCTTATTTTAAGAAAAAAATCTAATTACTTATGTGAATGTTATTTATAAAGTTGATTGCATTAATTTTAATAAGTTTGTTTCTTAATTGTTAAATACTTCTCGGAAAGAAGACAAGGTGCATACCAGACCATTTGGTTAGCTCTAAAGAGGATAGCAACCAGAGCTATTCAAGTAACTTTTTGTGGTTAATTTATGGTAAGAAGAGTTCAATTATTCTCAACAAATGATATATACTTGAACAGAACAGATTAAATAAAGTTTAATCAAATTAAAGCTCTAAATAGCTTTTTGTTCTTTGAGACCAATGAATAGCATTCGATTTAAGGCTACACAGACAGGGATATGAATTTGATAAAGTGATTTAACACAACACACGAAAGTGCAATAACAACACATGAAGAGATACAAAAGAACACAGTTAGCAAGACAACAAAGAAAGAAACAAAATGGAAAAGGAAAGAATAGGAGATGGGCATTGGGTCCTCCCAACGTGAGATGGATATGGGCCCACATAAAATATCTTGTTTCATATCATGTGGCTCAGCTTTGGGTTTCACTCACCACCTTACACAAAGGAAGCCTTGTGGGCCCATGGGCTTTCAGCCCCATCCCATCTTTCTTTGCCACGTTATAAACCACTTAATTGCCACTTCCCCTGTCGTTTTTGTTCAACTAATCACTACTAACCGACCCTCTTTTACCGTCGTTTATAGAGTCTTTATCAACTGTGTTCTGGACCATACTACTCCGGCGTTGCCTTCCTTTAAAATCCAAATAAAGAAAATTTAGAGATTAAATAGTTATAAAATCTTTGATAATATTAACATTTAGATCGTAGCCCATTTTAACACTCTAAATGTGATAATATTGTTTATTTTACTCAAACTTACCTCTACACTTGACAGTAAGTGTGCTCATGCTACATTATGATTCATAAATATGGTGTGAAGGAGATGTCGTAAAGAACATAATATCTACATTGGTTATCTGACATTATTAATTATTACTTTTTTCATTTATTCGTATAATGGATCAAAAGTGTGTGTTATTTCTAATGATCAAGTACTCAATTTTAAAATCAAACTCTTTTCAAGAACTAAATTCAAAATCAGATAATTATTTGTTTTGTATTTATTCTGATTAATGTCATGTTGGGTATGATATTGATAATTTGGATGGAATGAACAGTAGCCTATTTTAATTTTTCCTTAGCCCCGGGCACACATGGCATGAACACCGTCCAAGGAAATGGGACAGGCCACATCTAGTAAAGAAATTATCACCCCTGTCGTGCTTTTTGATTCGAAGATATTTTGCTTAAAACCCATTAAAAGTGATTGAGTATAGTTGATATTTTGATTCAAATCTTCAACTCATTTTAAAAACATGAAATTTCTTTTCTCACAATCTTCTGGACGGATTATTCATTAAATGACTTATCTTTAATTTGTCTTTAATTAGACTTGCAAACTACAAACAAATCCAAATATTGGGTCACCATAAAAGTTTAAAGATTTAGGTAATTCTAAATCTCCCTACAATTTTTTACATTTCAAAATTATTTTTTCAATAAGTTTTTAATCAGTCAGTGCAAGAAGCGTAAACTTGGGATTCATTGCCAATTAAACAGGAATTAATGAAAGTATTTATCTCAAAAGATATCACTTGAAGCAGAACAGAAAACATTATTTTCACTATGAAACCAAATTCTTAGATATGAACAAGTGCAGAAGTGAGTCAGAGAAAAAAAAAACCCAATAATTCATCGGTATTATCCTTAGCCTCTTTCCTTGAACAGAAATTTGAAAAGACACAGACATTAGAATCGCAAGCTTAATTACGACGCCAACCTTAAAAACGCGAAAATCAGAAAGTAGTTCACATTTTTAATTTGTTACAAGGTGTTGTGGTGTCAAACGAGGATTGGTAGTTGCAGAGTATTGGGAAACAACCTCCTATAAATACTTTGGTGGTTTCACCTCTAACTAACAGCCGCATTCTCTCTCTCTCTCTCACATCACAATTCACTTCACATGGTTTCCAAAAACCCGAACCCCTCAGAGGCTTTCTATTTGGATCCCTCTGGCATGCAGCTTCCTGGTCTTCTTCCCTTTGCCGCCACTGCCACCGATTCACTTGAGGACCCTTCTAAGAAGACTCGCAAACCATACACTATTACTAAGTCTAGAGAGAGCTGGACCGAACCTGAGCATGACAAGTTCCTTGAAGCTCTTCAATTGTATGTAAAATTTGCTTCTTTTTTGTTTTGTTTTGTACTAGAATGCAGTGGGTGGATTTTCAAGTTCAGTTGTGACATGGGTTTTGGTGGTATAGTTCGTAGTATACCCATGTGTATGTAGTAGGTTCAGAGGTGGTTTCATTTCAGGTTGCTGCTTGTGAAGAATTGTTACAGTTTGATGTTAAGATTTAGGTATTTCACATGGGTTTGGTGTTGGAGGCAGGGGTAGAATTTTGTTACTGTTGTTTGTTTCTAGTGCAGTGTTTGGTGGTGGTTTGACTTGCAACGGTTTTCTTTTTTGAGCCACGGGCAACACAGTCCACTATGAGTGGTATGGGTTGGGTTCTGTTATTTCTGTAGTTGATTTTGATTGTTCTGTGTTGCATTGCATGGGGCACTTTGTAGGGGAGAGAAGAAAAATTAGAAAGAAATTAGGCTGTTTCTTATTCTTTTTGAAATATTTTCATCAGAAGCTGAAATTGACAGAATGGTTTCTTCATGATATCAAAACATTACTTTATTCTTGAGCCATGTCTGGTGTATGAGTCACTTTGAAGAGGATGACTTTTGATATGTTAATTGGCAAATATCTTGTAAATTTAACTAAAGTATAAAATGTAAAATTGAAATATAAAAAAATTTAAATTATAAAATTGATATGTAGACTTAATTAACTTAGAACTTTAAAAGTGTAGGTTCCGAAAGAAAATATAAAATCATGAACAAAATGTGCATAATTTATTCAAAAGAGCTTCAATTTAAAATTATTAAAAAGTTCAGAAAGATATGCGTCACTCTTTAAGAGATAATAGACTAAAGAAATTAAACCATTCCTATTCTCTAATTTAATGTATACGGGTGGATTAGGCAAATGATAGAGCAAAGTTGTAGTTTCACTTGTCCAGGGGAGAGAATGGGATTAGTGTTCCATGGCTTTATACTAAAGCTGCTCTTAAATCTAAGTCAGTTCAACTGGTAAATTCTATTCGGTTTTTTTACATTGGAATCCTCTGATTAGTTACCTTACGTCCAGTGTTGTTGTGGGTTTAATGAGTTGAAAATAGACTTATATTCCCTATTGTAATAGCAGTAGCATGTTTACTCCTGATATATTGGCATATGGCAACGCTCAGGTTACTGTAGATGCCTCTTTCAGTAAATTTATGTAGATATATCAAGAAAATTATTACATTTTTTTATATAAAAGAAGAGAAAATTATTAGAAAGAATAGATACAAATTCTATCTTGAGGGAGGTTAAGAAATTCTCCTAAATAGAAAAGAATCAGAAGAAAACAGTGAGAAAATGCAAGAGCTGGCTGATCTCCCTGTTTTTCAATAATAATTTTTCTCTGAGACAACCATGAGAAAGGCACGTGAGAAAAGCCATAAACACAAACCTATCGGATAACAGATTTAAAGGCAAAATGACACCCTTGAAAATGTTGTCATTCCTCTCCGGCTGAGTACACCTGAAAACTACTGTGTTGTTTAAATTTTGAAATTTGATAATAACTCAAGAAATTATTGTAAATTTGTAATCATTGCATTGTTATGTTGGAAAGCTTCATTTAATGATGAAACATAATATCCTATTCCTATTTTCTAAATGAAATCTACTAATTCAAATTTAAGCTAATTGTTTATCTTCCCCTCTTCCGGCCTTGGTTTCACCTTTTTGCATTATCTCATTGTTTTGATTCTTACATTATGTATCCAGGTTTGACCGTGACTGGAAAAAGATTGAAGCATTTGTTGGGTCAAAGACAGTTATCCAGGTAATTTCAAATGCAAACTGTGACGGGAAATTTACATTAGCTTTTATTTCCGTTTTCTGGGTAGGGTTAGCCATAAATGCTCTTGATTGAATTAGAATTGTTATAGTTTTTGGAATGTGTTTAATTGATTATGTTACAATACATCAAGGATTTCAGTACTTGCTAAAGAAGCTATAGGATGTTTGAACTGAAATGCCATAAGAAAAAAAAAATAGTTATTTTCCTTACTCTCCCTCCCTCTATTATTCGTACGAGGGGTTTGTTTAACCCCTGGTCGTAAAACTTATCTTTTCCTTCGGTGAGGAAAATTTGTGAAACTTAATAACCTTTTAATAACATCAATTTTAAGATTCATTCAGGCTATTATTTGAGTTCCATGTGTATGCTATATAAGTATCAACCTGTGCTGAACTTTTTAAATACATAAAGTGGACAGAAAAAGCACTTGTGCTGAAAATTTCTGTTAAGCTTTCAGCCTTTTAGAATGTGGTAAAGCACCTGGAATAAAAAAAAATGTGGACAAAACACAGCCTCATCATGCTTCCTGCTGATATTCAATCTAGTTTAGAAGTATAGAGATGACATGTATTAAACTCATGAACACTTAGTCATAAAAACTTTTATACCATGTCAAGGAACCAACTACCTTAAAAGCGTAATCTGTTACATGCAGGTTATTGATTTTATCGTCTAACAAGAATAATGAAAATTTCCTTTTTTGGGATACCATCATTTGACTAACATAAAAAGCAGAAAAAATTTATGTTGCTGACAGGAAGAATTTTCGTTGGGAAATATGTTAGAATATCTTTTGAATTTTCATTGTTGACTGTTGAGTGTTTGCTGCTTTAGATGGATTCAAAGTTCCAAGTATATATGAAAGCTATACGAGTTATTGAGATTTCTATAATTTTTTAATGAGTTTCAATGTTAAATGGATACCTCAAATACCCATGAGGAATTGAAAAATGACTTCTGATTTTGTAGATACGTAGTCATGCACAGAAGTACTTTCTAAAAGTTCAGAAGAGTGGGACAAGTGAACATCTTCCTCCACCCAGACCAAAAAGAAAAGCTGCTCATCCATATCCCCAGAAAGCTTCCAAAAATGGTCATAATCCTCGCTATATATTTTGCTACACAATATAGTGCAACTGTATCTGATAATTATGAGTGATATTTGGCAGCTCCAGTACTCTCACAAGTATCAGGATCCTTTCAATCTTCATCTGCTTTGCTTGAACCTGGATGCATAATAAAGCATGATTCTTCTGCAATGCTTAAAACTCCTATTATTAACACAGCAGTGTCTTCCTGGTCAAACAACACTTTGCAGAAAACAGCCAATGTATTGCATGGTACTAAAGGCTGGAACTTTCTCTACTTCAAATTTAGATTCTAAAATCCTGGATTGTTTATGGATGTTATTTGCACAATTTGCTGAAGATACTAACTAGTTTACTGTGTTTACAATGTCATGTGCTTTAGGGCAAAAAGTGAATCATTGTTGCAGTAGCCGTGAAAGCACTCCTAGAGCCCGACTTGGTGAATCTAATGGTAAAGGGAATAATAGCCATCCATTGAGAGGCAAGGGTTTAATGGTTTTCACTTCTAATTTCAATGTTGTATTACTACATCAGATTAATGTGTGCATGGCAATGTTATGGAGTGTTGTATAAGCATAATCTGTGTGCATAACATATGCTTTATATTTCAGTGGGTATAATGCAGCTTTATTCCAGTTTAATTACATAAAAACGAACTGTATGGGGTCTGAAGTAATTTTGGAGTCTAGGGATGGATCCCCTTACGTGGGATTTTAATATGATCAAGTCATACAAAATCATCTAAATCACTCATATTTCTAAAACACAAAGTTGAAGCCTTTGACTTGGACCTGCTCACAAAGGGAAGGAGGTTATTGAGAACAGCAGCCCGCAATCGTATGGTGCTTCAATCATTGTTGGAGTGCTGCAGTTGCGGAATGTAGATTTTACTTTTGGGAATGAGACATGTTAGTGGCACTAAGGGTCCTCCATGTTGCAGAGCAGATCAAAGACACAATGTCATTGTCAGTAACAAGATAGAACAAAGATATCTATGCAACAATTTTATTATAACAGCAATCTTTTGTGTGAATCTTCTCCTAAGTCTCTAATTCATTGCCTTTACCAATTGACAGAAACACTGTTAAAACAGAGAATGAAAAGAGAAATTTTCATTGACAAATGACTTGTTTATTTGTCAATGAAAATAAACATTGTCTGAGTCAGGGACTATTGATTTGTATTTAAATTGTATGAGTGTCTGAGATCATTTCCCATGACCTGGTCATGGTAAAATCCCACATGACAGGATCCACTTCTGGAGTCTTTATTTCCGATTACCTTGGGACATTAGTCTTTATTAACATTGTCTAAGTCACCAAATTATCTATTTGAACTGTACTTTTACCCTGCTAAATAATTTATATTTTTTTAGTTTTATCTGAATTTTATGGCACTCTTCAAATAATGATGAATATTTTTTCGTGTTTTTGGTATTTACTATATGATACCTTTGGTTTGTTAAATTTGATACAGTCATGTGTTTGAAACATTATGCAATTTTAATGTGTACTTACCATGTGGAAGTGATTGTGTCATGTTTTTGTTGTTTGGTGACTCATTTAATCTTTAAATCTAGAAAGCTGTCTTAGCCCCATAAAGGGATTATAATAAGAAGTCCCACAGACCCACTTTGACATGCAGAAATCCTTTTGAAAATTTATGCGCACAAATTCCATAATAGTTTCTTTTTCTTCCAAAAGAAAGTTTCACATGATATTGGTAGGGTTATTTTCTTTTTAAAGAAAATACTAACCAGTGCCCTTGGAAAATTATTTAAGCAATCAAAAATAGAAATTTTTTATTGAAAAATGGTAAAAGCCACTCACCTCCATGATTTCAAATACATTCCAACATAATTTTTAAGCTTAAGATTTATTTATTCTTTAAAATGCCAGGTACTGGTTAATAAGACCTTTTTTTTTAATATTTATTGTTGTCTCAATGTTTTTCTCCTGGCTTTAATGCAGTTCTTCCCGATTTTGCTCTAGTATACAGCTTTATTGGCAGTGTATTTGACCCAAATGTATCTGGACATCTGCATAAACTAAAAAGGATGGACCCTATAGATGTTGAGACGGTATGTGTATGTCCAATGAATCTTTTCTATTCTATTTGCTATTGTCTTGTAATTACTTTTGACAGTCCATTTTTCTTTTGCTTCTAGCAATTAATTCCTATTCCTTAAGCTAAGTAGGAATTAATTGAAGCTTTATTTCTAGCATTGAAGCCTTTGTGTCAACTAGTACAACTGTGTGAACTTAAGCTTCAGAAGCTGTTAGACATTTATTCTCTTATGACCTTGGCTATATTCAGGTGCTACTGCTGATGAGAAACCTGTCTATCAATTTAGCAAGCCCAGATTTTGAGGATCATGTAAGTATTTATGTCAGTGATCTTTGTATTACTATTACAATATGCATGCAGCAACATTTTAAATATCCAAGTTTGAGGATTTTTCAAAATACCTTTCTGTGGATTCTTAGCTTGAGATGGTCCCTGTATGTTCCTCATCTTTTCAAAACTGTCCATGCCGCATCATACTCTTATAAATGCATCATATACCGATGGAATTTTTACCTTAGAAACCTGAATGACTAAAGTTGACATCAAGGAAAGAAGGAACGATGATGAACTTCATACATGTATACATGTTGTGTAATTCATGCAGAGAAGGCTGCTTGCATCATATGAGGTGGAACCTGAGACAGATAACTGTATTATCAATGTAGATCAATTCATGCATAATGAGCAGTTGAAGAGTGCTACTTAGATGGGGTGGTGGCAGAAAATGGCTTTGTTTTTCAGCTACTGAATGCAGGCAGGGATGGAATTTTGCATGATGAGGTAAGATGACTTGGCATGGCAACAAGCTGAGAGTTTCCAGTCATGGCCTTAAAATCCTACTAGTTAGTAATTGCTGTTATTCATCATCTCAGCTAAGCAAGGCTTTTAATTCCCTTAATTCAATTTGATTATGTATATATTAAAAGAAAATAAATAATGTGGGAATGTATAGATTTCATAGTTTTGTGTAGGTATGTGTACAGTACCAGATATTTGTGCTCAGAATTTAGCCATACGTCTAATATCTGGAAAGCGAGGCAGTTCCTTGTTAAACACTTCTTAACACTGTACAGTATGTAATGTTTGAGCGCTGGGACGTGGACAAGCGTAATAAGAACTCGATCAAGATTGTTTGGCTCATATGCCGGTATAGGATTAAAAAATAAACCCTCTGATGCGCCTTTGACCAAAAATAAACCCTCTGATGCCCCAAAGCTGTCTCACGCAAGGATTTAACTGACTGAAGGAAGTCGTTCTTGCATTCCTCTCAATTTGAACTGCATGAGAAAATATAATTGGCTTCCTCATTGAGTTTTTCAAACTGTGGACAGCCCAAAAATGACTCCTTTTAAGGCGTAGGTGAATTTGGTGAAAGAATTAACTTGAAATCCAACATAATATTAAAAAAAAAAAAAGAAATCCCGAACTTCAGTTTGTCACGTAAACGGGCAAAAAAAATAAAAGGGTGGAAAAGTGGGGTAGAAGGGTAGACAATTGGAGGCAACTAAATTGATAATGACGTCTGAATAAACGGTGCCCCGTCAGTTACTCTTACAAACATCGAACTAACGTTCGAAGAGATCATATATGACTTGGAAAATTACTGTACTAACTCTTCTACCATATTCTCCGTTCCGTTCACTGTTAGCCTTTACATTCATTACAGAAAATTACTGTCTCGTAGTATTTCAAGTTACGAAATTTCCATGTACCTTGTCCACTAACGCTATCTGATTGTAACAAAGAGGGATATATTTATACAGTTCATGACTATTTCATTACAAAAGAAGAAAAATCTTGACAGACAATTGTCATTTTGTTTCGATTGTTCGGATCATTATTCCAGCTCCGCCTCTGCTAGTGCTGGTTGTGGTCGAAAGTCTACTAGAAGCCTCCCACATGAGGGTGCCAGTGACTTGCTCGTAGTTTCATGTCAACGAAACTATCAACTACAGCTTGATTGTTGTTGCTATCACCATGAAAATCTAGCAATGGGATAGGTAGAGTAAAATCAGTAACAAAAACATTTAAATTTGAGTTCTACAATACAAATAAATATGGATGTAGTTTCTTACCGAGATTTGGTCTTGTAAAGTCCCCATTATGTGGTTCCTGATGCCCAAAGGTACAACAACTCTGCATTGAATTTAGGTTGTGTGCGCAAGAACCCATCTGGTGTGCACGACGCAGATGCAGTGGTACTCCATTGTGTGATACACATAATGAGCAGAGATGAAATGTGCCTGGATTTATCACCTGCTGCAGCGTTGATTGACTAGCTTCATGATCCAACCTTCTCAGCTCATCATGATAAAGTGGAGGAACAGGTTGAGAAAATGTGTTAGATGGGAACGAGTGGGAAAAAAAAGAATATATGGTTGAATCAATGTTGTTTCTTTGAAAGCTATTTTGATCTTGTTGATCTCTCCCTGGATTCAACCGAGGGGAACAGAGCTGTGTGTGAGGTTGCTGTGTAAGCATAGAGTGGAAAAAGCCCCCCACCAATCCAGCTCCGCGGTGCACATTAGTATCCTCCAGATTTGTTGGAGAACTTTCATCATTGAGTATAGATTCTACTAGCTTCTCAACCATATCACGAGGTGAGCTTGGATTAAACATATCAGCTTTAATTGGATTCCTTTCAGGGCTACAAGTCATGGAACTATCAAGCACAACAAAATTTTCCTCATCAGGCATCAAGAATGATTCATCAAATGTAATTAAACTGTCCTCGTCAGGCAAACAAAGTTCAAAGCTAGAATTCGATTCTCCATCTAAACTGCTGCTGAAAGAATTCAGATCCAACTCTTGGTGAACTTGGAAATCAGGGCTGGATGAATTTTGCTTCATGCTAACTGAAATGCCTTTACAATAGACCGTAGCCGATTCACAGTTATCAACCATGGAAACAAACTGTTTTTCGTCTTCTCCACTAGTAGGAGAGATATATGTCTCCGAGGGATCATTTATGGCCATTTTTCCGGGAGAATTATGGATATAATCTGATGTATTACTTAATTGCAATTCATTGAGACCTTGTTCATATACCACTTCACAATGATTCTTGTGATTTTGACAATCCTCTTGGCTTAAGAAGCATGGTGGTCTTCTTTCCTTTAGGGACTCCATAACGTCGGCTGTTCCTTCTGGGAGTCCCACATCAATGTTTGAAGATTCTTCTGACTCCATATAGTACATACCATCGTCCAACAAAGAAATAAGATGCCAGGATGTATTTATATGGTTTAGGTTTACAGGTCTCAGCCATGCATTCACTGTTCCATGTGTAGTTATATCTTGCATCAGCTGGTGTTGATTAGAACAATTTTTTGAGTTTCTTGCTGGTGACATCAGAAATTCCTCTAGAGAATCCTTGAAATCAGTGTTTTTGCTAGAATGCCAATCATCATCCTCAGTCGCATTGACAGTGTCTGCATATGACCTCTCTTCGTGTAAGCTGAAGAGTATTGTATTGGCTATTCATACTTATATTGGAAAAATAATATAATAAATCAATGACAAACTGACAACCTAAGAAGGCAATGAAGAATCAACTGAAAAGAAGTTTGACCTTTTCTCCATCTTTCCCGTTCTGCTTTCTGTTTATTTGTACTATCAGAAGATCTAGATGTGTCACCGTTAAGCAAGCCATTGCTATCTCCATCTGAAAGAAGTGCCTGAAAGAACATGATATTATGGACCCTTCACAATCAGAAATAAATGGCTACACGCCTAAATCTACTTTGCTTAATTATCAGAACCATATTTGTGGATAGCCTGTTCTTAAGTTTCCTAAATCAGACCTTGTAGCGACATGGAGGCCGATACGGTTCATCACTCCTATGCAGGAATTGATTAACATCATCCGGAACATTTAGCAAAAAACATTGAGGCTCACTTTTTTGACATTCAGAATCTGTGTCAAAGCATAAAAATTTTGTCAAACAAGTTAAAAAACCATAATATGCAATGGTGATCCATATTGTGCATTAAGTAAGCGGTAAACAGATTGGAGATTCTTCACAAGAATTAGACAACCAAATATTACACACCCGGAACACATATAGGTGGAGATAAAAGGCCGGATGCATCGCCAACCAAACTGTTAAAGATACAGGCACACAAGTTAAGTAAACTACGCAAAGCAGGAAAGTAATGCCTAATCATCTTTTTTCCCTCCATTTTTTACCATGAAACTAAGAGCTGAACGTCCGCAGGTAATTTCACTGTACTGTCCGCTTTGTCTAAGGAGAGAAGAAATTCTCTTGTATACGAAATTTTTGTCCACCTGCAATACCAAATCAGAAGGATCAAGATTTAATTCGAGCCATAATGCGTTACTTAGTTGCTAATAGAAAATTTCGGAATCACTAGGTCAAAATTTTCATCATGAGTTGGATAAAGATCTTCACCAAACTAAGCCTCGGTAAAAAAAAATCCATAAAGATTCCAACGAGTTCAAACGATTTTTCGCTTATAATTGGAAAAAGAAAGGTATACGCCATATGATGCGACTCCAAACAGAAAAGAAAAAGATTCACCGTAATTATAAAGACATGCCGTAATAGAAAAGATTGATTTATACAGATAGAGACATTTTTAATATAATAATCAATTGGATCAAGATAATTATAATATAATAATCATTAATCAATGTTTACTTGTTAGGATCTTGGACGTCAACATCAGGAGGAGACGGCGACAAGAATGTTGTAGTTCCATTTTCTTGGCTCATTTTCTCAGAAAAATCCTCGGTCAACGAGTATTGACTAAAAATGTTAAAACATAATTCCAAAAACCTAGTGTTCTTGAAGCACTCTGCAAGAACGCTGTTAAACGTGTCAAGAAGAAGCTACTAAAACTAAAGATCAAGATCTTGGTTCCAAGATTGGCCTAAGAGTGAACGCAAGTGCATATTATGTGTAATTTTTGCCGAAAAGAAAAATGACTACGATAATAGCAATAATAACAAGAACAGGAATAGCAGGAACTGCATCAGGTGGAGGTGCAGGTGGCGGCGGAGGAGGAAGCAATGGAAACATTTTCTTTGCTAGGAACTTTCTCGAGAAAATTTGTTTGAGGGAGGAGAAAAAAGACGAAGAAAGAAAAGCTTGAGGAGGAAGTAAGAATGAAGTGAGAGTGAGAATCGGTTGGAATCTCCATTATATTTATAGCCGCTGACCGCGACTCGACGCCACGCGTTTCACTCGCGCCAGTACGAGTCTCCCTCTACTCGCTCATATTTAGCATGCCAAAGACGCCTCTCTAAACAGCAAATGATCAACGAGATACGAATAAATAGCCACGTCAAACACTAGAATGGAAAGATTATCGGCCAGTGTTAATGAGAGAATTGTAATTATTTTATTTTAATGTTTTGTTTGAGAATTTTTTTTATATAAAAAATTAAAAAATATAGTGTTTTGAAAAATTATAAAAATATAGTGTTTTAGAGAAAATTATATGAGAAATTATTTTAAAAAATTTTTACTGAAAATTGTGGCCCTTTTTTAGTATTTTAATTTTTTTTTTTTTTTTAAAAATTATCATAGATGATTTTTATTTTTACAAGCTTTTAAGAAACTTTATTAACGATTTTTAATATTTTATAATTTTTTATTATTTTATCTTTAAATCTCTACCTTCAACATTTTTAAATTATATATTTTTATAATTTTTTTAAATAAATTATATTTTAATATATTATTTTTAAATATTACATGTATAAAATATTTTTTTGTTTGATGTCTCGTTTCCTTGTAAACGATTTTTGTTGTTGTTGTAAATATTATATTATAAAAAATATTTAGATTATTAATATTTATTTGTTTTGTTGATAAAATTATTTTGAAAATTTAATTTAAATTTCCTGATTTTTTATTAACATTATTATTACTCAACATATATCTCATTCATTATATACATATTTTTCAATATAGGTCAAATTTCAAATATAAATCAAATTATAAATATTTCAGAGAAAAATATTTAAAAGTATAAAAGAGACGTTCACAATAACTAATTGTCTAGTTTCAATAATGAAGTTAAAACCATAAGCAACCAAAATCAGTATTTATGATTTGATAATAAAAAATCAGTATTTATAATTTATAACTATCAATTTACAAACTATAAGACAAAATTTTTAAGTAATACTTAAAAAATTAAAAATAAAATATTTTTATTAAAAATAGTCTTAATACGTTACTCTGGTATTTTTTTTATGAATTTTAATGTTTTTAATAATATAAATTCTTATTTTAGGAAAAATTTGTAAACGTAACATATTTTCGTGTATTGACTTTTTAATTACTATTCTAACAAATACTTTAAATATAATAAATTTAATATTTTTATATCTAAATAAATATAAAAATTAAAAATATATAAATGAGGAACATATAAATTAATTGATGTCTCTCAATTATATATACACCAATGAATTTTTTTATTACATAAAATGTTATCAAATTAAAATAAAATTGTTGAATAAAAAATAGTGTATAATTATTTGGAATTTTAATAGATGTTATAAATTTAAAAAGTTAATTATTTTTATTAATAATAATAAATATTTTTATTATATTAAATTTTACTAACTTTAATGTTAAAATTTTTTAAATTAAAAAGTATAAAAAAAATCGATGAAGGAAAAATACACATGTTATGATAAAATGAAGATAACAACTCATAGAAATGTTATCATTTGACGTTTAAGAATGGGTATTCTAATTTAACATATTATTATTTTTAACTCGTGCAATAAGTATTTATATATTAATAAAAAAACTATAAAATATTCATAATTTAATGTATTGATATTATCTGTCTAATTTTAACTATTACTTAATACTAAAGCACGTTAAAAAAACAATAAATTGTCTTTTAGAAATGAGGAGACAACGAAACGACACCCCCAGTCCTTCCCCTAAACCCGAAAAATAAAAAACACAAACGAAACGATTTCGTAGCTTGACTGTGATTAAAAACTTATTACACGACTCTAAACCAGAGTATGAACCCCTCCCAACAAAGAATGAACCTCTTGATTTTTTAGTCAAGTTAAATTAATTTTAAATTGTTACAAAATAATTAAAATGTATATATAAAATAATACTTACTCATGTTTTATTTATAAAAAACAAATATTTAATTCATTAAAATTAATAAAAATAATTATAACTCATAAATTTATACTTTAATGCATAAATGTTAGTAGTATTAAATATTCAAATTATTATCTTATATATTAAATAAATGAATGTATGAATAAAAACATTGCTAATACAAATCTCAGTTGTATATTAAAATAAATTTTATTTTTTATAATTAAGACTAAAAAAGTATTAATAATTATTTCATGTAAATAAAAATAAGTATTAATCATAAACATATATTAGAATGTATGAAATGATTAAAAAATGATTTATACATTTAATATATAAAAACATCAATGCAGAATGAGATAAAACAAAATACAGAAGATACACAGAATCGGCTTCATTGATGTTTATACCAGTAATACAAAATAGGCAGACACAACAGTACACATTTTCACATGAACAAACTACCGTACCAATGACGGTGACAAGAAAAACAAAACGGTATAGACAACGACTCTTGGGACGCATCCCCCACCCCCAACCATAAGCATATTCCTCAATACCTGTGATTCACAATTATCAAAGATATCTACTGCTTTAGTCAACTTCCTCTATCTTGCTCTCCTCCGCACCATCCTCCTCTCGTGGGGGCATATCCTCGTACCCACCAGTGTCCTCCTCATCAATGCTGAGATCTAACTTCAACATTCTGTGGATTCTAGCAGCAAATGAGTTAGGATCATCCATGCTCAAACCAGCGGTCAAGAGTGCCGTCTCAAAGAGAAGCAGCACAAGGTCCTTCACAGACTTATCATTCTTGTCAGCTTCAGCACTCTTCCTCAACTTCTCCATGATACCATTGTCAGGGTTGATCTCCATGGTCTTCTTGCTGGAGAAGCACTCACTCGTGCTTATATATCTCAGTGCCTGAGCCTTCATGATCCTCTCCATGTTGGCAGTCCACCCATTTTCAGCAGTCACCAAACAGCATGGCGAATCAACAATTCTATCGGAGACCACAACCTTCTCAACTTTCTCTCCCAATATCTCCTTAATTGTCTTGCAGAGATCCTCAAACGACTTCTTCTTCTCCTCTTTCTTCTTTTTCTCCTCCTCGCTTTCATCATCCAACTTCAACCCTTCCTTGGTAGCAGACACCAACTTCTTCCTATCGTACTCTTTCAGTTCTCCAACAACGTACTCATCAATAGCATCCACCATGAACAGCACCTCGTAGCCCTCCTTCCTGAGTCTCTCCAAGAACGGAGAGTTATCCACAGCCTTCTTACTCTCCCCAGTGATGTAGTAAATGTCCTTCTGACCCTCCTTCATTCTCGTAACATAGTCCTTGAGGTTTGTCATCTCATCTCCACTCTTCGTAGAGTGGTACCAGAGCAAATCAGCCAACTTCGCTCTGTTCTGACTATCTTCATTGATACCCAGCTTCAAGTTCTTCGAAAAAGCATCATAGAATTTATGATAATCCTCCTTGTTCTCAGCGATCTCATAGAATATCTCAATGCACTTCTTCACAAGGTTCTTCCTCATGACATTCAAAATCTTGCTCTTTTGCAACATCTCACGGGAGATGTTGAGTGGCAAGTCTTCAGAGTCAACCACACCCCTGACAAATCCAAGGTACTCAGGAATGAGCTCCTCACAATTGTCCGTAATGAACACCCTCCTCGCATAAAGCTTGATGTTGTTCATATTCTTCTTGTTATCAGACAGATCAAAAGATGATCTTCTGGGGACAAAGAGAATGGACTTGAACTCAAGCTGACCCTCCACTGAGAAGTGCTTCACGGCCAAGTAGTCATCCCAGTCACCGGTGATGGTCTTGTAGAAGGAAACGTATTCCTCCTTTGTGACCTCCTCCGGTTTGCGCATCCAAATCGGTTTCTGCTTGTTAATGAGTTGCCACTCATAAGAAACCTCATGAATCTTCTTCTTCTTCTTGCCCTGTTTCTCCTTATCTTCATCAACTTTCTCAACGTCCCCTTCTTCCCCCTTATTGCTCTCATCATCTTCGTCGTCATCACTAATCTCTTTCTCGATCGTATTCTGAGTCCAGAGGTAGATTGGATAGCTAATGAATTCAGAGTGTTTCTTCACAAGATCCTTAATCCTCCTTTCCTCCAAGTAGTCCAACTATCACGATAAAATCAATCAAGAACTGAATACAACAAAAATAAATCAGTTATTTATTCTCTTTACCTGATCCTCCTTGAGGAACAAGGTGATTTTAGTTCCTCTTCCGAGTTGTTCGCCATTGACATCCCTGGTAACGGAGAAGGTTCCACCGGCCTGTGATTCCCATATGTACTGCTCGTCGTCGTTGTTCTTTGTGGTCACAGCGACCATGTCGGCGACAAGGTAAGCAGAGTAGAAACCAACACCGAATTGACCAATCATGCTGACGTCAGCCCCAGCCTGCAAGGCCTCCATGAATTGCTTGGTACCAGAGCGCGCAATGGTTCCCAAATTGCTCACCAAATCTGAAGCACTGACATTCACATTAACAGCATATTTGAGTGAGTAATTAAAAGTGAAGGAGGCACATGCATTACCTGATTTGGTCATGCCGCCACCACTGTCAATGATTGAGAGAGTCTTGTTAACATTGTCAGGCACCAATCTAATGAAAAGCTCTGGTTGAGAGTCCAGCTTGCTCTTGTCGGTGAGGCTCTCGAATCGAATTCTATCCAAAGCCTATACATACAGACATATAGATACAAATGAACAGTTCAGATTTGAAGATAATGAAGTTGAGAATAGAGAGTGAAGGAAGGAGTTACGTCGGAGGCATTGCTGATGAGTTCGCGAAGGAAGATATCCTTGTTGTAGTAGAAAGTGTTGATGATGAGGCTGAGGAGTTGGTTGACCTCCGCCTGGAACGTGAAAATTTCGGAATCCAACACATTAACATCTGCCATCGCAATGCAACAGAGGAAAGAATTGCGCGCCAAGAATCGCAGAGTATTTGTCGAGACTTGAGAATGGGTAGAAGAATGAAATTTAAAGAGCAGAGGCAAGAGTTAGTTAAGCACACACCTTCTGGATTCTTCTACTTTCCTCTAGATCCTTCCCAAACTAAGATCAAAATCAAAACGTATTATAGTTTAGGCGCGCATTCCGTTGAACTACGTTTTTCCCTACCCGGGAAACCAGATCGTTTACCTGTTGAATTGCCCCATGCATGAACTAGGACGTAATACTTACTAACTTCAAAAAATATAACATACAATATATATTATTAAATTTTTTAATGTACATTCAATAATATATTTATTATTAAATATACTACATAATTTCATATATTAGTAATTTTAAAGTTTTGTTAACCTTAACCAAGTTAACTCTTAAGATTAATATTTTTTTATTAAAATTATAAAAGTATAATAAATATATTTTTAATAAAATATAATCATTAGTTTCTTAAACTCACTCTTAAGAATTAAAATTAATATTTTAAAAATTAAATACTATAATTTTCAATACAAAACTAAATATTTAATTTCTTAACGTGTATTCTTAAGTAGTCGATCACTTTGTGAATTGTGATGGTGTAAAAACCTCTTTATACCAAAAAATTTTAACTATATTTGATTTGAATCATAAAATAGAAAAAATTGAATGGAAAAATAAATTAAGAATGAGTAATTTAAAAAATTATTAAACAAAGTTAAAAAAAAAAAACTCTTCCACTTTGTTATTAAAAAATATTTTTAATAAATAAACAGTTATGTCCTTTAAAAATATAAACTTACTAATTTATTAAGGGAAATATTTAATGTAGCATTAAAAATGGACATTTTTAAAATGCGTCTTATATTTAGGTATACTTTTAAGATATGTATATAAATAAAATATAAAATATATGAAAAAATAACAGTAATATGATATATAGTAATCATTTTTAATGATTAAAAATGAAATTATTTTATAATATGGTTGCTGCACTTCTGTTGTGAAGACAAAAGTAAATTAAGGATACATTTAGATACACAGTTTAATCAAACGTTTGTTTATAATAAAATAAAAATAACTCATTTTAATAAACTATACTAAAATTAAAATAATTTAAAAAATATAAATTATAAACTAGCTTCGTAAATTATTTATGCACAGAAGAAAATACCGTAGTCTCCTCTCTTTCTTTCTTTTTTTTTTCTTCACTTTTGTTGGGATTGAGAAATTCGTGGGTTTGGTAAAGTTTCTCTTATCCATATTTCACTTAAACCAAACATAAAAGATTATACTCTTCTCTCTTTCTTTCTTTTATTTTATTTTTTTCTTTTTAACTTAACTTAAACCGATTGTTATCGCACAAATTAATTATTATGACCTGAAGCATGATTTTGGTAGACACTTGATTTCATTTTAGACAACACAATCAATTGCTACCATTTGATTTCATTTACTTAAAACAACTGCATGGATGAAAATAGTTTTGCTATTACATATAAGTGTTCAAGATTCAAATACATCCATAATATTAGAAGTAGACCCTTCTAAAGGAACAAGTCTTCAACTGAACATTTTCAATGGGCAGTTTGTCAGTTGGAAAAGAACAGTCGAATTTCTCTTCCTTTTGTGGCAACAATTCACAAGGCTTAGGTATGACATTGCTTGTAACTCCAGCAACATCAGTGCAATTCCATTGAGGCTTCTTTTTCTCTTCACTCACTTCGATAGTCACATTGGAAATGCAGATTCCTGTAAAAGGGTCATTAGAAATTCCATCAAGCCTTGCTGAATATGTCACATTCTTTGCATCAACGTCTCTATAGTTTATTCCTGTAATGTTAGGAAGTGCTTTGGGATCAAAACCAGGGTCAGGGTGTGATCCGTAAGCACCTGTCATCCAAAATACATATTTCATGGTGTTTAGGTTCATTCCCTTCACAAAAATGTCTTTCACATATGCTCCTCTACCAACTGCAGTTTTGATTCTAACAGCTGATTGAGTGTTGACAGCTGTAATATCTTCAGCTCTAACGTCTTGAATTCCACCAGACATTTCACTGCCTAAAGCAATCATAGCACTATCAGGGGATATACAAGTAAGCCTTCTGATGATTAAGTGTTGGGTTGGTTTTCCAAATTTAATTCCGTACTGATCCCAACCACTTTTTACTGCAACACAATCATCACCGGAGACAATGAAGGAGTCTTCAATTCTTGTGTTTGTACATGAATCTGAGAAGAAGAAAAAAAGGTAGGATATTTAAACAGTGGTTATCAATTAATATGGATGCCACTAGTGATTATCTAATTGAATTTTTTTAAATATAAATGCTACTATTTTCATTACGAAAGTTGCAAATATATAATCAAGTTGATCAGAATATATAAACACATTACCTGGGTCTATCCCATCTGTGTTGGGAGAGTCGACTGGTGCAAGAATGGTAAGCCCTTGTATTATTATGTTACTGAAGGAATATTGATTGATTAGAATAAGGAATTAATGATAAGAAAAAGTAATGCAATAAGGTTAAGAAATTTGTAAAAAGAAACTTCATCAAACCTGCTGTAAATTGGATGGACAAACCAAGATGGGGAGTTTATCAAAGTGAGATTTGATATCTGGATTTGATCAGAGTACATGATTTCAATCATGTACGGCCTGGTGAGTTTCAGTTCCTTCTTGTGGAACTTGTCCCACCAATAAGATCCTTGCCCATCAATTGTTCCATTGTGACCTAATGATCAAATTCAAACAGGTCAAATAAAAAATGACTTAGCCACTTTGAGATGAACTTTACCAACTTTAACAGTGGTATATTCCTTGGTCTAAGTAGTTACACTTACCTGTAATTACAACATCGGTGAGGTTGGTTCCAAAAATTAGACTACCAAACCTTCCATCAGGAGCATCTCTTCCTCTTCCATAAGATGGTAGTACAGGAAGTTGGGGCCATTCTGATTCTTCCTGTAAATGAGGTGATGTAAGAGACCCTTTAGTGAATTATGGGATAAACAACAGTATTAACAAAAACGTGTGTTGTTAATTACTGCAGAAATAATGAACATTATGTGTATGTTTCTTGTATACAATTTGATTTTCTGTCTTTTGCCGCATCTTTTATAAATAAATCATGATTGTCCAAATGTCACAACGAAAGAGCCATACCTGAGATGCAAGAAGAACAGCATCCTTATGGAGAAAAAGAGTGAAATGGCTTGTGAGATTGAAGGGTCCAGTTAGCCATTTCCCAGGTGGCACAACAAGTTGTGAACCCCCATCTGAGGCATACTGGCTGAGTTTGCTTATTGCAGATCGAAAGGCCTTGGTGTTGCTTGTTTTGCCATCACCAACCCCACCAAAATCTGTCAAAACTGCACTATGCTTTCGGCAATTGATGGCAGTGTATTCAAGGTTTCCCAATCCACTGGCTACTCTGCATTCTGCTACCCTCACTCCTAGTGATCCCAATATTACAATTACGGATATCACACCAATGACCTGTTCAAAACAATACGTGACCAAAAACACCAATCAATGAGACCATGCAAAGAACATGTATATGAACAATACTTTAACCAAAATTTGGTTACGAAAATTATCAAAACCCGGGAAGGAAAAAAGTGTGTACATGCATCAGAAAAAATGTGTGTGATTTTTCAGCATAACAAATGGTGTTTTCATACATAGGAAAATCTAAAGATACTAGAATAAAATTACATCGGAATTTTTTAGTCTTGGACACGGCTTCATGGTCTGAGACATGGCAATGTCAGGTATTGGCTTTCTACTCTCTTGCAGTGAAGACATATATTGAGGAAATATATATAGAGGAAATATATGAAGAGAATTGAAACTATAAATTAATAACATATATTTCATATAATGTAAGAGATCTTTTTTTCAACTTGAGTAGAAAATAATTAATTTTTACATTTAAGAGGAAAATCATAATTTTTAAAAAACAATGAAAATAATCAAATGTAGATATTGTACTTCAGTAAAGCTTGATATTTACAAGCATTTTTAATGTGAAAAATTAAAAGCAATCCAAATTAAGTTTGGGAATTTGAAATCTCAATAAAAGGAAAAAAAATAATATGAAAAATCTTGTCATAAAAAAATTGAAAACAATTAATGATTTGAACCATATTATTGTTATTAAAACTTTTTGTTTTCTTGTGAAACTGTTGAAGTCTTCATTGAAACAAATGGATGACTATCGAATCCCATTTGAACTTTATTATTTGGAAATTAATACTAATTAAGGAGGTGGAGATCCCTTTTTCTTTTTCGTAAACAAAAAATACATCATGTGTCAAGAGAAAGGAACGATCCAAATCGATAGATTAAGATCACTCTTGAAATTTTTGTTCATAATTGAACTGTGCATTTGCAATTTAACATACTCAACTGTAACGATTTTGCATGTTGAAAAACTCATAATATTTTTAACATTTATAGATTTGATTCCTAACGTAAAATGAAAAAGTGATGACTTAAATACATTAATCTCTACAGTAAATGCACTTTCAACTTTTCAAGCAGCTTAACCGGCTACTTAAATGTTCTTATTAGATGAAATTAAAAATATCAGTTGACGCTATAATTTATTTTACTGTTAATACATTAAGATTAAACTCAAGATTTATTAATTTCATTATGGAAATGTTTTTATATTAGTGCAAGTCAAATACTTGCACAGAGAATAAAAAAAGGCCTACATTGTTACCAAAAAAAAAATGTCGTCATTAATAATATAATTTTTTATAAATAAAAAACAGATTCGGAATATAAACGTTTAGCTGGTATAAGTTTTGTTAATTAGGATGTATTTCCTATAATGTAAGGAAATTTTGTAATTTAAAATTATAAATATAGATATAAATATTTTAAAATATAATATACATATATCTATATAGTTTAAAATAATAAATAATATTAGTTTAAATTTGGGATACAAAATTAAAACTTAAAAAAGAATTAATTTAAAATGTATAAGATAATATTTGAGGAAAAAAAATTTAATGTAAAAAAATTTAAAAACAAACAATAGGTTGAGAAATTTGAAATATATATATAATAAATGAAATAAAAGAATAAAATAAAATAAATATTCTGCATTCAATGAAATAATTGTAAAATAATAAAATCCTATTTAACATGGTAAAATGCAATGCTTTAATTATCATCATGATTGTAGATTAAAAAAAAAAAAGAAGAAATTTACGGTGTCTTTCTATAAATCTTATAAATAATTTTCTATTACTTTATAAGCATGTAATTAACAGATTCTTTAAATGAATTATAGGTGCAGCGAGAACAAATTAATAATTTTTATGAAAATGATAACATTTAATTTAATTAACAATGCATTTAATTGTGTAATATTATGTGTTTTTTTAATAATAATATACTATATACATACTTTTATTGTGTCATTAGCCGTATGTTTAAATAGTATTAAATATTTTTATAAATATTATTATTATTATTTATTTAAAATTGAAACTTTACTTTATTAATAATGTCAATTTTTAATATTTACTTTTGCTATATTAATTATTAAAGAAAAATTTTAATTTTTATAAAAAAAATAACATTATAGTGCATTTATATTTTATCCTTAAAAAACTATTAAATAAAAAAGGTTCATGTATTTATTATTTTTAACGTATAAAATATATTTGAATATTTTTATTAATAACTACATTTATTTATTGACATGAAAAGTAAAAATTTAAATTATTAAAAATAAAAAATTTAATGTGTCAAATAATAAACAGAAAATAATCAATAAATAATATTATTTTATTAAAAGATATAGCATTTAATATTATTAATACATTAAATATTATAATTTCCAATAAAAAAAATTATTTTATATTTTCTTCAATAAGCTTTGAGACCTATTTAAAAGTGTATTATAATTAAAAAATCATTAATTGCATCCATGAATAAATGTGGTCAGGGGAGTTACTCAATTATCCTCGATCAAGCTTCAGTTAGACGTCTTATCTTATGAAACGTTTGTATTTAGAAAAATAACTATTTTTTTAAGGTTTTATGAAATTAGTAAAAATAAGCATTTATTTAAAAAAATTAAACTAGATGTGAATTAATAATTATTCATTTTTTTAATAATTGATTATATTTTTATAGTTTTAAATTTTTTTATCACAGCAATCAATGCAACGGGTAATTGTGATTTAATAATTAAATTAATAATTATATAAACATATATAATTATTAAATATCATAATTATGTACACCTTTCATTTAGTAGTCGCCCCGAATGGGTGAGAGAAAAGTTGTATACAACATGAATACGAAAAACACAAATTTTGATATATTTTTAACATATATTTTTAAATAGTTAATTTTATAAAAAGTAAAAAGAAAATTAATTTATAAGATAAGTATTTTAATTTTTAAAAAATAACCAATAACAAAAAATGTGGCAAATAATTTATCACCACACTTTATTACAATTTTGTTGTTATTTTAGTGTTGTTTTTGATTCAATTATCAAACCAAATCGGCATCAATGGGCTCTTCAGTTATAATTATTACCATTTATAATTTTTTAAACCGTTTATTTAAATTTTCATAAAAATCATATATTATTTATAAACTAAAATTATATTGAATGGCTTTGGCCTGGGCTTTGACAGGAGTAGAGTTATGAAGAATTTGTGAAGATGGTTTGTGAGTCGCGGGGTTATAGTTTCCGCAATCCCGCGAAGGTCCCTCGGCCTCACATTCTGTCATCGAACTGTGCTAAAAACTCTGCCCTTCCTCCTTCTCCAAATTACCCAAATGCCACATTAATCAAATTTTAAATGAAATTATTTTAGTAATTTTTTAAAAACTCTATTATTATAGTTAAAAAACTTTAGAACATTATTTCATATACAATTTTAATATTATTAACTAGTTTAAAATTATTTTATATAAATTTTAAAATAAACTTTTATTAAAAATAATAGTTTTAAATTATATATTAACTCTTGGATGGTTATGTTAAAAGTTTATTAAATTATTAATTAAGCATTTTTGGGTAAACGGAAAAACGAGATAAAAAGCATTAATTATTTTTAAATAAATAAATTATTTTAATTATATTAAATGTAAAAACAGCTATTATTAATTAATAATAGATATATTTTTTAGTTATATTCATTTTTTCTCTTTTAAATTAAATTTTACGTTGAATTAGCATAATATGTGGCACAATTCTGAGAATTTTATCTATGTAACAACATGTGACACATAATTTTGTTTCAACTGAATATAAAATTTAATTAAAAATTTAATTTTATCTATATGGTAGGTAAAATGGTAAAAAACCTAGACAGAAAATATTTTTAAAAAAATATTAAAAAAATAAAAAATGCCTCCTAAATGGGGTTGTTCCAGGAGGTCATTTGTACTGAAGTGAATGGAGCACCACCCTCTCCACATTACACACTAAGCACAAAATTGTGGTCTAAATGCAACCTCTCTTTTTGAAGCATCACACCAACCTCTCTCACTCGCTCCTACTCACAAAAGCAGGACCACAGACACAAACATCAGAAAACACTCTTTGCCTCTCTTCTTCCACCCGAAGCTATTTAGCTCCACCGATCTCCATGGCGGCAGGACTCTCCACCGCCAGCAACTTAAAGCCCTACAGTCTCCTCCAACCTTCAATTCCTCTCCCTAAGCCGACCCCATCACTGCTCTTCAACCCCTTAAGAGGTTTCCATCACACCACAATCCTTCGAACCCTAAGAAGAACGAGTGCCTTCACCCTTTGTGTCCTTATGGAGGATCCTAAACGCAATTTGCAGATCAAAACGGAGGAAGAACAAGAATCCCCCAAACTCGTGATTCCTCAAGTTGTTTCAGCACATTTGGCAGAGAAATTGGCCAGGAAGAGGTCTGAAAGGTTCACTTATCTCGTTGCAGCTGTGATGTCTAGCTTTGGTGTCACTTCCATGGCAGTTTTCGCCGTTTATTATAGATTCGCATGGCAAATGGAGGTAGGTGTGTCGCAGGTTAATCTCTTTAATTATCTGTATCTTGGCATTGGTCTGTGTGCATATTGTGCATGTGAATATTGGGTTGTGTTGATACAGGGTGGAGAAGTTCCTTGGTCTGAAATGTTTGGCACATTTTCTCTCTCCGTGGGTGCTGCTGTAAGTCATTGCCCTTTACCAATTCAGCATTGGGAAACTTTTGAATGTGAAATTTGGTAACTTTGGGGGTTGAATTGAAATGGGTATGTGTTAATTTCAGGTGGGTATGGAGTTTTGGGCAAGATGGGCTCACAGAGCTCTTTGGCATGCTTCCTTGTGGCACATGCACGAGGTCTGCTTCCAATTCTTCAGAAGGAAATTGATAATTTGTGATTAATTAATAGTAATTTCTTGACTGAATGAAACGTGAATTTTTGCAGTCTCACCATCGAGCAAGGGAAGGGCCATTCGAGCTTAACGACGCTTTTGCAATAATTAACGCAGTCCCTGCCATCGCTCTTCTCTCATACGGTTTCTTCAACAAGGGACTGGTCCCTGGCCTCTGTTTTGGTGCAGTAAGTGTATCTTTTGTAATCTATTATTTTAATCCCTTGATTAACGGTTTCATTGGGATCCATTAATTGAAATTAAAAACAATAATGGTTTGACGGTAATATCCCCGAAAACGCTAAACTTTGAACAGGGTCTTGGGATCACAGTTTTTGGGATGGCCTACATGTTTGTCCACGATGGATTAGTTCACAAGAGATTCCCTGTGGGTCCCATTGCCAACGTGCCCTACTTCAGAAGAGTCGCTGCAGCTCACCAGGTAATTTTTTTTATTTTCGATAACAATGTTTTACATTTATTTTTAGCTGATGGCATTGATTTTGCTGTCTGTATTCAGCTCCACCATTCGGACAAATTCAATGGGGTGCCATATGGGCTGTTTTTAGGACCAAAGGTCAGCCATATTTATATTTCTGTTCTCTACATTTTTGTTCATTTAAATTGGTTTTCTAGATGTTATATACCCATGTAATTTTTTTTCAGATTTTTTTAGTTTCGTGAAAATTTCAAATAAATTCTTACTCATTATATTAAGACTTCATTGATATCATTGTCGAATAAAAAGAGGTTATTTAAAAACTTTCACAAACTATGAAGATTAATTTGGAAAATTGTATCAAATCGACCAATGATATCCCATAATTGGTTTTTTTTAAAACCCACTAGGGTTAAGTTAGTGGTTGGAGATGATAAGTTAATGAATGTAAGTGATTATGTGTGTGTAATGTGAAGTCAGCGTAAAAGATTTTAAAATATAAATGTTTATTTGAAAATTTAATAAGATTACAATAATTTACTCAATAAACTTGACCTTTACTTAGTCAAGATTCATGTACTACATAAATTCAAACAGAAGTTGAAATATATACACTGCAAATTGAAAATTTGTGAGATTAAAGTCTACCTTTTCGTTTTTCTCGTTTGTATTTGCATCACTAGAGATTTGGCTATTTCTTGATTACGATGCTAACAAGCTTTGCGTGATAAACTGTGGAGCAGGAAGTTGAAAAAGTGGGAGGGCTAGCAGAGCTAGAGAAAGAGATACGTAGGAGAAAAAAATCGGGATCATGACGATGCGACATTGGAGCTGTTTGAAAGATTTATAAGTGTAGAAAAAGGGAAACAATACAATAAATTAAATGAGGAAATGATTTTAATATATTTTTGCTTTGACACAAATATTCATATTATAGCGGATTAGCAGGATATAAAGCACAAAAATAGGTTTAAAATATATCCATTTATCAACACAACTTTTTAACCTCTTCTTTTACATTACATAAATCTTCTCCTTTCTTTTCTTTCAAATTCTAACTCCTAAACAAAGCTTTGGAGAGATAGATTTTTCTTTGCATCTTGATTTATATCGAAAGAGAGGCTTAATTTAGGATAACTAAAGTTGATGAGTGTTACCTATACAACTTTGATTAACTTTCCCTTATATTAAAAAAAAATGCACTTTGTTGAGATTGTTTAAATTATGTGTTTAATTTTATTTTGGAAAGTTATAATATTTTTTATTATAAATAATTAATAAGTGTCAGTATTTTCATTTATATATTAATTAATGAGACCATCAAGCATTTCTCTTTTTTATACAATTTTCCGTGTTAAATTTAAATTTTTATTGTTGAATTTTGATATTTTAAGTGATAAAATAAAGGTTTTGAAATCAGGCCAAAAACTAGTCGTACTGATAGTTGTACTGATAGTTGTTGAAGCTAAGTTTAAAATTATACGAATCATTGATGATATGGAGAATCATAATGAGAAGAAAAATATCTAAGAAAATTTATTTACATTAAAGCATATATATTTGTGTTTATAGATAGATAAATATTCATCTTTTAAAATAAATGAGTAGCATCGCCGTTAAAATTAAAAGTAACAATGTTTCTGTTCTGTACATTAGGTGCATAGTTTAATGGGTAGAAGTTAGAAATGTTCCAAGTACAACAAAATTTTGTGATCCTAAAGTAATAATTGTTTTTAATATAATAGAAAAATTATAAAATCAAAACAATATAATTTAAGTATCTCTTATGAAATAATTTATTATTTTTAAAATTAAATTTTTTTATTTCTTAAATGAATGTCTAATTTGTAGTATAAAATTAATGATTGGGTCACTTTAACTTATGAGAGATTTATAACTACTAAAATTGTTATTTTTTATGATTCAATGAAATGCAATTATGTTAAAAATTAATATTAACTGAAATTTTTAAATAAATTAAAAGTAATGATTTTTAAATAAATCTGATTAAATTCCATAACAATAATTGGAAAAAAAATCATTTTAGTAAATGTCTCATGTTGACAAATGAAAAAAATTACAATAAAACCATATATGTTTATCTTTATAGATAAAATGTGTTTATAATTATTTTTTAATATTAGATACCACAAAATATTTTTAAACTCAAAATATTTAAAATTAAATTTTAAATAATACTAGCAACACAATTGTTTATTATTGATTAAAATTTATTAAAAACTACAAAAATATGAAAGAGAAATATTAATTCAAAATAAAAAAATTAAACTCACATAATTTTTGTAAATTTTAATAAATTTTAGTCAATAACAGAAATTATGTTAAAAAATATGTTACTAGCATTTCTCTTAAATTTTATTTGCAATTCATAACTAATGCTAGCCCAATTTTTTGTTTATTTAAATGTTGCTAGTATTTAACTACTCATGTGCTCGTATTAAATGTGTATGAAAATAAGTTTAACTAAATATCATTATCGTCTTAGAGTTTAATTTTGATATATATTATCAATGTAAAATATTTTCTATGGTGGATAAATTATAAATTATGATATCATTAAAAAATTAACAATTTTTAATGATATCATAATTTATAATTATATTATGTATAATTTTTTACAGTATTAATATATTTTGATAATTATTAAATTCATTTCATTATCTACAAATAGTGTTGTTTAATAGTTAACAAAGTAGTAACATAAATTAATTATTATGGAATATAACTATATTTTCAATCTATTTGTTTATATTTTTACATGAAATTGAGAATTTTAGTAATTAAATATTGAAGAAAAATTAGTTTTGCGAGCGAATACTCCTTATATTTTATATAATTTATCGTTTAAGATAACACATATTTTAAATTATTATTATTATTATTATTATTATACTTTTTATCAAAATAAATTAATTTAAAAAATTAAAATATTATACAAATTTGACAAATACAATTAAGATAATATATAATTATAGTTCAATTATTAAATTAAAAAAAATAATTTTACACAAAATTATGAATAGTTTAAGAACTAATGTAACTTTGCGCGTATATATTCTCTTGAAATAAACTAAAAATCTTAAAGCAATAATTAGTTTGAAATAAACGGAATAATTTGCACTGAAAACTGCAAAACTACGTACATTAATTATGTGAGAAATCATAACTTGTATAGATATTGAGGAAGTAGCAATTCTTAAGTTCATAGCATTATCTTATCCTCCAAACAAAGGCTAAAGATATCCATAGCCTGTCAATTCACTCCATGGTGAAGGCCAAAGCAGGTTTCACCCCTTTTTTGTTTTGGTTCCATCATATTCGAGATACGTGTAAGGTTTACATGCTCGTTTATGGCTTTAATCAATTAGTTTCGCTCAACAGGAAGACCAAGAACGCAATCTTAGTGGTTGCTGCACTTCATCACCTTTCTGAATAGTCCCAAATGGATTAGACCGTCTTTCACTTTCCCTATGTGGGGTTTGTGATGTTTCCATTTTAATTCATGCTTGTCAAATTTTAACTAGTATGTCAAATGGCCCTGTCCATAACTTATTTAAAGAAACAACAGTGAAGCCTAAAAGCGTCTGTTAAGTCTTCTTTGTCATACAGGGAATAATTCTCAACCGATGAATCTCATTATTTGTTTTTCCTTTTGACACCGAAGTCCATTTTGTAAAATTATTAATTATACTTCTGCTTGTTCAGTTGAGTCAATAAGCATTAGTTTCTCTACTTTATCTTATCTTGCTAACGACCAAAGTTGGCATAAAATTGACTGAGCTAACACCACTAATTAAATTGCCAGATCAATTGCTACCAATTATAAATGTGAATGCAGAGTCGATTAAAATATATTATCTCTAAGTAGTGATTATGTGATTATCTTAATAATTGCATAAGAAAAAAAGACTCATATACAGTATGTCTTGTATAAAATTAGCATACATGATGTAGGTCTGATGAGCATGCTTTGTTATTTTTAGTTACTCTCCTTTTATATATAGAAAGAAGATCGTTATAAAATTTAAAGCGTACTTGTGTATATAGCTCCCATGTCTATCTTTTAAAAGCTCAACTTATTATGGTTATTCTATATATAACCCTCTTAAGAGATGCTATTATGCTCTGCACTTGTTTTTATAAAAATCTTTTGACTAAATATATAAGCTTGTTGTTCGATCTCTTTGATGAAATAAATAAGATCGTGAAGAACTGTATTTTGACCCTCAAAAATGAAAGTAGAAAGCTAATATATAAACACAGCTATCATTGGTACGTATAACATATATGGTCCAAGTGTAAAACTTGTCCATCATAGGCCAACAGAAGATACTGACCACCATGTGAATTGAGGCTTGCTTTGTGGCCCTATCAGAAAAGACACTCTTTATGGACGGTGTGAAAAATGGTTTTCTACTGTGTTGGATACCTATAACTTTTGGAAATGGATCCTGTAGTGATAGTTTACTCTACACAACATCTCACCCATTAAAATTACACTATTATAATATTTAAATTTAATAAAAAAATATATTTTAATGGTTAAAATTATCACTACACCTCTCTCCCGTGAATTGAACATCACACTTGAGAGGACCTTAATCTCACTTGGAAGCAAAGATTGACATCACCTCACTGCCCTTCGTTAGGAATTCTCTCATTTATCATTCACTGCTTTGCCTATTGCCAATTAGTTCTGATTAATTGGATTAGTTATCAGTTTGCCAAACTACATCTGATTGTTAAGGTGTGTGGAGAAATTAGTGGATGTCACATGGTCTTAAACTTTCTCTTTTTTAAATCTGAAGAGTGAATTATGAACTGTATTTTAGTGTCTCTTTAATTTAAATTTAAGTAAATTAAATGTGAATGAAATATAGATAAATATATAGACAGACAGACAGATAGATTTGAATTACATTTTTTTAATCAAAATCAATATTTTTCATTAACAAAAAGGTTATAAATGTTCTTAGTAAATGATCATGAGATGAGTTTTGGTTCTTTAAGAAAACGACAAAAACATATTATAAGAATATCGAACAAAAACGAGGATGTGATTATTTAGTTTAAGGAATAAAATTTTCTTGTGACCCAAAGCTAAAACGAGTGCTACAGCTTTCTAAGAAAATGGAGATGATCACGCCAAGTGTTGGCGTGGATTCAACAGTTCCATGTGAAAACCCAAGTACCAAATAATAAAGCCGAAAGGAGTGCAGACAAACCACTGAATTTGGACATGCCTAAACTGCGTAATCAACAATCGGACATAAAAAATTTACACTCTCTTGTTTTTAAGAGATTAGTACGTGCAACATTTTAAGTTATTTTAATATAAATAAGCTTTTCTAGGTTTTTTTTAATGATTTGCAGGAATATTTAAGAGTTTATATCTTATAAAATGTTAAGGGTGCATTTAAAATTAGTTTCAGATAAAAAAAATACCAAAAAAAAAGAAAATCATTTTAGACTAAGACAATAGCTTAATATGTGAATTGGGATAGATGTTTGGTTTAAGATCAATCAAAGCAGAATCACTTATGAATCTTATATTCAATACATACTTATTCTAGAGAATCACAGCAAAAGAGACTTCTTTATCCTAAAAGTTCCAAATCTTCTAAAGCTAACTAATTACATCATGCAAGTTCACTATAATACTTTATTCCTACATCACTTATATTTGAGCTTTACCGATATTAATACACAAGGTATGTAATTATTTTATTTTTGTCATGGAAATTAAAATTTTAAAATTTTAAAATTTTATGATAGAGTAATGCTAGCAACATACTCTTTAACATATAATTTATTCTTGAATAAAATTTATTCAAAATTATAAAAATTATTAATTTAAAAATAAAAAAAAGTAAAATGTCGTACATTTTTAGTGTACTAGGCTTGAGGCCCAATAATAAATGGTTATATGTGTTCTGATTCATTTTTATTCTCTAGAGAAAAAATAGGACTATTTTCTATTATAATTTTTACCTCGTTTTTTTTTATAAATCATTTTCTTTTCTATTTTTTAATTTTAGAAAAAAATATAAAAAATATGTCTAAATACTATAAAACCGTTAAACACCATTCAACATTTTATGATGCTAATTGTAAACATGTTTACCAATACAAATGCAACCAATAACTATTCATGCACAAATCAACTGATGAAAAATTCTAATTTAGTAATAAAAAATCTCTACATTTAATTTTAAAAATTTGTGTTAAAAAACAACTTTATGTAACAATTTTACTCATTCTTCTCATATATAATAGACTAGACAAACAACTAACGTAACTTATAATATATTTGAATTAATGAACGGAGATGGAATGTAAGAGAATGAAATGAAATATATTTATAAATCAATAATTTACATTATAAAACAAGAGATGAAATGAAATCATTATATATATATATATATATATATAAGGATGAAATGAAATAAAAGGTGATGGGATTCAATAGATTCAATTTTATCGTAATTGTCTAATTTTTTTCCCCAAAATAAAAATAAACAATGAAACAAATTATGTCTATATAACTAAAAAATTAAATTGAATTTTTACTTCATTTTATTTATTTACTTCCTTTCAATTTATTTCTTTCTATCAATTAAATATTTTTTCTATTTAATACAAAATTATACATGATAAAAAATTAATAAATAATAGTTTTTATTTAAAAATATAATATTTTATATTATTAATATGTTAAATTACATTAAATTCTACAGTTTTAATAAAAATTATGATATAAATTTGTACCCTGTACAATTTTATGGATTAAAAATAGGCAGGGGTCATGATCCACAGGGAAAAAGGTAACCAAATGATGAACATCAAAAGGGTTATTCTTAATTTGATCAGTGGCAACAAGTAAAAACTGGAATCTACGGTCCATGATGCATCGTTTAAATGTAAAGAAGAATCTGAACCGTCGACTGTAGCCTTCGAAACCACACAAAAGATGGTCGATCATCCGGTTAAGACGAACCTATCAGATAGGTCCCATTATCGACCACGATGGGGCCACGTGTCCGTTCGAAGCGGAACAAACACGAGCTGTCACCGTAGGAAAAGAAATGTCAGATTTTTTCTACTTTCTAGAGTGCCCTTTTCCCATCGACCGACACGTGTTCCACCACCATTCGCGATTTACATCCTTGTTGTTTCCTTTCCTCTCTCATGTTATCGGTTACTTCTTCTCTATTTCTCTCTCTCAAAAGCGCATAACCTTCCAGTTTCACTTTCTTTTCCTACACAACTACGTTTTCTCTAGATCTAACTACTTCTATTGCCAACAATTGCTTCTTCTTTATTTTGCTTCAATCTAGCTCCCAAATCAGCACTGTGATAGGTCCTTCCCTTTTATCTCTATGCCATTCCCCCAGGTTTGATTCATTGTTTTTCTCATTAAAAGTTTGCATTTTTCGTTGCTGTTGTGGTGGTTGTTCATTATTATCTGATGGGTTCCTATTCATTTTTTTCCTTTTAAATTTTCCTTTAATGGGTATTTGGATCTGGTTTTTAATTTTGTTGGAGTGATTGATTTTGAATAAACTGGATGTTTTTAATTCTGGGTCGAGTAGATCTTATGGTTCCTTTATGTGGGGTTGCATGGGACTTAGTTGAATTGAATTTATTGATGTGTTCGTACCAAATTGGGTGGATCTGGTCATAATTATAATGGTTTTGTTCGCTTTTGGTTCTCTCCGATTGCAAAAAGAATTTGAGGATGAGAAAATTAGGTCTTCTGCTCTTTTGTTTTCTTGAGAAACCATCCAATCTACTCACTAAAGACAAGCAATTGGCTTGAAGTTTTGTGGGTATTCTGTTCAGGCAATAGTTAATCGTGTTTATACATTGCGAAAGTCGTCGAAGGACTTTATTTTCAAGTTTTTTTTTTTTTTTTAAATTTTGACTTGGTTGTTGTGTGGGGTGTTTTTTTTTTTGGGGGGGGGGGGGGGGGAGGAGTGCATGATTAGATTAATTTATAATGAATCGGTTAATACTTTGTAGTCAGTATCTCAGTTGTATGTTTGGTTAAGCAGTGTGTTGATGCAATGTGAACATCACTTATCTGTTTGTCATATTGATCAAGTCTTAATTTGACTTGTTTAAGTTGTTTTCATGATACAGTTTTCTATTGCTTTTTTCTCCTTCGTCCAATAAGGGAAGGACGTCTTCCTTGTTTTTGAATAATTTATTAGTTAGGTCTGATACAGATTAAAATGATCAAGTTGTAGATGTTGAATGTGTCTTTTCACGGTACACTTTGGTCGTTCGCTGCACTTTTCACTCTTCGACCTGTGCTTAACAAAGTTAGGGTATACACTTACTTGAGAACATGATGTATTGTTTTTGCATTTAATTAACACGATTCACATTACTGTTTTCTTCTTTCAGTCTTTTCTAATCAATAATTTTTTATACAGTGTTGTTGAAATAATTGAAATGTTTCACTAATAAAGTTTTTAATCGAACTTGTTTTGTACGAGTGGAAATTAGTTGTCACAATTTTTGGTATAAACATTTGAATTTCTCTATATCTTCTGCTCATATTATTGTGTTTGTGTATTTATCTTTGTGTGAATCTCTTAATCATGAGTTGGATTGCATTCCTGTAATTATGCATTTGCGTGTTCCATGTTGGCTGACTAGTCTCTTTAATGCTTCCATGCCCAGATTTGTTGGGGCTTTTTTTTCTTTATTTTGCTGCAAATGAATCATATCTCTGTGTCTTTGTAATCACTTTCAGTTTGTGACGATTTTGATGTATTTTTACTTGTGCTGCAGTTGGGAAGGGTGTACTGGAATCAGAGTGTAGCTGCAGGGTGCAGAAATATTAGTAGTGTTGCAAACCTGTTGGCTTTTTCAGGATGGGCAAATGCAAGGGTTGTGGGAAGTTGGGAAGAATGGGAGCAAGGGATGGGTCTATGAGTGCTTATGAATTTTCTTTGATGTTGTCTCCTGTTGTTTCTTTTTGGGATTGTATAGTTCGCAAAATGAGGTATTCCTACAGACCTGAGTGGGTGTAGTGGTTGGAACGCATTGTTAGTACTAGTCTTGATACTTTTAACTTATTAGAATATATTAGCATAACAACTTAGGGAAAAAGGGAATAGTTATAAAAATAAATATGTATACGGCTCTAAAGAATTTCTATTGAAGGATAGGATTTCAGAAAGTTATTTTAAGTATTTATATAGGTAGTAAGTTCTATGGATAACATGGCATACAATAAAGGGCAAAACATGAGAAAGGCAAAGAAGAAGCAGGTGAAAGACGAGTTGGATCGTCTTAAACAGGCTGAGAAGAAAAAGAGGCGCTTGGAAAAAGCTCTAGCTACTTCTGCTGCCATCATTTCTGAACTGGAAAAAAAGAAACAGAAGAAGAAGGAAGAACAACAGAGACTTGATGAAGAGGGTGCTGCAATTGCTGAAGCCGTAGCTCTGCACGTTCTACTTGGTGAAGACTCGGATGATTCTTGTAAGGTTGTTATCAATGACAGTGGATGCAAGACCTGGAATTATAATCATAAGCTTGATCTCTTCATGGGTGGAAGAAGAGCTTGCATTCCGCATCTAGAGGGGGGCACATGGTCGGTCTCCACTGAAAATGGCAAGTGGTCTTTCTCATCTGGAGCTCTTGAAAAGAGTGTGTATGAACCCTTGTATGAAGAAGCAGGATGGGGTCCTGTGGGATTCTCTGTTGATCTTATAGCAGCACAAACAGTTAGATCACTCCAGATTGCAGAGAATGCAGATGAAGATAGGATTCTCTTTTAATGGAATGCTGAAATTATAGTTAATGGTGTGTCTTTGGTGGTGGTGGATGATGAAGTCTTGCTCGTGTTACTGGAGGTTGTCTTCTGTACATTATTATATGATATGTGCTTGTCAACCGCACTCTGCTTCTGTTGTGGTTGAACAATGTTGCTGTGTCACCATATTTTGTTCTGATTTGCATTAACTGTATTATGCAAGGCTGCTAATTTCCTTTGTGGAGTGACTTTCATACTCTAGTGTTGTAGAGATTTATAATTTTTGAGTTGATTACCAATAATATAAATGCAAGAGTGGACGCTTAATTTAAATAGTTGCATTATTGCCTATAGCATTACGACTCATGAGTTGGAGTTATTCAATTTTTTTATTTCTTTTCTTTTACTTTAAATTATTAAGAAGTTATCGTGTTTTTATTTTTAATGAATGTATGAGAAAATAAAACACTTATAATTTTCAAGACAGAAATGTTTGAAACTAAAAAAATATAGTACTTTTGTAATTAGAAATGAAAATAATAATAAATAATAAAAAAAAACAATGTTTTTTCCAAACTAATCACCATCTTGTATTCATTGTCTTCTTCTGTCTTGTTAGTTCTTTTTATAAATGATCAATCAAATAACGGGATTCCTAGTATTTTCTGTGGGCTCTTTGAATCTTGCACAATATCGTTCTAGTGTTAATATTAGTATATAATCATTTTAAAATGGAAGAGCTGGAGTCTTATATGTTGGATTCTTGCTTATGGAATATTTTTAATTGTGTTATTGCTTGAAGCCAAGTAGCCAACGCAATTTGGCAATTAAACAGTTGGTTTGACTTTTCATATGTAGTATTAAACAATAAAACTACAAAGCAAAGATGGATACGGATGAACAATGTCCACGTGATGCTACCCCTTCCAATTTTAAGTCAATAAGTGAGTAATGCGCTCTTCAATCACTGACGCAAAAGGAAACAAGGTGTAACACTACAGCAGCATCTTAGGAAGCACAGCTGAAAATGTAACAAGACTACGCATTATGCTGCCAAGTTGGAGACCCGATGTCAAGAATAATGATGGTTATGTTATTCAGCAAATGTCTTATAATTGACAACACTGCTACTTTCTTTTTTGAGTATGTAGTTTAATGCTATTGGCTTCACGCCATTGACTTTGGTTGTGTTGGTTCTGGCAAAGTACTCCCCATTATCTTATGGCTTACATCATTACATGCATCACCAATTCCGGGTCTCGTTTGCTGCAATTTGTGTAGACTGAACCTGAATTGATATTTACATTAGTTAAATATATAATGTTACATACTTTTTTCATACCAAACAAATAATTTATATTTAAAGTGATGGTGTGAATATTTATCAATTAGTCTGACAATTTTTTAACATTAAATTTATAGAAGAATTTGAATGAAAACAAAATACCAATTATAAATCTGACAAGTACTGCCTGTTTGTTTACATTCCAATTCTGATTCACATACTTACCAGGGCAAGAAAAAACAGCTCGAGATAATTTTTTTCGAAGGAAAACTTTCTTCGGCTACCCAAAATGTGATTTTCATTTACAATATAGCACGTTTGACAAATATATACAGTTAATTTCTTCTACTATGAAAGATGTTTTAATATAAAATATATCATGGAAGTTAAATGTATATTCTACATTTTTTAAAAGAATAAGCTCATACAACAGACTCTCGGGCTTTTGTGGTAAACATCAATTTTATTTTGTAAAAACTGTATCATATTTGGCCATTCATATTTTGGCTGAAAAGACATTATTACGTGTTGTTCACTACACACCTTCCATCGATAAATCAATAACCGAGCGAATTTCATAGGAAATAAGAACAGCACGATTTTACATTCTTCGAACTTTCTTACGAGACACCAACAACAAAATGAGTTAATTAATAAATGTTCACTAAATTTCAATAGACAACAAATAACATATAAAGTTGGCTTTTCCTATTAAACATAAAATACGCATAGCAGAGCTATGCCTTTGGCAGTGAAGACTGAAGATCCCAACTTTGTGGTAGAGCATTGGCTTGTCATATTGTGTTTCGCCTTTGTTGTTGAGGCTCAACCACACCCTGATTCTTAGTTTCTGAACCACTGGATGATTTGACACTATTAGAAATAAGACTTTTCAACCAAGCAGCTTGAACTCTAGGAGATCCTTCTCTATTGGAATTACTAGGGGAATCCACACAAGTTTTAACACCTAAGAGGAACCTGTATGCTCCTTTGCTTGCTGATACAATCTCTGTTTTGGCTTGCCGAAACTACAATAACCACTTATTATTGTCGGTGCAACCATATATTTTCTCATAATATCACATGCCAATACTAACAACCATAAAGTTCATGAGGCCAAAATATAATTGAAATGAACCTAGATCATAGAAATGTAAGGAGCAAAATTAATCACCATAGCTGAGAAACTTTTTTTAAGGAAATAAACCTCACCTTTGATGCTGTATTCCCAGCCATTACCATAACAACATCACCAGCGTTAGCAAACCTGTTAACCCAACCTGTCATGAAAATTGCAAGAATAAACAGTGGAAGGTGGAAATTTACAAAATCATGTATACATGACAGAAACTGAGTAGAGTAATAAAAGCTAAATAGGTGTTCACCTGGAAGTTTGGGGACGCCAAGCCTTACACAGAATTCATCACAAAAGTGGTTGCAGTTTTTGGATAAGAGTTCATACGAATTACCAGGCCACTCTCTACAGAGTTCTCTCAATATTCGATTTACCTTGAAAACGCTAAAGTTTGTTTTCCCCATAACAACGGATTTTCTATATGTATACATAGTGTTCTTTCCCGAAGGATTACTAAAAACCCCAGTTCCTGCCTCACAGAATCCAAATGACCATTCTTCATCTCCATAAACCTGTGTGTAAAAATTAGCACAAACCCGTTTCAACGGGTAATAAATGCAAAGGCCCACATAACTTGATTTGAAACTCACTTTTCACTAGAAGAATGAGGTAATAAGGATCCATTTCTGACTCACTTTTCATATTTCTATGTCATCAACCATGCATCTCAAAACCTTAAAAATACAATATTTTTATTATAAAATTCTATAGAAAGTTATTCATTTTTATCTGTTAAAAAAAATACAAAAATGATGTATTTTAAATTTGTTAATATAAAAAATAAATGTTTTTATGCAAACTTAAATGATTATATTATATTTCATTAATAATTATAACCAGATTACATGTAAATATACAATTAAACTCTTATAGGAGATATAAATTCTCAATGAATATTCTTTGAATTAGGCCAAAAAAATTTGTCTCAGAATGAAGCATCATTTTCTTTCTTTAAAATATTATTCGTGTACCAAAAAAAACCCTCTTACAGTAGTCTTTAATTTTTTTTTCTTAAAATTCTACTTCATTTTTTTAGACTAAAATGGCATTAAAAAATAAAACCAAAAAAAATAATCTTATGGTAGGGAAGAGTAACGCTGTAATTTGGAATAGAGAGTGACAGGAAGAAGCAAAAGAAAGAGTGATGATGTAGAGAGGACCTGAACGGCGCTGTGGAATATACCACCAAGACCAATGCCATCTTTGAAGATTCTGTTGATGTGAAGAACAGTGCTGTTCAGCCTCTGCGACTGATTATTGGTGACGTCGTATATGTGCACTATCACTTTCGCCATCTTCACCAGTAACTCTCTTATCTTTTTATCTAGCACTGTTCTTTCTTGAATTTCTATTTTAGAGGTAACAGAACCAACTTAATTGTCACAAATGCAAAGAACTGCAAATACCGAATCACAAATATCTCCGTGTTCATGCGATTCCGTAAAGACTCTCACTTCAACAACAAATCTGTTACACCGATATCATTGTTTTGGTTAGATTCTTTTTTAAATTATTTTATTTTTCATTTTTTATCTAAATAAAAGTAATTACTTCTCAAATATTAACTGAAATGGAGCACACACATTTTAGGATTCTTAAGTAGGATTTCAAATCATAGTTGACCCTCTTATTAAACTATTTTTATTATAAAGTAATAAATAATTATCCCGAATATCTTAATTTTACAATCAACCTTTCTGCCACTCCTAATTTTATAATTAATTAACTGAATTTTCTATATACCGTATGACTCCACATGAGTATTGTTAAATTAAAAAAATTACATACCAAACGTTCCATGAAAGTATTTTTATTTTAAAATTAGTTTTTAATACTAACTTTAAATTCTTAATTTATAAAATTATTTTTAATGTTTAAGTCTCTTGTAGAACTTTTAACCAAACACAATTTATTATTTTTTAAACCATTTTATCATTATATATATATATATAGTAAAAGTAATGGAAGAAAGTGTATAACAGCTTACACATTTTAAGAGTGTTTTTTTTATGCAATTAAATTCTTAAAGGGAAATAAGTAATCTAATCTTAGGAGGTGGCAACACACTGATGGCTAGCCATGCCTAACCAACCACAATTTGTCGATGCGCTCCCATCTCTGTAACTTGTTTTTGGTGTGCCGTTCTAATCTTACATTGTTTTATTAGAGAAGCATTCTAATGTTGTAAAGGAGAGGAGTGAAAAAATGAAGAGGGGTCCCTTTGAAATTGATAAACTGATTGTACAATGACCCTTTATAGAATGTTAATTTATTTTAGTTTCAAGCTAAATATCTACATAATAGATAAGGAGGGAGAAAAATATACTTTATATATTTTGAGTATTATTTTTGGAAGTTCGATTTTTTTAAATCTGACCCAATAAAGCCCGTAACTTGCCATGAATTAACCCAAATGGATCGAATAGCCCGTTTTGCCAGTTGCACTAAACATAACTGCTATTTAAAAATATTTATTAGATTTTCTGGTCTCAAACATGTATTAGATGTTAAAATTCACTTATTTCAGAGTCACAACTGTTTGGTTAAGTACCGAAGGAGTGTTATTTATGATTTTGTTTGAAAAGCCTCCTTGAAGAGGACAACAATTGAGGTATCTAAGATTCTAAATCCCTTTTGATAGCATCATGTTGTTTATTCGGAATGGTACTAGGCAGTGTTGTGGTGATGTTTAGTGCATTCACGTTATGCATTCTCCTGATGAAAAAAATTAAACAAGCTCTATTTGAATAGTTTCTATTCTCTATAGCAAGTTGTTCAAGAACAATGAACACCTGCTCTGAAAACCCTGTATGGCGATAACTGATAAGAGATTTGGGCCATCTAAAATTCCACCCAGCTTCTACAATATCCAATTTTGTCTCATGAAAGTTCTAAAAGAAAACCAATACATATATGTGACGTGACGGTTCATGACTTCATCCACCGGAACACTAAGGATTGGAATTGAAATAAAAAAATACTGAAATAAATAATGCATTGCTGTATAACATAAATGATATAAACCATATAAGGAGCTTTCCATTAGTAAATCTTGGTAACTATGGTTTTGATGCAATTTCTTTAAAAGAAAAGAAAACTTCCAGGAAAAAAAAGAATATGAAAGCCTTGGTAATGATTTAATACCTCTTATGTGATTTTTTTGTTTTACTACATCAGCAAGAACTGCTATATTTGCAACATACAGCTCTCTCTATCTGCCTTCATTGTTCATTAACTGGGAAAACACTTGGCTAGTACTTATGTCTGAAGAACCAATATCATAATCCCTCTTTGCTCTTCCGTTGGTAGAAGGATTTCCATGAATAAATGTAGTTGTCATACTCACAGCTTCACTACTACTACTATCAGCACGTGGCTCCCTTTGTTGTCCACTTTCTTGAAGTTGAAGTGCATATTCCAAATTCCACAAGACATCACCCATCGTTGGCCTATCAACACTATACTCAGCCACACATTTCTCTGCAGTTTCACAAAATTTTTTCAATGAGCTTTGATTGGTCTGTCCAACAAGATGAGGGTCAACAATATGCTCCAGCATTCCCTTATTCAGCCATTCAAGTGCCCATTCTGCCAAATTCACCTGTTCTCTAGTGAGATGTGGATCAACAGCAGGTCTACCACAAAGAACCTCAAAAAGCACAACTCCAAATGAATAAACATCTGATTTATCTGTAAGTTGTTGCCTCCTGTAATACTCAGGATCAAGATAACCAAAACTACCTTTCACACCAGTGCTCACATGTGTTTCATTGATACATGGCCCGGACCTTGAAAGACCAAAGTCAGCAACTTTGGCCACATAGTTTTCATCAAGCAATATGTTAGTTGATTTAATGTCACGGTGGATGATTCCTTGAGCAAAACCAGTGTGAAGATAGTGAAGACCTCTAGCTGCACCAATGCATATTTCAAGACGCTGCTTCCATGATAGAGGTGGTTGTAGTGCTGAACCATACAAATGCCTCTTCAGTGGACCTTTTTCCACATACTCATACACAAGTATCATTTCTGAATTTTCTTCACAAAAACCAACTAGTGAAACAAGGTGGCAATGGCGAATTTTTGACAAAACGGTTATTTCAGTCTGGAATTCAGGAAGGCCTTGTCTAGACCCCGGCATGCCTCTCTTGACAGCAACCTTCACATTGTCTCTGAGCACTCCCTTGTATACCATGCCAAACCCACCGGACCCTATAATCAGATTTCTGTCAAAATTGTTTGTTGCTGATTGGATTTCAGCAAAAGGGATCTTCAAGCCAAGATATCCATGAGAACCAGGTTCAGATGTTCTACTAAGGGAACTCCCTCTAAACATGCCCAAAGTGGTCCATCCAACACTGTCCACTGTCTTCTGTTTTGGTTTCATGTTCCTGCATTTAATAACAAGTAGAAAAGCAGTTATCACTAAAAGTGAAACAACAATTCCTCCAACAATGGAACCCACCAACACCCGCAACTTCTTCCTCCTATGCACAGTATTTGTATCTACATCATTCACCATCTTCATTATCTCTGCACCATTCAATATAGCATTCATTCTTATAGCACTGCTCAGGTCAGAAGGACCAACACTTACTTGAATGACACCTAAATTATCTGAATTTGCGACAAAATCCACATACACTGGTGACGCAAGCGTGTGGATTGTGAGGGTTGACAAATCAAGATCCTTATATGCAATGTACCCATTGATATACACATCAAAGTAAAGCAAGTTGAGGGCAGGACTAACAATATCACAGAAATGCAACCTAACCAAGTGTGGAACCCCACCAGGAGACACAGGGAAATTCCAAGTTATGTTGAACCTTGAAGCTAAACTTGAGTTTCCCCTATTCATCTGTTGAGCAGTCATGTAAACATTTTCAGGCGCGATCTCTCTACTCGCACCTCCCTTTTGGTAATTTGGTGTGTTAGTGCTAACTGCGGGCTTAGCTGCACCCTTAAACACCAGATAATCCTCGTCAGGAATCCAAGTCCTCCAAAGGGTGTCATTGAAAGGAGTAATTTTTAAACCTCCAACATTAATCCTATGAATAGTTTCCAAAACCTGAGATGAAAGGTTTCTATACTCCTCTACCCCAGAAGCACCAACCAACCTGGCTCCAAAATCTATAACAAAATCCACAGGGGCAGTAAACACCTCCACAGCATTAACATAGGCAAAACCTGAGTTACCAACAGGTCTAAACAAAATTTCAAGCGAGTTTGATTCTATCTTCAAAATAAACTCTTTGAGCAGAACATCACTAGGTGGCTGGAAATTGCGCATGACCGAAATCCCATTAAGAAAGACACTGAATTTCGCAGATTTCAGATCAAAAGTTTGAGCTTTAAAGGGGGAGAAATGAAAACGCACCAAGTGGGTACCGTTTTTCTTCATGTTGAACGTGTATCTCCCAGTGCTTCTGAAAACTCTGGCTGTGCGGTACAAAGTGGGCAAATTTTGAGGTGGCTTTTGGTATGTGAGTGAAATGGTGTTATCTGCAGAGAGAAAAGTGGAGCCTGGGTTGTTGGAATCGCTCATGAAGACTCGGTTGAAGAGAGAAACATTGCTGTGTGTTCCACAGCTAAGAAGGTAGTTATCTGTAGGAGTGAAGGAAACTAAGGAGGGTATGAAAAAGAGAAAGACTAAAGGTATAATGAGGTTTTGGGTGTCCATGTAAGAGTGGCTTGGGATTTTGGTTCCTTGAAGAGTGTGAGTATCAGGCTAAAGAAAACCCATGTCATGAGTAGCAAGAGGATACAAAAAGGAAAAGTGACCAGAACTGCAACAAGAAGACAACATAGACAGAGAGACAGTGACTTCAGTCTCAGTGAAGATTTGAGATGGAAGATGTAATAAAATACATGAATTTGGTCACTAAAGTCAAAGGAATTGCTTTTGATGGTAATTTGTTTAGAACCTGTATGTTTTTGGACGTTTCACACAAATCTGCATTAGATTTCTCTGCTTTCAGTTTTATATAACGGTGGGAAGTAGACCAGCTTTTGGCGAATTAAGATGTCAGTTGCATGCACATCAGAAATTTCTTACATATTCTCCACATAGGTGAAAACTGCTGAGATAAACTATTAGAACAAAAATTAATGAATCTATTTTTATTCAATCTGGAAAAGGTTTTTTTTTTCTCGTACGGTAAATATGGAAATGTTTTTAAAAAATTGCACGTAAATATATTTTTTAAAAATTAAATGACAAAAAATAAAGAAATGTAGTGCTGTCCTAAATCTTTTTTGATACCATACATCTAAATTTGTAGACAACAAAATTTCTGAAAAAAAAAAAACACAATCATTAACTTAAAAACAGTTTATATAGATAATTTTAGTATCAAATAGCGGAAATGCTTGGGTTTGGATCTATCAATGAATGGACCAGAAAAAGGAAAAAAGGTCCCGAGAATAGACTTTGGTTTCCTTTCCACAAAGAGGCGAAAGCTCTTTCTCCGCGTTTCCTCCTAGAGAAAATGCGTAAATAACATCATAACTTGTTCACACCTCGCGAACGGTTTAGAGGTCACACTCACACATAGGAGCATTTGACAAATTTCCACAGCTGAGGTAAGATAATGTACCTTTCAGATTCAAATCTCCAATTGGCAACCACATATAGTGTTTGTGTCTCGCCACCCTTATCTTTATGTGGTAATAGGATACAATTATATTCTTATTGAGTTCCAGTTCAAAAGCCCATTTGCATTATGCATGCCAGCTTCACTAGGAAGTGCCCTATTAATTTAATCTTTTCTCTGGGTATTCTAGTCATATATCACATGCCTTAGCCCAATAACACTATGTTTTCTTTTCTTACTCATTTTCTAGTCCATTTTGTTATCAATTGAGGTTATCATATTTTGGATTTTAGATAGCTATTAAGAAATGCCAGCTGAAACCGATTGAAATTTGTTGACTAGTGAAGTTCAATAAGTATACGGTTGCTTTAAGCTATCTCAGCTTTATAGAAAATGTCATCATTATTAGTTACAATTATTAAAATAATTATATGAAAAAAAATATTAACTCTTTTTTCATTTATTTGGTGTATGGACCATTGTTTGTATGCTTCTCATTAATTAGTGCAATTGTTTATATTGTCGCTTCTTCCATAATATCGTTCTTACAAAGTCACGTGTTCACCACACAGCTTTCATACTTTCTATTAACAAAAAATTGCTACTGAAATTTTGAATTTTTTATGCTTTTTGATAATTTTTATTATGTTGAGATTCAATTATAGATTGGCTAACTATAAAATCAATTATTTTGATAAATTTTTATGCTTTTCAGTTATTTGTTTTCAAAGGCAACCGTTGTTTGAAAGCTTGAAGTTTGCTTTGCTTAAAGGCTACTGAATTACAAGAAGAAGCAAGAAAGTTTCTAAGAAAAACAATTTATTAGAGCCCAACAACACCAGAAGCATATTGATAATATTATTACATTTAGCAGATGCATATGTAAGATGTTTTGTTGGATTTTTCTAAGGTCATCATAATCGGATACATAGTTTGGGATAAACGCACCAAAATTTAAGTAATGTGATTTATTGATATATTATTAAAATATTGGATGGACGGTATTGGCTTGTAATGACTCGATCGTCTTGATCGATAAGCGAATCAATAGTCATGAAATAAAATATAGTTAAAAAATTAAGATGAAGATAATACAATTTTATGAGAACATTGATTGTATAATTAAAATTTGAATTTTTACTGAAATAAAATAACCAAAACACATAAGAAAAAATACTTAAGGTCAGTTAAGTATTTTATAGATGACGACTGAAGTGATTCCTTTAAAAGATTTATGTTTGATTCCGAGTTTTATTTTATTTCTACAGTTATGATTGTAGTGATTTGTGAACATTATTTTGTTTTTATTGGGATTTGGAACTTAGTGCCTGATTTTAAAATAAGATAAAATCAGTTAATAATTAATTAGATTTCATCATTTTACCGTTATACATATATTTTTTTAATTTTAAAACACGTGAAGAATTTTAAATAACTTATAAAAAAATTAAATAAAATTGAACTTACAATTAATTATTATTTAAATATTTTATATTAAAAAATTTATAATGATAAAACTAATTAATCTTACTCTTTAATATATAGTTTACTTTATTTATAAATTTACACCAACTTACAAAAGTCCTATATCATAATTCAAATAATTTACAGCCTGTGGAGGTAAGAGAAATAAATAAAACAAAGAAAAAGTACGACAAATAATGTAATCCAACGAAAGAGAAATAAAAATATTGTTCAATGGCGCTGAGAAAAATAGATATAGAGGGAAGTTTAAAATTTATGAGTTTTAATTTCAGTATAATTGTATAATATTTTTATTTCCTTTTTCTTTTTCTGTCAAATCACATTATACATCACAATTTTATTTATTTATGTTCTCACAAAAAAATATACATTCATGATATGCATGATGACTCTTTTCTAACATTTATTGGTGTATAAATATGATTTTTGTTGTGGTAAGGAATTAGTGATTTGTCTGAGTCTGGTAACAAGCTTCCAGTGCTACAAATGGCTGTCTCTGAAACTTTCTGTTGCCATATGTACGGTGGCACCTTTCTTACAGTGGTGACAGCAATTGCCGTACTTCTAGCCATTGATTCTCATGCAGGTGACTCGCTCTCCATCACACCCAAGCTTTTCAATTTTCATTTACTATCAAACAAGTTATCGTGTATCCGCAAAGATATATAGGAAAGATACAAACAAAAATTGCTTCAAATTTAACTCATTTGCTATCATATTTGACAATTGTTCAATTTGGATAGATTTTTCAGTAAATTCTTATAAAAATAAAAAATTAAGTAACAAAATTCAATAAATTGTTTTCATAAGTTAAAATTAACTTATGTTTTTTTTTTAAAAAAATTAGAACTTTTCTTATTTAGTTTCATTAAAACTTGAAAAGTATAAGCTTTTTTAACTTATAAAAAAGATTTATTCAAATTTTACATTAATTTTTTTCTAAAATAATAATTTATTTAGAAACTTATCTAAATTGAATCAATGTCAATCTCTTGTAAGATTTTCAATTTAATAATGGCTATTCATATCACACCATTGTATCTTACTTCATTTTTTTTTAAATAAACAATGTTAGTCGTACACCTCACTTCAGAGATATGAGGTAGAAAAAAGAGGAAAGTATAAAGGCCAAAAAAGGTTTAAAAAAGGGTAAATAATATGATAGAAAAGAGATAAAATAAAATAAAAAACTATAAAAGTATATAAATATAATTATTATTTTGAAATCTTAATTATTGTCCCGTGTTAGTAAGAAGCAAAATATGTTTCGGATATCAATATCAGAAAGTGACAGGTTTATGGCTTTTGGCACTTGTGAGGAGTAGGTGTTCTTTGCGGTGATTGGTGCAAGTGGGAGCATATGGAGCGTGATCAACACAGCACCCAGTATTTTTGTGTTTTCTTTTGTTCAGGTAGCAATCCATCTTGTTGTGATCCTTCGACTGGGAAGACTTTTTGGTTCTGACTTGAAGCTGTTGCTTATTGCATCAAATGCCAATGTTGGAACTCTCTCATTGTGCCTCCCATTCTTGCTGGTATATTTGGAATTGCCATTGCAACTTTTCTTGGCATTGGATTTGGTCTCGGTGTCTTAAAACACGTGAAATTCCCTTGTTCTTTATATGCTACCATCCATGAACTCAATATCTTCTCTCTTTTCTTTCTCTATGCATTAAGTGAAAACTATTTTTTTTTTCTCAAGTTTATATGTGTGATTAAAAAAATGTCAATCAAGTTATGCCCATATCATGCTATAGATACTTTTTGGTATAAATAAAAATTGAATTTGAGCAAAGTAAAGAGACTGCAGAAGGACCAGAACAGTATCCATTTGGATTGGCATGTTTCAATCTACATATCATACAAAACATTTAAGAATATTATATATAAATCATTGGAATGGTCCCATATACTGAAATTTGAACTTAGCTGAGTGAGACGAAAGAGAAAAAGACATAACTGGGTACGGTTAGTGAGGGAGAGCAAGACGTTAGAACTCTTTTCTTCAAAAGACATCATATGACGATTTCAACTTTGTTCCCCCACAACCACATGGGAACTCGCTCTACCGTATGTTACTGTAAAGACAAGCTAGGCTTCTATGAAAACAAAAATGTGCCTTTAAAACTGTGACAATTGACAATTGCATTGTAAGGAACAATAAGGCCAATATAAAATGAGTTTCACCAATTTTTACTTCTTAAATAGGAGTCAAATTTCACTCTTGAAAACCGGTCTCCTCATGTATGGACGTTAGAAGGACCAACTTTGCAATATTTTAAGAGAACTCACCTAAACTGTTAAATAATTTACATGTGATCAATCGGAATCGTTAATTTAAAAATTATTTCCACCTTATGTGTATGAGATTTAAAATCTATGATCCACTGGCTAAGAGTTATATATATGCATGAGCATTGAATAATTTCCAACAAAAGGGAATCATCTTAACCGCAAGAGAGAGGAAGTGAAAGTCATGGATTCAGAGACGAGTATAGCTGCTTGTGGGACTCTGAAATTTTTGCAAATGGGAATATGGTGGTTCTCGGTGTTGATCTTTCTTGGGTATATAATGGTTTGGATTATGATGCCCACAAACACCTTCTTTCTTCATTGGTTACCTGACATTCAAGCAAAGACACATCCAATATACTTCGGCCAAGAAGGTTTGTCACTATAAATCAGAATGGAAAAAATAAAAAGATGACATTTAAAATGTACGTACAAGGAAGGTAGTAATTAATTGTAGATATCAGGTTTCACCATCTAACAGAACAACAGTTCTTGCAAATCAAAATTCTGATGAAATGGTAGATAACTTTATGATCTGATATCTTTTTTTAGTTATATTTTAAATTATGGCCATTAACCACCTATAAGTACGGTCATTCAACACTTTATTAGTCACAGTCTTTTCCAAATAATTTTTGTAAAAAAATATTTCGTATCAATTAACATTTTTCATTCAAAAAAGTTATTAAAATTTATAGTTGAATGTTGTGTGCCAAAGACATTATTTCAGTCAAAATGAACCATTTATTCAAAAATAATATTGGGAAATTTTTTGGTCATGCAATTTTTTTGTTTTATTTTTATTATTTACAGTGGTTACTGTCACTGGTGATTAATTCTCACATAAGGCCTAAATCCCAAATAGACAGTGAATCTACAGGAATTGAACCAAATTCATTTTTCAAAACAAGAAAAACAGATGCCTGAGAAATAGATATTTATTTTTATGTATTTATTTCACAGATTTGTAGGTAGGCTCTGTTAATGAACTTCATTTATTTGCACAGGAACAACCATACTTTTATATATATTTCCCATTTTACTTATAGCCACCTTGGCCAGTCTATACCTTCATTTTGAGCAAAAACGTTCTAATCATAATACTGAAAGGTACATTGTTTCATACTTTATTTGTTTCATCGTGTTTTTTAACATAACATATCAATGCCCAGCCAAGTAAATGTATGACTGATTTCTTGTTCTCAGTGATGTGGGACCTTTAGGATTCGCATCATGGAAAAGACCACTGCTTGTAAATGGTGCTCTTGGGATTATCTCTATGACAGAGATTGTTTTCATTATAATGTTTATTTTACTATTAATCTGGTCCTTTTGTTCCTACTTACATGGCATGTTTGCAAGCGTGGCACTACAGGCAGCTAGCGAGAGAGAACAAGTGTAAGGAAATAACTTACCACTCTTAATTTGACATGAATTTCCAGTCATAAAATGCCTTCATCTTTGTAACAGAATGGTTCTTGTTGCACAGGTGGGAAGCCAAGCTGGAAAATTCAGCCCTGGCTTTAGGCCTTGTTGGAAATATTTGCTTAGCTTTACTGTTCTTTCCTGTCTCAAGAGGGTCTTCAGTTTTGCGGTTCATTGGCTTAACTTCAGAGGGAAGTATCAAGTATCATATCTGGCTAGGACATGTTGCAATGGCCCTATTCACAGCCCACGGACTGTGTTATATTATTTTTTGGGACAATACTCATCAAATCTCACAGGTAAATAATCATTTATTCCAATCAACTTGATAAGTAAATTTCCTATTTTTTTTTCTTGGCCAATTTTCAGGTCATAAATTATTATTAGGCCATCTTCAAACTACTGACCAGACATCACAATCCACAAACTTTCATTGCAGATATTCAAATGGAACAAAGCTGGCATCTCAAATGTAGCTGGAGCAGTTGCTCTGCTTGCTGGATTAACCATGTGGGCTGCTACCTTACCTTTCATAAGGAGAAAAGTGTTTGAGCTTTTCTTCTACATTCATCACCTTTATATTGTCTTTGTAGTCTTCTTTGTGCTACATGTGGGATTTTCCTCTTCTTGCATAGTGCTTCCAGGATTTTACCTGTTCTTGATCGACCGGTACCTGAGATTTCTACAGTCCCACCAGAAAATTCGGTTGGTTTCTGCCCGTGTTTTGCCTTGTGAAGCTGTTGAACTGAATTTCTCCAAGAACCCAGGTGAGGATAGTAATTAGTGAATGAAGACACTGAGAAGTTCTTTATATGAACTGTGTATTTGGCTCAATTGTAAGTAACAAATTTTTTTTTTCTTCTCATTTTGCTTCGACAGGATTGTGTTATGCTCCTACAAGTATCATTTTCATAAATGTTCCTAGTATTTCCAAGTTGCAGTGGCACCCTTTTACAATCACCTCCTGCAGTAGTAGTGATTCTGATACCTTAAGTGTTGTCATAAAAAGTTCAGGAAGCTGGTCCCATACTTTGTACCAGAAGCTATCATCTTCATCTCCAATGTCCCACCTTGATGTCTCCATTGAAGGGCCCTATGGACCGGCTTCAACCTTTTTCTCAAGGTACTTGAAACTTATTAAAGGAGCCTTTCCTCTATGTTTTAATGAATTTCATTCTTTTCTTTGGTGGATTTCACACTCAACATTTAAGTATAAATAGATATTCTTTCATCAGGCATGACTTGATAAAAAAATTCCATGCAGGTATGAAATGCTAGTGATGGTGAGTGGAGGAAGTGGCATTACTCCTTTCATTTCCATAATCCGTTCGCTCCTCTTTAAGGCCAACACTGCAGGGGGCAAAACTCCTAGAGTTCTTCTTATATGTGCCTTCAAGAAGTCCATTGATCTCACCATGATAGACCTCATCCTTCCCGTTTCAGGCACCACCTTTGACATCTCACGTTTGCAGCTTAAGATTGAAGCCTATGTAACCACAGAGAAACAGCCAGAAATGAATGACAGAAAGCTCCTTCAAACATTATGGTTCAAGTCTAATGCATTAGATGAACCAATTTCTGCAGTCTTAGGACAGAACAGTTGGCTCTATCTCAGCATTGTCATCTCGTCATCCTTTATATTATTCCTTCTACTTATTGCCATCCTAACTAGATATTACATATATCCAATTGATCATAATTCAGACCTGGTATACCCTTATTTGTCAAGGTCCAGTCTAAACATGTTATTGATATGCGTGTCTATAGCCATTGCAGCTACATCTGCTTTTCTCTGGACCAAGAAACAGAACAAGGATTTGGGACAGATTAAAAATACTTATACATCAACTCCACCAACTTCTCCAGCTTCAGGATACTACATTGCTGACAGAGAATTAGAGTCTCTTCCCCTCCAATCCATTGTCCAAACAGCTAAAATACATTATGGGGAAAGACCTGACATAAGAAGTAAGAATATTTAATTTTTTGTCTCATTTATTTCAAATTAGTTAGTCACACGGTTTTTCCATCCTTTCAGTACCATTTCATTTCTTGAAGTTCAGTTAAATATGTTTATATTGAATATTTTTATGCTAAATGACATCAAACCAAAAATTTAGTGATTTATCGAGCATATTGAAAGATGTGATTCTCAAATTATGAGATTGTTAACATAAGTTTCCAGCTATATTTTATAAAAAGTAAAAAGTAAAAATTGCTTCCAATGTTAAATTAAAATCTTAAAAAGGAAAATATTTGTTCTTTGGCAGAAATACTCTCTGGCTGTGATGGATCAAGCATTGGAGTTCTTGTTAGTGGGCCAAGAAAAATGACACATGAAGTTGCATCAATCTGCACCTCTTGTTCCACAGATGACCTACGTTTTGAGTCCATCAGCTTCAGCTTGTGAGCTACAAATACTGTATTTTTGTTACAGAAGTTTTTCTCATCTAGTGGAGACAATCAAGAAATTCACATTTGTTGGGCGATGGAGGAAAGGATTTTGAAATAAGAAGACATGAGATGTTTATGAATTTAGGACTTGAAAAAATTTCAAACCAATCTTTTTCTAAAGTTAGTGAAATTAAACAAGAGCATCTTAATATTTTTTCTCCTTTGCAATATAATAGAAATATGAGAAAATAACATTAGAAGTATGTTATTTGAATAACTAAAAAATTATACCCCATGAGACAATATATTTAATAATAAAAATTATTAATATTGGTTTTTATAATTAACTTCAAGTGTTTAAAAATAATAAGATTTTATTAAAAGATAAGTATTTATTACATAAGAAATACAAAAATATAATGAATATTTGTTTATCAATAAAAACTTCCTATTTTGTATGTTTAACGTCTATCATAAAAATTGATACTAGCAAAATTGTTTTTTTTTTTTCTATTTCTTGCTTTTTTTAATTACATATACACATCTAAAAAAAAAACACAAATAAATAAGGAAAAAAATTAAGTACCCTACCTAGTTAAGGAGTAAAAAGTGAAATACATTAAAAAATAATTTTCTTAAAGTTAAGGATAAAAAACTAACAATAATAAAATTATATTAAAAAAAAGATGTTTTTGATATTACTTTTATACCTTCAATATAATAAATATGTATTTTTTATATTCTTTTCTATTTATGAATACTTAAAAGAAAGTATACGAAAACATAACTTCAATAATTTGCTACACATTATTGATTTTTTAACTAATTTCATTGCAACACTAATTTGGAAGATTCATAAAGAAAAAATTTGTTAGCCTAAAGGGTTAATTTAAGCATTACAAAAGTATACCCATGCCCAGGATGTTTGTTCTGTGTCTTAGCTTTGCTTTTTTTTCATGAAATAGGAGAGTTAAAAAGTGCTTGGTTGGTAATTTCAACGATGAAAAAGATTTTTCTGCACCAACCCCTTCTCATTGCCAAAACCTTTAAGAACCAGAGTGGGCATCAACCACCTACATACTGTAATAAATACTACTGCAATTGCATCTTGCGGCAGATATGTCAAATAATCATTTTTTTAATTCTTACAACTAATTGACAGATATAATTAAGATTTTTCATTTTTATTTAGTTTTTATTTTTAAATAAATATATTATAAAAAATTATTTAACTTTTAAACATATTTGCAAGTTTTTCATTTAATCTCATTTTTAAAAATTCAATAAAAATACATACTATTTATGAAATCTAATAGAATTTTTTCTTATCTTTTAAAGACAATAAATAAAAAATTGAAAAATAAAAAATATCTAAGTCCAAATTAATAATTTGTGTATATTTGTAAAAATTTCCATTTTATGTTTTGATTTAGTTTTCCAACCCCATTCGCACGTAGTTTCGTGTCAACCTCTCTTTCGACCTTCGTTTCCTTCTGAAACCGTAAATTTCTTTTATTCTGATTGGGACATCAAATTTAGAATTTATGGGCAGAAAAAAATAAAGATCAGAATAAAGTTAACAATTAGATAGAAAAAATAAATATATAAATTACAACAAATTTGTGTGAAATTCTAGAAAATAACCGTTGAAAGAACTTAAAAATCTCAGCTTTCTCCGAAAATTAATCCAACGAAGATGAGATATTTTGTTGAAATACTAAAAATTAAGAAAGACAAAAGAAAAAAAAACAAGAACTTCATTAAACTCCAAAACAATATACAGATATTTTCTGAGAGATCATCGTTCTCCCCTTCTCAAATGTCAACTATAACCGAATAAGGCACTGTCCAAAAAATATTTTCAAGATCATAGTTATTAGTTTTTAAACAAAACGAAAATTGCATTGGTTCTAGAAGCACATGCAGAATTAAATATGAGAGAGAGAGCACCGATAGTATAATTACAGTGCTTGTTGAGTCTAGGGTTGCATGCAACTAATTAACACAACACTTAGCGTAGGTAATTAGTGATTGAGATGGATGCTCCTCTGCTTAGTGGTTCGTCGTTGGTGGCGGAGGACGGTGACTACGCGGAGGTGAAGGGGTGGAAGGAGGGGTGGAAGGTGGTGCGGATTGAAACAGTGAAAATATGGCAGATTGCACTGCCAATAGTTTTCAACTTGTTGTGTCAGTATGGTGTCAACTCTTTTACCATCATCTTCGTTGGCCATCTTGGTGAAGTTGAACTCTCTGCTATGTCTCTCGTTAACTCTGTCCTTGGCACTTTTGCTTTTGGCTTCATGGTTAGTTTCTTCTCTGCCCTATGAAGAAAGGTTTTAAATTTACGTGAATTTGTGTGTTGTTGTTTGCTACAGTGAATAACACTCGTTGTATTTCATTATTTGCTTTTCCTTATTCCCTTTTTAGCTTTTGTGAATTTCAGCGAGTTGTTGATTTTACCAAATGCACTCTCCTTAGACTGCATTAAATCCGTTTCCAGGGCAATGGATTTCAAATATTTTAAGGGCTGGTTTCTATTTTCTAACTGTCTTTATATGTGAAATTAAACAAAGGGAATCCTAATTATGAAGATGCAGAACATTTATGTTATTTTATTGGGATGAAATGTTGCAATTGACATGAGATGTTCATTTTGAAGTTGGAATTGATTTTTACTTGCCAACCAGTGTGTTTTTACTTTGTGTTGTTGATTTATCAAACTTGCCTTTGAAAATGGTAGAAAATTGTTAAGAACGAAATCTGATGGTAGTCCACAAAAACTGTAGCTTGGCATGGGGAGCGCAGCTGAGACGCTCTGCGGTCAAGCTTTTGGAGCTGGGCAGGTTCATATGCTTGGTATTTATTTGCAACGTTCGTGGATAATTTTGTTTACGACAAGTGTTTTGCTCTTGCCATTATACATTTTTGCTGCTCCAATTTTAAAGCTTCTTGGCCAACAGAAAGATGTAGCTGATCTCGCTGGATATTTATCTATTTTAGTAATTCCTCAGTTTCTTTCACTCTCCATCAGTTTTCCAACCCAAAAGTTCCTTCAAGCTCAAAGTAAGGTTAACGTCATTGCATGGATTGGGTTTGTGGCTCTTATTATACACTTTGGATTGCTCTGGCTCTTTATTTATGTGTTAGATTTAGGCTTAGCTGGCTCAGCCGTGGCATTTGATATCACAAGTTGGGGAATCGCAGTGGCTCAACTTGTTTATGTTGTGGGTTGGTGTAAAGATGGATGGAAAGGATTATCATGGTTGGCTCTTAAGGATATTTGGGCCTTTGTTAGGCTCTCTCTTGCATCAGCTGTTATGCTTTGCCTTGAAGTTTGGTACATGACGAGTATCATAGTTCTTGTCGGTCACCTTGATAATGCAGTGATTGCTGTTGATTCCCTCTCTATATGGTAAGTGGCATATCTATGCTGCATGAAATTTGAAACTCATCCTTAGTGGTTTTCACTTTGCACATATACAACTGAAACTAAGGATGTCTTGTAAAATCAAAACTCAGGTGCCGTCTAATAGTTAAACAACTTTACTTAAGTTTTGTTTGTAACATCTTAGCTCTATAGTCGAAATGGGACTTTAACGTAACCTTTTGCTAATGCATTCGATGTTTGGTAGCATGAATTACAATGGATGGGAAGCCATTATCTTTATTGGAGTAAATGCAGCTATCGGGTATGCACTCGATCCAAAACTTGTGTCATACACTTTTGAATATGTATAGCAACTACATACTATTAGCATTGGTTATTTCAGTGTCCGAGTTGCCAATGAACTTGGACTTCGACGTCCAAGAGCTGCCAAATACTCTGTCTATGTGACAGTGGTTGAATCACTTTTGATCGGACTCCTTTTCATGGGAATTATTTTGGTAGCTAGAGACTATTTTGCCATCATTTTTACAAACAGTGTGCCTTTGCAAAAGGCAGCTGCCAAACTAGCAGATCTCCTAGCCGTGACAATGGTTCTAAACAGTGTTCAACCAGTCATTTCCGGTACAAAATGATTTACATTTTCTTTGTTTAATTTATGAATGGTAACCGATCATCCCCTTATATTATTTACAATTTTGAAATCATTCTTACAGGTGTTGCTATTGGAGGTGGGTGGCAGGCCCTGGTGGCTTACATCAATTTAGGTTCTTATTACTTGTTTGGCCTTCCACTTGGGATTGTTCTTGGTTATGTAGCAAAATTGGGGGTGAAGGTAATGTACTCACTCACTCACTACCCTATTTCTATGTCCATGAAAAAAATTATATTTAGTAAAACATGTTGACTTTTCTCCATTTCGATCTGAAGAAAATAAGAGAAATGAAAAATAATAGATTTAGCAAATCATTGCTTTTGGTTTGTTGATAGAAAATAAAACTGAAAAGAGGAGAGGAAAAAATGATTCTGAATTTGATTTTATTTTATTTTCTGTTTAGGGACTATGGGGAGGCATGATATGTGGAATAGCTCTCCAGACAGTGCTGCTCTTGTTCGTTCTTTACAAAACCAATTGGAACAAAGAGGTAGGCAATGCTTCGCATTCTCTCTATCATTTTTACTCTATTTTTATTATTTTTTCTGGTTCATTTCTCATCTTAAACGTACCATTACTCGTTTGGCTCTTCTGATTGAAGGTCGATGAAACAAATGAACGCATGCGGAAATGGGGTGGACGTGCCATAGAAGGTGATAAGATAGTAGCTTCTACATAATCTCTCCCTTCAAGTTGAGTCAAATTCTGATTCTCAGTCTCAGAAATCCATTTGGTCCATTTTGCATTTTATGTTGCTGTTAATGGGTTGTCTTCTGAGAATTTTGAATACAAAAAAACTTGGTTCATATTCCTGTCTCTTTGTTTTTCATTTTTTTTAATTATCTGATGCCTCGGTGAAAATTTAAAAAAAAATGATTTAATGAAAATGAGCAGCGGTTAACTCGTTTTTATCATATATTCTTTATTTGATTACAATCTTTATTCTTATAAAAAATAACGATATGGGATAGATCTCGTTCGGTTACAATTAATAAATATGATAAAAGTTGAAAAGAACTGTTGAATTATTTGTAATCAAATAAGAAACATAATTTAATGAAGTGTCGTTGGGTTGAATATAGCATTCATAAATCGGAAGAGATCTTCTGCAATGCATTTTTACTGTAGAATGACAACTATTAGAAATATATAATTTATTTAATTTATAAATAATAATAATATAAAATTATGAATGGATAAGATGGGTTGAGATGCAAATCCTTCATAAACCAGGCACAGTTTTCGCAGTTTTCTTTATTATAATAGGGTTTACTACTAATGATCGCCTTTTATAATTACTATATACTCACTGAGCGCCATGCGCTTATTTTTTTCATCAGGAGCTCTGCTTTCTAGTTCTAAGTTCAGTTGCCATTTTTATTATTCCACTGTAGTTTTTCATTAGATTTAGCGCTCTTATTACTTTATCTGCAATGCCACTGTAGTTATTCATTTCTAGTTTGATTATTGGTTTTTGACTAAGGATAGATTTTGGCAAAATGTAAATGTAAAGCTTTGATTACAACTTCAGTTGCGACAGGATTGTTTTAGTCGTAGGAAATAATGAATATTTTGAATTTAAATGTAGGTACCAATTATAGTGCTAAAATTTGCATTATAAATTGCTCTGTTCATACAAATTATCGAGTGATTCATAAAAAGTTGCTTCTCTGATCACTCTTATGTCAAACTTTTTTAATTTATAAAAAGATACATACATATCATATTTAGTATGAGTATCTGGACCACATAATCCATAATTACAGACAATTTTTTGGTATAACAGGGTAACAGATCCTTTGATTCAGCTTTGATCCACTAGCAACATTTCATACTAATACTCAACAAATAATTTATTTCTAGACTAAAATAAATAAATAATTTACATTAGATTTTATACACAGATCACGTAAATTACTTAATTAAGTGAATGTGCCAGTTTGTCATATATGTGTGCGTTTTCTTTTAGACTTCTGGTTTCGATGTGCAAAATTTGTATCTTCACCGACTCAAATTTTTGGCTGGCTATGAAGCGTAAGACACTTGCACACAAGTTTGATCATCCGTAATCTAGTCAATAATGGTGCCATACTTAAAAAATTATTGAATATTACTCACGTAAATGTAAATGTTAATGTTAAATGTCTCAGTTTATATCAAAATTATTTTTTAAAAATGATATTAAATAGTTTTGGTGATGATGTGATATCAGTTAAATATTAAAAAAGTATAAAATACACAACAACAAATACAACAATTAAAAATAAACTTGGTACTCTTTACTCTATTCATTTTGTAGTCTAATTATAACTCTTTGCTTAAAACTTCGATTGATGGCTTTTTTTTTTCTTACGGTTGATTTGATTTTATATAATTTTATTTAATAAAATTTAAGTAAGATCATTTATGTTTGTAACCTTTATCTTGAAAATAATTTTATAAGAAAATTTAATTTGAAATTTTCAACTCTCCATATATAGAAAAGTACATTTTTTAAAGAATAAAACTATTTTAGATCAAGATAATCAAACATGAGTTAGCTCATGAACTTACGTCTATTCAAAGCTCAAACGTAGGATAATTAAATTGCCATATAAAAATTAATATACTTTAATCTTTTAATTTTTTTATTTTGCTTTTAGCTTATAATTTTTTTATTTGATGTCAAATTAGTGCTAGTTATCAATTACAAGGAATAAGATTAAATTAAGACAAAATAAGGGTAAAATAAAATAAATTTAAAAAACTCAAGCTGCTTAACAAGATTTAATAATATAACAGTTTTGTTAATCATAATCTTTAGATTCAGGCCTAAACATATACAAATAACATATTTTTATTAAAACACATTTATTATATTAAAGATATAAAAATGAGAATTTATTTATTTTTATGGACTTGAATTCAATTTAACTTATGTTGACAAAATAAATAATTTAATATACGCAACACGTACCCACCACCAGATCCAGATCAAGCAGCAACATATTGCTATAAGGTTATTAATTGGTCCACAACGGCTCCCATGAAAGTACCATAAAGGTTGCCCAACAGCGCTCATGCAATTCTACAAATATCAACTCAAATCAAATGTCACATAAAACCCACTAAGTTTTTCTTTGACATATATACGTTGTCGCCAGACACTTTCTCATTAAGGTTGTCTTTTTCTCAAAAAATGGCAGCAGAAGTGGTGAAGAATGAAGGTGGTCTGAAAGTGAAGATCACTGGTAAAAGCCACGTGAAGCCCAACAAGGAAATTGGGAAGAAGGAGTATCAACTAGTGACGTTTGATCTTCCCTACCTAGCTTTCTACTACAACCAGAAGCTTCTTTTTTACAAAGGGAATGGGTTTGAGTTTGAGGGAATGGTGAAGAAACTGAAAGATGGGCTTAGTGTGGCCTTGGAAGATTTCCACCCACTAGCTGGCAAACTAGGGAAAGATGAAGAAGGGGTGTTTAGAGTTGAATATGATGATGACATGGCTGGTGTCGAGGTCATAGAGGCACTTGCTGATCACATTCCGGTGGCTCATCTAACTGTGCCTCAGAGTAACAGCATTTTGAAAGATTTGGTACCTTACACTGGGATCTTGAATTTGGAAGGGATGCACACGCCCTTGTTGGCAATACAGGTAATTTTATTTTATTTTATTTTTATTAGATATCAGAGTAACTCAATAATATCACACAGCTAAAATAGAGATGAGAAAAGAAGAACTAAACACAGTAATTTTACGTGAAAAATCCTCAATAGATAAAGAAAAAACCACGGACAAGACCAGAGAAATAATTTTATTAAGTGAAAGAAATATTACATTTTCTCTATATATACAAGGAGAGAACAATGACACTCTCTCTTAAAAAACAAGAAAAAACCCACTCACTAGGAACACTTCACAAGAGAATACTATTTTATCTCTCTGTATTTTTTCTCTCTATATATTAGGTGTTGCTTCTCGTGGGATTACACTCGATGGTGTTAGATGCATAAAATGAACGAATGAGGCTTACTATTTATAGGCAAAGCTTTAGCCTTTCTTTGTCTGGCAATAAATGCCACCGAAAAGCGTGCAGAAACTTTTGACAAAACATACAGCAATTTGTTTGACTTTTGTTATACATGATGTGAGACTAACAATTCTCCCACTTGAAGATTATGATTAAACTAATCATATTTAATCATATCTTCACACATTACAATTTTATGTTGAATCCAAAATCATCTCCCACTTAAAGTCACTTTTGTGATCTTTTCAATTTTTTTTTTCTTTCTCTTCTTGTCATTTCCTGCTACAATTACGTTTCTGATAGGCCATAGGAGGACCTGCACCATTTAAACTTGTCAGTATTGATTGGCTTTATTATAACATCTGCTAGGTTATCTTTTGTATGAGTCTTCTGTAGATCCACACTTCCTTCCTCCACTACTTCTCGAACAAAATGATATTGCACTCCTATGTGTTTTGTCCTAGAATGAAAGGCTCGATTTCTTGCAATGTGCAAGGCACTCTGACTGTTACAATACACTGTAATCTTTGGTTGCTTGTGCTCGAGTTCTTCCAATAATCTTTGTATCCAGATTGCTTCCTTGCATGCCCGAGTCGCTACTATGTATTCTGCTTTTATAGTAGATAAAGCTACAACAGATTGTAATTTAGATAACCAGCTTACTGCTCCTCCTACAAGTGTAAACACATAGCCTGTAGTAGATTTTCTTTTATCAAGATCACCTGCAAAATCAAAATCAACATATCCTCTGACAATAAACTCTGACCCTCCAAAACATAATACAGCACTGGAGGTTCCTTTAACATATCTCAGGATCCTTTTTACAACATTCCAATGCTCTTTACTAGGATCTGCCATGAACCTACTGACTGCTCCCATTGCTTGTGCAATGTCTAGTCTAGTACAAATCATGGCATACATAAGGCTTCCCACCGCTGATGCATACGGTACTCGAGACATTTCTATCCTCTCTGCTTCATTGCTAGGACCTATACTTGAGGATAATTTATAATTGATAGGGAGAGGGGTAAAAATTGGCTTACAGTCTTGCATGTTGAAGCACTGCAAAACTTTCAATAAGTAATTCTTCTGAGAGAGCCAAACTTTCCTATCTTTTCTGTCTCGGTGAATTTGCATCCCTAAAATCTTGTTTGCTGGTCCCAAGTCCTTCATATCAAACTCCCTAGCCAATTGTGCCTTCAATTTCTGGATTTGATATTTGTTGGGGCCTACAACCAACATGTCGTCCACATACAACAGTAAAATGATAAAAGTATCATTATCAAATCTCTTGTAGTATGTACAATGGTCTAAACACAGTCTGTTGTATTTGAGGCTCATAATGAAGGAATCAAATCTCTTGTACCAACATCTTGGCGCCTGCTTTAGACCGTACAGAGATTTAGTTAACCTGCAAACCAAGTTTTCTTTTCCTTATTCTTTAAAGCCTTCTGGTTGGAGCATATATATTTCTTTTTCAAGTTTTCCATGAAGAAAAGCAATCTTTACATCTAACTGTTCAAGATGTAAATCAAATGTAGCACACATAGTTAGGACTACTCTGATAGTGGTAAGTCTAACCACTGGAGAGAAAATTTCATTGAAATCAATGCCTTCTTTCTGAGCATATCCTTTGACCACCAGTCTAACACGATACCGCTCCACTTGATCATTGCCATCTCGTTTGATCTTGTAAACCCATTTGTTTCCAATGGCTTTTCGACCTTCTGGAAGTGTTACAAGTTTCCATGTCTTATTTCTATGTAAGACTTCCATTTCTTCCTGCATTGCTGTCATCCACAGAAAAGCATCTGGATTGCTCACAGCCTCTTGAAATGTTGACGGTTCTTCTTCTTCTGTTAGAAGACAATATGCATCGTGGCTTGCCATCACATAGTCT